TCCCAATTCAGGAATTCTCAGGTCTGAAGGTATGGACCTAATCAAAGAGGAAGTCAATACCTTCAATCCAGGGCTCAGTATTATGGGTACTCCTTACTGGCTTACCAATGCCTCCAAGAGAGCCAAACAACAAGATGGAGCAATAGTCATTGCATTTGCTACACAAAAAGAAGCAGATATAGCTATCCAGAAAAGGCTATATATTGCAGGCATTAGTGTTAGAGTAGAAAGATTCTATCCATCTACTCCTTCATCCCAATGCAACAGATGCCAGGGATTCGGCCATAACGAATCATACTGCAAAAAACCTCCAGCTTGCGGACTTTGCAGTAATAATCATGCTACAGTCGGTCATTTCTGTATAATCTGCCAAGCAAAAGGCAAACCATGTCAACATCTAAGTGTCAAATGTGTTAATTGTAAAGGAGAACACAAAGCCAACTCGAAAGTATGCGAAGTATATCTATCAACCATCAAGAAATCCAACTAATGCTGTACAACAATACTCGCATTCTTCAAATCAATCTAAACAAGAGCCCTCAAGCAACCGAAAGTGCTCTCCAACTTGCTTTAGAACTCAAAATTGATCTCATAGTCATTCAAGAACCCTGGATCCTCTCGAATCCTGAGAAAGACTTCTCCTCAACCAGATCTATTGCCCACTCTAGCTTCTCTCAACTCCTCCCAAATAATCCTTCGAACCTGCGTCCCCGAACTATGATCTACATTTCAAAAGGATTCAAACCGCTAGTAGCCCTAGCTCCCAACTCCCCTAATGATCCAGATATTCAAATCATTGATATCACTCAAGGAAAACATACAATACAACTCATCAATATCTACAATGAAGCGGACCAAGCCAAAGAAAAAGGCCACACCATCGAAAGATGCCTTTACAATACCCCTCTTACTCATCACACCATCCTCGTAGGAGATTTCAACTCCCATCACCCTTGGTGGGACCCCTTCTCTAACAAAAGCTCAAATGCCGACCTACTCGCCGAATGGTTTGAGGATCACAATCTCATTCTATTTAACGAACCAGGCACGAGCACCTTTTATCGAACAAATATGACAAATCCAAGTGTCTTAGACCTTACTTTAGCCACAGATTCAGTATCTCCCTATATCACTGATTGGCAAGTCCTCCCGGATCTTGGATCAGATCACTTAAGCATTCTCTTTGAAGTAAAGGGCACTTTATCCCGTACAACGAATATAGCTCAGCCAGCAAGATTCAATACAAAACTTGCGGATTGGGAAAAATTCGCGAATACCCTCAAATCGAAAATATCGATATCAACCACCTTAAATTCGAGTGAATACCTTAATATCGCTACCTCAGAATCCAACTCTCTTGATTCCCTTCTCGACAAGAGCCAATACATACAAGTATTGGATGAAGCTGCAAAAGAATTCACCCGAATAATCACTTATTCGGCTGAAACCAGTATACCGAGAATCAAGTCCACAAAAAGAGCTAAACCCTGGTGGTCCCCAGAGCTGAAAGCCCTTCGAAAACGACTCTCTAATGCATTTGAGAACGCCAAGATTTACCCGGAAGACGATATGTTCAAGAAAATCTACCAGTCAGCCAGGAATCATTACTTCCAAGCTATTAAAACAGCAAAGAAAAACCATTGGAATGAGTTCCTTGAAAAAGAGGATACCCAATCCATATTCAAGGCAATGTCATACACAAAAGATATACAAACCGAACGAATCCCGAATATTTGATCCAATCCCTCTAAACTAGAAAATTCTTTCGAGGGAAAATGCTCTGCATTTAGATCGACCCTATTTCCTCCTCCTCCATTCACCCCACCGCCCAATTGGGAAAGCTATAAACAATCTAAGAAATGGGAATGGCCTGATCTCACAGAGAGCGAACTCCTAAACGCGTGCTCTGCAAAAATCAAAGGAAAGACCCCTGGCCCCGATGGGATCACTCAAGATATCATTATTCAAGCGTACAAAGCAATACCAAAAGCATTCTTCACCCTCTTCAGTCATCTTATCAACCTTGGTTACCATCCTTCTTGCTGGAAACAAGCCACTGGAGCGATACTCAAGAAACCTTCAAAACCAGACTACTCGGCCCCAAAAGCTTATAGAGTTATCGCCCTACTAAATTGCCTTGGCAAAATAAGTGAAAGAATTCTAGCTCAAAGGCTTAGCTACTTAGCGGAGACTACGCAATTACTTCATTACTCTCAAATGGGTGGAAGACAAAAGAAATCAGCCATCGATACAGCAATCTTACTCACTACCGAAATCGAAAGAAATTCAAGATCCAAGAAGAAAACCTCAACTCTCTTCCTGGATGTTAAAGGCGCCTTTGATCATGTATCTATGAACAAATTATTAGATATCTGCAAGAATCTAAACCTCCCAACCAGCCTAATCGCCTGGATCTCATCTTTTTTGAAGGAAAGGCTACTCAAGCTCTCATTCGATGGCCAAATTGAAACCTTCAAACCGATCAATACCGGGATCCCCCAAGGTAGCCCTATTTCGCCAATCCTCTTCTTAATTTATATTCGAGATCTATTCTCAGCAAATTCGATCAAATATCTCTCATATATAGATGATATAGCTTTAACAACATTTTCAACATCCTGGAAAAAGAACATCATCTCCCTCGAAAGAGCAACTAAACAGATATATGCTCTGGGCAAAGAAAATGCTATTCAATTTGATCTAGCGAAGACGGAGCTAATACACTTCTCTACATCCAAAGATACGAAGACAGCCTCAATCAAGCTTCCGAACGAGGAGATAATTCAACCCTCAACACTAGTCAGATGGCTAGGCATATGGTTCGACCCTGGCCTCAGTTTCAAACAACATGTCACAATCCGAGCTACCCAGGCTAAAACCTCATTCTACCGAATGGCTAGACTTGCTAATTCTGAAAAAGGCCTTAGTCCCAAGGCAATGAGACAGCTCTATATGGCATGCGTCACCAGCATAGCTGACTACGGTTCAATTTTATGGTGGAAAGGGCAAAACCAATTCAAGAAAATCCTTCAATCCTTGCAAAACCTCGCCCTTCGAAAAATCCTAGGAGTATTCAAAACCTCACCAATAAAACCAATGGAAATAGAAGCCGCATTGTGCCCTCCAGAAGTACGGCTAAATGCTGGAATCAAACAATACGCATTTAGATTATTGAAAATCTCGCCTTCTCATCCTGTCAATTTAGTAGCTACAAAGCTGGCTACAGAAAAGGAGAATCAAGATGTAGTTGCAACCCCTCAAAGAAAGCAATTAAAACCTACTCAACTCGAAAAGATCAAAAATTCAATTCAGAAAGACTTCGATCCTCTCACTTTGGAAGGAATCCATCATTTCTACTTTCCTCCTTGGAAGAAAGAAGTTCCATATAAAGTCAATATCAGCAAATTAGGAAAAGAAGAAGCTGCGATGATTCACAATCTGGCTTTCAAATATAGGTGCAAAAATACCATTACAATATACACCGATGCCTCATCCACTTTAGAGGGAATAGGGATTGGAATCGGGATAGCGGTTATCTTACCAAATGGCCGAATTTCTCATCAAGAGACTATCAATATAGGCGTGAATCAGCTTGTCTATAATGGGGAGCTCCTAGGAGTTACTAAAGCGATCGAATACGCAAATTCAATAGCCCAACCAGGAAACAAGTTCAAGATATACTCAGATAATCAAGCAGGATTATTCCGGTTGAAAACCCCCTCCGATTTACCTGGTCAATCATGTCAAATCAAAGCTATAAAAGCTGCGGAAGCTATTCAAAATAAAGGAGCCGAAATCTCTCTCAATTGGGTCCCTGGACATACATCTGTACAAGGAAATGAGCTAGCTGATTCTCTTGCAAAAGAGGCGACCAAAATACCATCCTCATCTCACGAAACCAGTTATGCCTCCATTGGAATGGATATAAAAAGAATGAAATCAGAGAACTGGATAACCATCCTTAACACTAACAACTTTCATCAACCATCGTCAACATATTCAAGAAACTACCCCTGGAAGATCAGCTCAAAAATCAGAATTCCAGGAAACATCAAAAGAAGCACAATCTGTGCTCTGTTCCAACTCAAAATTGGACACGGATACTTCAAATCTTATTTGAAACGATTCGGTATCTCCTCTAATGACAATTGTAGATGTGGGGGAAAGGAATCTCCTGATCATCTTCTGCTCAGTTGTCCTTTATATAAAATGGCAAGGAAAACCCTCAATAAGGATAACCCCACAGTCCGACCTACCATGAAATATCTGCTTCACACTAAAGCAGGAATCATCAAGACCCTCGAATTTATCGAGGCGACGAGAATAGCCACCAGATCATGGCATCTCAATAGAATGCATGAAGAAGAAGAGGAAGAAGGCGGAGAAGAAGGGGGTGGACCGGAAGATTGTGATTGAATTGATCAATTATGGCCAATCTGGTCAATTTAGTCAATTTGGTCAATTTGGTCAATTTGGTCATTTTGGTCAATTTGGTCAATTTGGTCAACTTGGTCAATTTGGTCAATTTGGTCAATTTGGTCAATTTGGTCAACTTGGTCAACTTGGTCAATTTGGTCAATTTGAGCAATCACCCCAATGTCAAATTTCATTACATTTCATTTGTTATTCCTCTTACTTGAATACGAGAGTATCTGTAAGGCGGGCTTGGTTCCCTAGTATTAGTTTTCACTTCCCCCATTCAAACTTTAGAAGATTGAGGCTTTCAATCTCCCCAACCTGTATTAGCTACGGTCGAATAAGGCCAGCCACCCTCCATTTACTATTGTTAGAAGCCTACAAAGCTCCTAGCCGTCTTAGATAGTCATAGACTCAGTGTAGACGTTAATTTAATCAATCAATCAATCAATGTACCATCCCTCCTAAACCTATTCTTCGAATCGTAGGTCAGAGAGTTGGGTCTCCGACGACAGATTTCGATATTAGGATTAATCTTATGGGGTTATTTATCGGGGATGGAGAACGCAGAATGAATTATATGAAGATTATTTGTCCTGGGGAGCAGGGATGGAGAGGCGGAGTGAGGGAGGGAACGGAACCGGATTTTGGGGGGTTGGAGGAATGGGTGAGGATGTTTTGTGAGGATGGGGCGGCGGTGAAAGAGTATTCTCCCTTTCTTTTTTTTATGTTTTTGGGTTTTGATAACTCTTTCGATTTATTATCTCCTGTCTATACTGATATCTATATACTAATCTCCTCAATATCCAAAGATTCATCCTCACGCGCCACATTCCCAATTTCTCAACCACACACGTGCAAGGACTTATTTTAGCGTTGATAGCGCAAACGGGATATCCAGGACACACGAGCATACGATTTCCCGTCACGCATTCGAAAGTGGTGATACGTGCTCCGGATCGAGTGAATGCATTTTTTAGCAGTGTGACGAAGGTTTTTATGGGGTCGAAGAGGTATGAGGTGCTAGGGAGTGTGTGGCCTTTTGCGGATGTGGAGAGGGGGGCGGAGGGAAGGAAGTGTGTGGTTATGGGGGAGGAGGAGTGGTTTGATGAGTGAGTTTTTCTTGTTTTGTTTTTGGTTTGGAGTTTGGATTTTGGATTTTCGGGGGTGAAGGTCGGGAGTGAGATGTGCATGTTTTAATTGATGCGATGTGATAGCATGGAGATGGTTGAGATGGGATGAGATAGGATAGGATATGCTAACTAAGTGTTTCTTAGGTGGAAAAACGTTATTGGGAGGGCAGTGGTGAATGGGAAGAAGGGATGGGTGACAATCGAAGATCGATTAGAGTGGTTAATGGAGGGGCAGGGAAATATTGAGCAGTGGCGATGGAGTGGGCAAGGATATTAAAAATGGAAGCAATGAGAAAGACACGAGAGATTGCTTGGTATCAAGACTCACCACTAATTAGGTATATAACGATAGCAACTTCAACAATGAGGACGATTCAAACACTAAGGTATTCACGTTATCTGCGATAAACCAACACCATTCAAAACCTCTCAACTGCAAATCAACTCCATTTTCTCTCCCTTAAAACTCGAATTAAACCACTCAAAAATCTCCACTTCGTCCTGACAAACCCTCGCACCCCTCAAAACATCATTCTCCACCACCTTCTCAATCGCCGTAAGAAGTTCCACCATCGCAAGATTCCTCGCAATACACGCTCTACTACCCGCACCAAACGCAAACCAATATTCATTCGCTTCGGCTGTAAACATTTCCTTCTAGCCATCTTTCGGACTGAAATTCATAAGGATTGGGAAATACTTCTGCGTTGAAATGGAGCTCGTAGGCTGAGCAGCCTATAATAGTTCTAGCGGGGAAATAGACGGATTTGAATGTCCATCCACCTGTAGGAACAACGTGAGGTAGACGAGTAGGATTTGCCATGCTGATGCATAGATCTTCTTTTACTACTGCGGAGAGATCTAGATAGGGTAGAGTTTGAATTTCCTATTTATTAATTCATCGAGTTTACATTTTCCATGATTTAAGCACAGAGGATTTCATATCTGTAATTTTTGTAAATGATTCGCTCAGACTATTATACTATTATTAGTGTGAGATAACTTACTTCTCGAGACATAGAAATAATTGTCGAAATATGGTCGCGAGATTCATGTTTGTAGAATCCGTTCCTGCAAATATGAGATCTTTACAGTGAGCTTTGACTTCCGACTTGATATTGAGTAATCGACGGGGATAATTCTGACTCTGCTTCGGAGTAAGACTCTACAAGGTTATCAACAGGTTGATCTGCCAACTTGATAGAATTTTGGGTATGTGAATCCATCACGAGCTTCTCCATGAACCATGATAACCAAACAAAAACCGTACTAGGCAAATAAAAATAATCTTCCTACAGCAAAAAAAGCACCCACAAATGCAGAAGCCGAAAGTCTTTCTCCTTTTTCCAAAGTCCCATTGTAATTCTCCAAAAATAAATGCACGGAAATAGCATCTAAGCCAAACTCCAAGTAAGATTCAAACAATTAAGTTGTTTCTACTCTTTAGCTTCTTCCCTCATTCTCCTCACCATATTATTCACACATCTATACAACGCAATCTCATTATCCCTAAGGTTAATACATTTAGTCGAAAATAACGACATCACCGCTTTTGCTCTCGCAGCCCTAAACTCAACATCTGTAGTCGAGAAAATAGTTTTATATCTATCGACGTTGAAATTAGCATAGCAAGGAGCTTTGGGGAATCTTCCTTTGGTTATATAGATTGGTGTTATGGCATCTGCGTCTGCGATGTCGATTTCGGACAGGGAGACGCGGATTATGGCGTCGTGTTGGGCGTGGAGTTTGTGGATGGTGCTTGCTTCGTTGCCCGTGTAGGCGTGGTAGTGTAGCTAGAGGGAAGTGAGTTTTGGGAGGAAGGTCCCTGGGATGTGGGGGAGGGGGGAGGAGGGTGCAGTGGTAGGTGGAGGAGGAGGAGAAATAGGGTTAGGGTGGTGAGGAGAATTGTGAGAGGATCTGTGGTTTTTTGACTCCGGGGATTCTCGAGGAGACCCGTGATTGGGTCTGCTGGAGAAGAGAGATGACTTAAGTGAGGTAGAATTCGCAAAGTGGGAGTTGTCCGATCGATATCAATAGATGGAATGCATGGTATCTATCAAGCAGGCAGTTCTATGACTCAATAATATATAAGTAAATCAGCTCACCAATGAAAGAGTAGCACTTTGTATCGTGATAGATAACGCTATCGAAATTTTTTATGTTGTACTTACTTCTACACTTATGACGTTGCTAATACATATACGCTGAATAGTATATATACTCCCTATTTACTGTGCTTGATGGAGTGAGGGGTAATCAACCTTCTGATGGTTGACAAGATGCCCTCACAGCTCATATATGGTCCGACCAGCCTCAACTAAACGATATGCCGGAAAAATCATGAAAATGGATTACTACCATGTTGATTCCAGTTTGGAAGTGATGATGAGAATGATCATTCTGTGACATGTTGTTTTGTCTTAATATGGGTTCTAAGTTCTGTGGGTATGCTGACAAATGATTTAACCTTACCGACTACGCTCCTCAAACCAACTCGAATCTTTTATGTCCATTTTTCAACAACTCATCCTATCCGTCACTAAGAGCCATTATCATGAAATCAAAATTTCAAATCTTTGGAATTGGTTCTTTTGGAATCTCTGAGTAAAGAATCAGTATGAATCTACAGGCGGGACAATGGCAAGAATTGCACCAGGTACAGCTATAGATTGGCTGGCATGAACCCTCCAGTAGATAAATTGCACGGCAAGCGTCGTGACAATATTCTTTTTGCGTAGTGTGCAAGTGCATCCAACTGTATTTTCAAAGGATATGGTTGTTGGAGCGGATGGCTTTTGTTGAAGGCCAATCTAAAGGCTTTAAGATATTCTGCTGCTCCCTTTTTCGATACAGTCATACAAAATGCTGAGTTCGAATTCAGGTTGTTCAATGATCTTCCTTCTATTTGCTGTTGAGAATGAATCTTTATGTACGGAATAGAGTAGTTGCTCCTCAAAGAAATTTTTCATCACACGGTATTCAATCAAAACTTCTGTTTTTATAACCTATATCCACTTTCGAGGAATTGTCTCGCCAGTCAACCCTACTTTCTACGTTCGATGATGATAATCTTTACGGCAACTAAGAATGTTGAGAGTATATTTTCTGCCTCTAAACTCATGATATTCTATACCAGAAACCATCGACCCCACCGTTTCATCATTGCACCTGCCCCTTCATTTCTTGCTTGCCTCAAGCTTTATTATCCCCTCCGACTTTTGCGAAGCTTCCAAGAATACCTCAGAGTATTCCTGCATTTTAAATGAACATTTTGTTTCATTCCATTAACTTCTCGCTACTTATTTTATAACCCCCTTGTTGCATATCTACAATAGTATTCCTAAAGCTATAGATGAATACTCTCGGATATTCACAGCTACGCAAGCTCATCTATATTGATCCATATCTCATCAATTTTTTCCAGTACCGATTGCCCATTTTCAGCTGACATTTCAACGGTCGCCAACAACCATTCATATGCTCTTCTTGCTTCCCTTGCATTTCGAAGCCTTTCCTTTTTCTTCAGGTGGATACATTTTGATAGAAAACAAAACACATCTCCTCTTATCCATAGGTCCAGTGTAGCTCCGAGATCATCAAAGAGCAATTTCTCACATAGTGGTTCACACAAAGCGTACTCCGAATTGTCCGCATGCATTTGAGCTTTTTCGAATTTCGCATTCAACCCAGTTTGGTTTCTCTGCATCTGCGCTTCGTTTTCTGCAACAGCAGTTGCATAATCATTTTGAAAAGAGAGTTTCGTCCGACTAGTCCAAAATTGATCGGTACAGTTACTGTAATATCTGCTCACTCCAGGATCTTCTCCTGTTGTGGCTGTAAGTGATTGGATGAGTTTTAATAAATCAGCGGCCTAACTTTCGAGTCCAGCACGATGGTGTCTTTGTAAACCATGGTATTTTTTAAAATACAAGCTAGATTTAACAACCTTTTCCCAGATGATAAGTCTATAAACGCAAAGATCGAAATTTTGAAGCGCGGCATCTAAGGACTCTGTGAGGGGCTTTCGAGCCGCATTCAGTTTATCGAACCATTTATCCAATTTATCTCGATGTTCATTCTCGCGTTCAATATCTGGATTTTCTTCTTCTGGATCTTCACGTTCTGGATCTTTGCCCGCAACATATGCAAACGTCCAAGCGCAATCCATAAGTGTTCTGGACTGTTGATGCATAGTTTGATTAGTATCCGTAAATGAATCAAAAAATCTATCAAGTCGATGTTGAAGAGTGAATTTTCTGTTGACTCTTCCATATTGGTCTAATGAAAGATATTCTGCAAACGTACGCTTGCTCAGTTTAGAAAACCCATACTTGGTAGGAGAAATGACTGATACAGGCGATAGATATCCGCAAAAATTAGATGGAAGTATCAATTTGTATTGATAGTCAATATCTTTGCTATAATCATCTTCGATAGTAATTGTCTGAGTATAGCCAATTGCTTTCATGGGGTGGTGTAATCCATACTTTTTAGCATGTAATGTCCAGAAGTCGTCGGAACGAAACTGTGCATGGATATATATAGGAAGCGGGGATGACCAAGATGGACCCAAGGGCAACACAAGCTGAGGTACTTCCCCGTGCCTTGCTGCATCCGCTTCTGGCCATGGCCTTAGGTTGCTCCCTAAACCGGGGACATCTGACATGGCGGTGTATAGCGACTTGTGGTGTACTCCTCCAAGTAGCTACATGGATTTGGTTAGAATTGAATTCTTTGGTATACATAGGGATAGATCTCTTATAGAAGCCTCGCCCGCCCAACCAAATTCCGATTTTGGTTCTCGATGCCACATCGGCTCAGCATAAAGTTCTCCAAGCTTCGCTGCTGCTTCTACTATTTCCTTTTTTACACATTTTCCATCATCGGTAAATTCCTTAGCATAGCCAAGTACATGCTAATATCCACTTATTAAAAAATCAAATAACGGGAATACAGAATTACAAACCATAAATTCATGATATATTGTCGTTGCCACATACCATTCCTCAGACAGCCTTTCAGCATCAGATAAATCGGGGTTCATCAGTGCTCGAAAACTGTATATATTAAGTGCTGTAACTATTGACCCCTTCTGACGATTATATATGGATACTGCAACCTATTTTTGATTTTCAGCATTAGAAGGACTATCAGCTGCTGGTTTTACTGAACTTTCATCCGCTGAATTACCATCATGGTCTCCGACAGACTTTTGACTCTCAGCAGCAGATAGCACTGAACTTTCATCCACCGCATCACCGTCAGGCACATCCACACCAAAAGCTAGCCTAAAATGACGCGAAAGAACATATTTCTCAATACGATCCAATTCCCGTCTTGTACGCCAAGCATTCAACGAATGATACGGAAGAAGATTAAAGCGTTTAAAAAGTCTCTGGGTGCCCCCACCATACTTGAAGACATCCTGCGGCTTGAATTCCTCAATTGGGATTGTCTTAGGGGTTCCAAGTAGTAACACTTGAATATATTCTCGTTAGCACGCATATCAACTTCCATCTCTAGCAAAAATGAAAAAATAAATCTAAATAAAAATAATAAAAAATACATACAAAAGAATCCGTATGCATTCTCCCAAATAACCTCGAAGCAAGCCTCAAACACGGCTCAAGATATTTCCAAACAATGGGATTCTTTGCCGTCCACGCGATACCCTCCTCCTCAACCCTACTCATCGGAATCTTAAAATCATCTTCTCGATAATCAAGCCATCGACTCCTTTGTAACGCCGGATCAATCGGATTACAATGAATCGGTATCTCTAAAGCTTTCAACGAGACAACATCCAAATCGACAAGAATTTGCCTCGTGTACCCGTGCAATCGAGATTGTTGATATGCGATTCTTTCTTCACGTGATGCGTTTGCGGGTGGATGGGTAAGGTTGTATGCGGTTATGGGGGTGAGGCCGCTGCGGTGCGCGCCGATGATGATTTGTATTGGGGAAGGGGGAGGGCCGTATTTTCTTCGATAGATGGTTGGTGATTTTGGCATTGTTGATGCTGGGTGCAGGGTTAGAGGGCTTTTGGTGTTTGAGTAATTATTCAGCAATGGTATCGATATTGTTATTACGTTTATAGATAGTTGATTTAAAATTGAAAGGTTTGAGAGTAGTAGAGTATCAGAGAAATCACACGGATCCGAATGAGATTGTTTGCCTGATTACTTTCTTTGATTTTTGAATAAAGAGTCCCATTTTGAAAATTTCAAAGACCCTTTTCCCATTTAAGGGATTCCGTGTTCAAAGAAATTTATTTATAGCACAGGCAATGCTTATTGTTGAAAATTCCTTGACAGCGTTTACCCTTCATGTTCTATGATGGCGCAGGATTTTCGATTATTGCTGAGACTGACTACTCTCAGCTTGAGCTAAAGAGTTTTATGGATAAATTCCTGTTCATAACCTACTTCCATGCGGCTACAGTTTTGACAACAAACAACGAGTCTTTTAAGGCTCTGATCAAACTCTCTCTGTTTAACTGAGCTTGCAACATTGGACAAGTCCCATCCGCACTCAGGAGAAAATACACGTAGCTTCAAGGTTTCCATTTTAGTCTTCAAACGGCTGCCAAAATCTTGATAGTCTTCAGAAGCATGGAATAATCGTAGATAATTGTGATTTGACATTGTTATACATGGGTGATGAACTTTATTTCATTTCATTGGTGCTTTTCCTTTGGGATGAAAGATCAGTGAGTATGGTATTTTTTATATTTAATAATACACATCCATACAGTGATATATATCAAATAATTTTAAAATACAAAATAATATATATAATGAACAATTTTTCAATATATAATATACATAATAAATTACATATTGTTTTTAATATACACTCTCGTTTTATTATAATACACTAATATAAACATTAAGTCTAGTACTCTACTTTTGGGCCATCCTTTTATATCAAAAATCATCATTTTTGATTATTAATAACTTTACAATTAGTCAATAGGATTTGATGAAATTTGAATCATAGATTAATTATATAATCATAAATAGATTTTGAAAATTTCAGATTTTGAATATTTAAATTTTGATTTTCCATTTGTATAAGATTTATATACAAATTTGAAAATATTGAAAACCTTTAATAACTTTTCAACAAAAATTATTAAAAATAAACTATAAATCTTTTTCGAATATTTATAGTACAATTAATTAAATGGATCAGTTTATTTTAAAAAATAATTTACAGAAATCCTAGTAATTAAAATATTTTGATTTTTAGTCTCTGTAAAATCTAAAAATATCAATAAAAGATTTTCTATATAATCTAAAATTCAAAATTCTAATTTATTATACTCTATTTAATTTAAAGGTTTCAAAAAAAATTAATAATTTATTTTTAGTAATTTTTTGTAACGATACTATACTGGAGGCAGCGGCTGCCTAAGGTTCGTCGGTTGGTAGTTATGGGTTAAGGCTTTATCACTGGTATTCATGTAACGATACTGTACCGGAGGCAGCGGCTGCCTGAGGTTTCGTCTGGTTGGTAGTTGTGGGTTAAGGCTTTATCACTAGTCTTCACTTGGAAGTGAAGTCGTTACTAGATCAAGTAGAATGTAGGTAAACTAATTGATAACTAAGTTGAGCACGAAGCTCCTAAACTATGAAACTACTCTGACTATATACTGAACAATAAAGGGGGCCCCTAAAAGCTTTCTGGCTCCTCAAGACTCCTTATCACGCGATTTCTGATGGTGCGTGCGCATACGATCTTCAGGTGACCAAGATCACATACTAATTCGATGAAATCTGATCGTGTTTGCACACGGCCTAAGCTCTCCTAATTAATCAGTTTGCTACCATCGTAACACCATCAATCCTAATGGTGAATCGTGACAATTCACTTGAAAGTGAATTCGTTACTAGATCAAGTAGAATGTAGGTAAACTAATTGATAACTAAGTTGAGCACGAAGCTCCTTAACTATGAGACTAAATGAATGTTTATATACTCTATATCATCTTTGAGGACCTCTGGGACCCTAAGGTCCAAAATGTCCTCGAGGTCACGTGAATTAATGAATCGTGACATTTTTGTTGAAAGGTTATTGAAGATTTTCAAGATTTTCAAATTTATATGTAAATCCTACACAAATTGAAAATTATAATTTCAATTTTCAATTTCTCGATCAATAAAATTACGAAAAATCTGAGATTTTCAAAATCTATTTATAATTATATGATGAATTTTTAATTAAAATTTCAATTGATTCGATTCATTGATTGTTGAATAATTAATAAGTCAAAATAATCATTTTTTATATAAAAAGGTGGCCTATGTTAGGGGTGGTCCAGAAAGGGGGTACTAGACTTATAAGGGACGACAATTTCAAGTATCTGATTCAAGAGTAATTTTATCCTTGATGCAATCAGATGACATAGTGGCAACCAGTAGCTATATATTATGCTACTGAAACCGGGCTGTTTCCACATTTTCTAATCTGTCGAGAACAATCATTACTTGCACTTCCATTTGCCTGTTTTCCCTTCCTTATCTTACCCCGAGATTCCTTGAGCTGACTTCATAATATCCGTATTCAGAGACACTAAGACCACAGCTCCCGCCAATACTCTGGGAAGTATAAGGAAATTCTTAGCGATTGCGAATGCTTCGCAACAAATCGATTGACACGATAGAGTGGGAGGAAATTACTGACAGAAGGAATGTGGTAAGTCTGTAATGTGATATTTCATATAATTGCCTGTGGCAAAGGGAAAAAAAAAGAAAATAGGTGAAAAGAAAAGATGGGAAGGAAACGCGGAGGTAGAGTCAGGAAGGAATAAAAGCCTAATTCGTAACTTGCCTAAAGCCTTGTTACTAGACTTTGGGAGCTGAGGCATCTAAGCCGACTACAAGAGTAAAATGGCTTTCTGACTGGGAGGGAAAGATTTTGGATGCTTTCCCTGTTGGTTGAGTAGAGAATAAGGCAAGCCTAGGTGGTGAATGAGCACTAGACTGTAAGAGAGAATGCAATAGGAGGGATACATGAACGGGAAGAATTGGCTATGGTAGGGATTGGCACCGAACTGATTCACGTCATATAGTTCGAAATATGTTCTATCGGCCGGAAACAGAGATACTGATTTGGCAAAATACAACAATGATGTACTTTGATAATGGTATAAGCAGAATCCCTGAAGAAGGGCAAGAAGATAACATTTGGCAAGCTAGGCTAGTATCATATGAGAGCAATATTAGGACTATTATGGTTTCTACTAACGGTCAAAAAGGGGTTTGATTCACCATACCTGGGCTGTTTTCGGCCCACGACAGTTCGTATATACGACGGTATCTGGCTTGAAAAGCGCCAAAGTGAGCTCTTTAATCTTTGGAGGGCAGCGAGATGCTGGGGTTGTTGACGCGTAAGCTTGGCTGATATGATCGATGAACAGGTGGATGTGGCCCAGGTGTAAGAGGGTAATGACGGTCTTTGAGGATCTTCGACAATCATTTAATTTGGCGAAGTTGTCATATTTTAGAATCCGTAAACCTGAAATCTAACTTGGCGGGCGGTTTATAATCCGATAGCGAGGATAGCACTTCGATTGAGCTAAATTCGCAGAGTGTTGCAGTAGGGAAAAATGCGACCTCTCATAATGCCGGTAGAGATAAGGTCAAACAGGACAGCATATGATCAATTAAATGAACGAACTGGCTATGGTTTCTGGATTGAAGTGAGTAAGGATATGTGCATTGAGTAATATGATGAAATTGTTTAGCAGGAGTGAAATCTGATTGGTATTTCCAGTGATTTGCAGAAAGCAATGAAATGAAGTGGGATGGAGTGGAATGAAATGGCTAAAGCAAAGGCTGGAAACTAGGTGCATGGTCCCACGGCTGATTGGGCCCCCTCCTGGTAGCGGCATGCCTCCCTCAAACCTTTTTGGATGCTTACATATATTGCCAACACCAAAACATGACTTCATATCGAAATCAAATCTATTTGATGGAGTGAAAGGTAACGAGTCCCAATGCAAGAAGTGCAAGAAGGTCTTTGAAATATGCCAAGTTTTAGAACATGAAGGCTGGAGGATTTGCTTCATCCCGTGCTACTGTGGTGAACAGTATTACCCTGAAAAGGCTCGAGCCACTTTTCCATTAGCAAGTCACGAGTACAAGCCGCATAGTACGACTGACGAAGCGTCGTCTTTCCTAGAGGAAGGAGGGAAGTTTACAGGACATTCTCGAACCGATTCTACAGACTCCGAGAATCCTTTAGCATGGAGTGCTGAGAGATTCGACGAGGAAACAATGGGGTTAGACAAATGGGTGGATACAACGAGCAATAGTCAAGTTGGAGGGAGTAGCACCACTTCCTGGAGTGACTGGGCCTGGAATTATGACATAAATCAAACGGGGAAGATATCTTCTGCTATCCCAAAGCGAGCATGAGTGGGAGTGGCGACACCCAGAGCCAGCGATGGGCAAGAGGAGGGGACCAAAGTCTGGAAAATGAGAGGGAAAAGGGAGAGAATGATGTACTTAGTGATAGAAACCGAAACACTCATTGGATGGATAACGGGAGATGAAAACGAGCTTTAGCTAGGCACCTCGCGAGTCCGTAAACCACGGATGCTCCCTAATCCCATTTATTAGTATTGCTTCAAGACTCCGATCTCCTGATGCCTCTGTTGCGCCCATCTGCAAGGTGCTCCATGTGGCCTCAAAGGACGGGGTAATTTCAATACTGCAAACCCCATCAAAAGAATTGACACCGCTATCGTCAGAATGGATAGCATTAACGTTTTCTATATATTTGGCTTCTCCATGTCTGAAACCTTCCTGGATTTCTGCCGTCTTCTGATCATTCTTGCCCTCCAGCCACCAAACCCAGTGCTTATATTCTCGCCCGCGGCCCAATTCCAGCGCTGGCCACAAATCTGGTTCAATCTGCTTCTTGGTCACGTAGCCAAAGGGTTGCCATCCGAAGCGAACGGGATCAAGACGGCCCAGAGTGAAATTGAAACGGTGACGCAGAAGATGGGATCTTGGAACCTGAGTTGCCGACTCTTGGTAGCTACCCGAAAATTCCTCGTCTAAAAATGACTGGGGAGAACCAGTCCAAGCAGCCACGTCTATGTCAGGCGCCGCAAACGAGCCGCCCCAGCATTATTCGTGAGTCTCAAGATAGAATACGATCATATCGAGGATTCTGGGATCAGCTAGATGGAATATTGCCCGCCACAAGAGACCAGCTCGCTCTCGACGGAGGGCGAAAACATTCGAGAGTCTCTTTGTGTTGCCAGCTTCAATGAGCGGTCTGATGACTTTAAGTATCGAACCAAACCACACACTGACGAGATTGCACCCGAGCCCTGGCTGCCAGAAAATACTCCAAATGACAGATCCTACAGACGCTGGAGATATTCTGAGAGTCATAAAGTACCGGAGATCCTTCATGTACTTTCGAATATAGACCAAGGGCACGGAATATGTGTGAGCAGTCGAGACGAGTCTTGGTACAGGGAGCCGTGGCTGCAGGTTGAGAGCATTGTAGAATGGTAGAGCAAGTGCTGCGAGAAAACCTGTTGTTGGCTGCGGTAACGATTCGGATAAGCTTTCTGTACATGCATTTTGAGAACCAATGCCATATAATCGACAAAATTCAATCAAAAGTTCTGTGGCTTTGCTCGCGGCAGGAGGTCGCTGATCATCCAAGAAGTTGAAAGGCACATCAGTAACGATGACAAAACGAGCTGTTTCATCATAGTGGGCTGTCCAGGGTGGTAAAGGGCCCTTTACTATCCATCCAAGGCCTGGCGCTAGGAGTGCACAAAGCCATCTAATCAGTTGTCTCGAGGAACTTCGGAGGTAGATAATTATATCTCCAGGTTGTGCCTTAAAGCTACTTGAAAATACAGGCGTCAATCTTGTAAGTGAGTATCATATAGGTCTCTTCTGCATTTCAAGAAACCGTACATTGAACATTTATGCCCAATAAAGTGTAATTATAACCATACAGTCCGGTTTTTCATCTATGGACAACCGTGTAGAGCACAATCGACATACTAGTGCCTACTTAGCTTCTAGGGGAAATTTCTTTTGTGAATTGTATACGTCCTCAGGATTCCAAGCGTCATTCGTTTCTTGTTGGGAAGACTTGGGGAGTTCTGGATGTGGTATGTGCCACCGAGCCTGGCCCATGATCCATCGTCGTTTCGGTAAATCTCGAGGGAGTGGTGGCATATTTTGAAGCAGAGTGTACGGAGCCAAACACCCCTCACGTATCCAGCCCGCAGGCGGCGAAGCAGCTTGCGCAAGAAGAGCACGCCATATTTTCTCCCCTTTCAAGAACGTACGGTTGATCTGTTCAGTACTCGGTCTGATAGGATCATTATCATGACCTGTGAGTAGCTTTTCAGGGTGGCTATCCGTGGATGCGGTCTCGGATTTGTTGTTGGACGTTCGCCCACTCTGTGGAGGAGAACAACTGGTAGTCTTTTCGGGTATGGCATCACCTGCTGTTTCTGTCGTAACAGTATTACAGGTTATATAGCTGGGGGCAAGTCTGTCTCAAATGTATGATCCCCAGTAGGCATCCAGCAAAGAATTCGATCGAAGCTTGGCTTCGGAGTGTTTCTAGACAGCAATTTTTCAGTCGTAGCCATGGTATCTCGCCGGCAGACTAAGGCTATAGCTAAATTATTGACCGTGAGCCCTTATTTGTAGATATCTAGGTATACACCTTACCTTGGAGTTGAATGGAAAGTGGATTTTTGGGAGGATGGTGAGGTTGATGTAAGGTAAATAAACAAACAGCAAATCGGGGTATTGGCATCCAGGCACGGCTTCTTCGCATGTGGCGCTAGTACAGCTCTAATTTAGCTCAAGATGTTGATCTCCTCCCAGTTCGTGTTAGTGTAAGTGTTGGGTTTCTTGAGACTAGAAAGAGTATCAGATTGAATTGATTGATTCTCTAGCTAAGCAGTTAAGCTGCGAGTATATATTCAAAAAATGAAGGAATAAGGTTAGGTATTCAGCCTTCGGAATTAAAGTGCTTTGAAATCAAAATATTGAAAGCAAACAAACAGTATACCAAAAAGGAAAGAATGAATTAAAAGTTGAGTTTTGTTTGCTCCTTATATGCATATGTACTATATATGCATATGCTGCCAAGATCCCAGGAGGTCAACACGCCCCCTCAGGGATTACCGAGTTAGTTAATAATGAGGTTATTCCTGAACCTGAGACCGAATGTCAACCATTCCCAAAAGATTGATAAAATGAGTGTGTTTCTGTGGTGGTAGAGGTTTAGTGAAACCATCTGCAACCATTTCAGTAGTTGGAACCCATTCGACTTGTAGCCTTCCTGCTTGCACTTCCTGGCGAAGCCAACAGGAGTGTATATCAACATGCCGGAGTTTTGTAACAAGTCTAGGAGTACTATGCTGAAGAAGTCGAATGGTTTGGCGATTATCACAGAAAATTGAAGCCTTTTCTTCGAGATCTAAACCAACATTCTTAAAGAAGCGTATCCACCACATAAGCTCTCGAGCAGTAACGGAAAGAGCCAGTATTTCAGAGTGTGTGCTGGAAGTAGTCACCGACTTCAGCTTAGTGCTTTTGAAGTGGATCAAACCTCCAAAGAGTATGAGGCAATATCCCATTGAAGAAACTCTTGTATCGATATCGTCAGCATGGGAGGCGTCACTCCAGATTTGAAAGTTCCTGGTAGTTGTTGCTTTCTTCCCATCGAACATGATAGCATAGAATTTGGTATTCTCAAGGTATTGCAATGTATGTACTAGCTCATGATAAAATCGAGGTGGAGGTGGTAGATCATTTTGATGTAATCTAGGAGTTCGTAATTTAGACCTTCCGATAGCAAATGCTGCAAAGTAGCTGGATAGTTGAGGAAGTGATGAAAGTGCTGCAGCATGATGTTCTTTCCTTTGTGAACGTCTAGAACCCTGAATTATATGGGATACGTCGATATCGGCACGTATTTGCTCTGCCAAAGGTGCTGTATTATGAGATGATGTTGTAGTGATGATATCATGTTGACTTAACGATGATGATGGGGAAGATGAGAGTTCTGACTCCGGTAATGATGGTATAGGAACATCTCCAGTAGATTGTCTTGTAAGTGCTTCTGGTGATAAGGTTGCTCTAGGCGTTGGCAATTGAGGGTTAGTTTGAGGAACCCCCTCATTGGTTGGAATACCATCATCCGTCTTGTTTGAAGAGCTTTCATTCGTTGGTCGCTCGTTTAAGCGATTGTGTTGTAAGTTCCATGGCCCTTCAACTACAATTATATCACCAATACTCTCATCTGATTCTTCACTCAACAGATTCGATATTTCTATCTCTTCTGCCCTCTTTTCGTGAATAGCTGCAGTATCCCGAAGTTGATCCTTAATAAGAAAGCCAATATCTATATCTTCTGGTCGATAATACCGGGTTTCATCAAATTTGACATCCCTACTTCGAATGATGCGATTTATGGAAGGGAGCCAGATCCTGAAGATATTCGTTGAATCATACCCTACAAGATAGCCCAGTTTTGCACGAGGTTGCATCTTCGCACGTCTTGGAATCTGCTTGTTGAGCACATATGCCAAGCACCCATATGGATGTAGATGTGCTAGCGAAGGTTTATTGCCAGTAGCACTTTCAAATGGTGTTTTCCATTGAAGAGCTCTTTTTGGAGTACGGTTTTCAAGATAACCGGCTGTTTTAATTGCTTCTGGCCAAAGGTTTTGTGGTAGGTTTGCTGAAAGGAGGAGGGCTCTTGCTCTGACCATGAGCATTTTACCAGCATTCTCTGCAGCGCCATTCTGTGCTGGTGTATCTGGTGGAGTGCGTTCGACAATGATGCCACGTTTGTCTGTGATCCTCTTGAAGTCGCCCCCTAACGTAGTTTCACCGTCGAGGCGTATGAATCGGACCTTTGAGCCGAATTGTGTTTGTATCAGAGAGAATTGAGTATCCATAATATCGATCATCTCTGTTTTCCTAGTTAGAACATACACCCATTGTATTTTGTGTGTCGTACACCAGAAGTGGCTGATATATCGGGTATTATTATAAGCCTCATCCATCTCGAACAGATCCCATGCCAATCGATCTCCGACATGGCCGTTCTCTGGCATCTCCTTCCTTGGATTACGAGATATAATCTGTTGAGCCTTCGAGAGATTACAAACTTTGCAGGTAGAGAAGGAAGGTGTCGAAATCGTTTTGTCGATAATGATATCAGTAGTTGCTGATTCTAGGTGCTGAAGGGCTTCGAGAGAAGGATGGCCTAGAAGATCATGTAACTCTGTTGTTGTAACCTTTCGGCATATTGATTTGGTGTGGTTTTTGGTGGCAAACGAAGCATGCTGAGAAGGGATAATAGGATCGAGGGTCCAATGGTCTCCTGTTTGCTTCAGAGTAATAAATGCAATGCCTTCTTTTGTAAGGACATCTGGGTGTTCAGTGTTCCAATGTACACCTTTCTTTGAGAGTAAAGCTAGAGAGACTAGGTTTGTAAGAAACCCTGGGATGTACGCCACTCTTTTTAAGGTTATTTGCCCTGGCCCAGTTGGTGTATTGATCAACATAGTGATAGTACCGAATGCTTCAATTTGGAATCGGTCCCTTCCAGCGCTTATCATATCGGATGGCTTTCCAAACTCTTCAAGAACAAAGTTGTGTAGAGAGTTGGTGACATGGGTATCGGAACCGCTATCAATTAGCCATTTGTGAAGGATGCTAGCATTGTTGTAGGTAGGACTTTGTTTAGTGAGAAAAGCCCCAAGATCCTTATCTTTCTCTTTTCCAGATTCTGAAGGATTAGTCAATGTTTCCTTCCATGCTGGATCCCAAGAGAGATTTGCTAGCTTGAGAAGTTCTTTAGTTCCTTCATGTCTACGAACAAACCAGTTCCTTCGTTTTGTTGATTGCCTTCCCCAGAACTTCTTGAAGTATTCAATATCGGCATCGATTGGTTTCCAGTTCCTTGGTCGATTATCCGAATATAGATAGTAGCATTTTTCATATAGATGTTTCTTGCCACATAGACAGGTTCTCTCTCCTTCCTTTTTATCTTTATTCCCATCCTTATAGGTTGCAAATGACGTAGAAGAGGTTGAAGTAGTTGATGCCTGTGTGAGTCGAGTGTAGTTTCGAAAGTCTTCGATTAAATCGTACACATCAATCGTTTCTTCAGGCTGATTCTTGAGCTTTTTGGTGATCTCCAACAGAGTTGAAGTTGCCCAAGAGGAGCTGTGATTCATAAGGGCTGTAGAAAAGTCGAACGCAGCTCGATTTCGATCGACGTCTGGCAGATTGAGAGTTTTAGCCTCAGTGTAGATGAGTTCCCATTCGTTCAACCATTCATAAATATCCTGATTGGATTTGTAGGGTTGCTTTACACAATTGTATCGTGCTACGACGGTAAGCTCTCTCGCACGATCAGTTGGTGCTAGCCTTTTGCGTAAATCAGCAAGCACTTGAGGTGCTGTGATACTGGTGGTACTAATAAACTTTTCGCAATTGCGGTTGATTGATGAAAGTATGTACTTGAGAACCTCTGAAATGGCCTTGTTGATTTTCTCGTATTTGGTATTCTTGATACGATAGTTCTCTAGTTGCATCTGATATTGCTTTAAAGCCCTATCAATAACAGCCTCAGAAGCATTTTCATCAACTGTGGGTAGCTCTGGTTCATCTAGCAACTCTGGTATAGGTACAACTGTTGTAGTGGGATCAAGGTATACCCAGCATTTGATGCCGCCGGATTCTGCAATACGCTGAACATTTCGAATCCAACTATTCCAATCCTCTGGTGAGGAAAGGATGATTTTAGTTGAATTATCGCCTGTAGTCATATTGAAGAAATAAAGTCAGAATTATCGAGGTTTGGGTTTTATAGAAACCACACTACGTAAGGTAATTCTTAAAAGAGTGAAACTTGAAGGTATCGTAGAGTTTCGGTATATGTGAATCAAGTATTGTGCAGGATGTTTAATTGAAAGTCAGCACCGGGCTCATAACTGTTGGGTTTCTTGAGACTAGAAAGAGTATCAGATTGAATTGATTGATTCTCTAGCTAAGCAGTTAAGCTGCGAGTATATATTCAAAAAATGAAGGAATAAGGTTAGGTATTCAGCCTTCGGAATTAAAGTGCTTTGAAATCAAAATATTGAAAGCAAACAAACAGTATACCAAAAAGGAAAGAATGAATTAAAAGTTGAGTTTTGTTTGCTCCTTATATGCATATGTACTATATATGCATATGCTGCCAAGATCCCAGGAGGTCAACAGTAAGTGCTTGCTGTGCATCCTCTCCATTTATAAGGCTTAGGAGCTTTTTCTGGATTATATAAGCAATATCGACCGAACAACGACAATAACAACGGACGGTCGCATGCGGGCAGCGTGCTAAGCAAATCACGCAGCATCAAGTATCACAGCAGCTTTCAAGTCGCCATCAACTGTGGCTCTTCTAATAGTACCACATATATGTTCGTTAAAAACTTTGGCGATCCCTTGCAGTGAAGCGTTTTCAAACATTCGTTGCTCCTGTGCGGTAGTAAAATTTGTCTTCCTCGAGGCGGATACTGCTGTGAGCGGACTTTGCGTCTCGTAAGGAGGTTCGAAATGAGTCCGTTTATTGAGTTGGGAAACCATATTTCTTTCATCTAGTAATCTATCAGTTCTTTACTCGACGTCTTCTCTGAGTGTCTTTAAAATGCCTGGAGGGAATAGATACTGCAGGAAATCAAGATACCGAGGGCTGCTATTAAAACCCCATTCTAAGGCTATTGACTCAAATTTATCTAAGCTGCTAAGGTCAAGTTCAGGCGATATGGTTCGTAGGTTTTAAGGCTAGCGAGGTGATTCAGATTGTTGTAGAAACCCGTCTTTGAACATGTCGTTGGCGGAATAACCAATATGGCCACAAGAAACAGGTGGTGATTAGCTTCTTGGATTGCCGTGTAGGCGCGACGAGCCCAGGTCTGCCACCATGAAGTTGCTGATCCCTTTTTGCCATTCTCTTTTTCGAGAATCTAATAGAATTTAAGACGGTGGTTCAAAATCTCCTTATCGCGAAGCGTGATACCACCAGTGTTTAATTCATTGACCTTTTCGGCGATTTTAGTAAGGCAATGGTCTTCACAGCCCACCCGAAAGATACGGGCCCATCCATGACAATGGAATGGAATGAAATGAAATGAGTGAAATACAATGAAAATGGTATGTGGCCCGGGTGCGGACACGTGTTTAACAGAATTATTGTTCTGGAGCGCATTTACAATGTAACACGAGAAGCAGATATAATAAGTGCATCAGATCGATTTTTTGAATTATTGGAAATATTAAATGTGATCAGAATGTTGGGCTTAATATATATCTGGATATATTTGGCTATGAGTTTTGAAAATGTGTACATGCGCGAGACATATTCACGTGATCACAAAATCTTCAGCGAATTTGCTGTGGCTTCTTACGGAAACGGAATACTTCCAAATACATTTACATCGCTGTCTGCATCCATCATGATTATCAGTCAGGTATCCATCGGGATGTACATGCAACCAGGTAATTATGCTTGAATGTAATTAGAATAAAGAGATTTCTGTATTATATAGCGTTAACGTTGTAATTAATATTTTGCGGTATCTAAAAGCTAGATTGGGCTTTGGGATAGATGCATCCGGAATCGCATCACCGCAATGCCACCGTATATTAATTATACAATAGCGCGGTATATATATGTAGCCGCGATCATTTTGACATTATTCTGAGGCAACTGTACTTCTTTGGATGTATTTTCATTGCTGATAGTGTACGCCGCTCAAAGATTCATTGCCGTAAGAAGAAACTATCTGGTGGAATATTTCAACCACTTTCCATTCCCGGTCCATTTTTATGTCTTCATATATTAGGTTGCCCCAGACTCGGTGGTCGTTGGCTGTTGGGGGACTATGTTTGCTTTGGATCTTGCTTCTCGCCATCAAGCACAATCGCGAGTACATCGCATCCGTTCCTGCGAGATTCACATATGTTGAAAGTATAAGGGGAAAGTCCACCGCTTCTGCTGTTCAGAATAGAACAATGGGATTTGGTGCGATTTTGATGGCAATATTACCAGAGTAAGTTGTCATGATCTAATACTTTAATGTTTAAACGAATATTGATTTTGGCCACACTAAAGTCGAACCGATCAAATAGACACCGCATCTCTCCTCTCATCTTACTCAGATATTGACCTGACCATCATTGATGGAGTTAGATCTGTTTCAGAAAAGACAAGACCGCCAGGAGGAGCTCAATTGACGAAAGGTCAAATTGGATGTTGGAGGGCGCATATGAATATGATGCGCTATGTTGTGGACCATCGACTCGAAACAGCTCTAATATTAGAAGCTGATGTAGATTGGGATATTAGAATAAAGTATCAACTAGAAGAACTTGGTAAGCATATGCCGGGTGCAAGCAAGACCAGGCCTTATGGTAAGCTTCATGCGAGTAGACAACCTGACATTAGTTAATATTTGTCTCCGAAATGCAGGTCTGGAATGGGATATGCTCTATACAGGTCCAGCTCTGCATCTTCCTGAAGATGCAAACCTGGGGCCTGTGATTCGCTACCATGATAACACCGTTGGAACTTTAACCGGGTCAGGATATGATAAGATTGAGGCGGACTGGGTCGCTAGAGACTTAGCAGCATACCAGGCACAGGATCATCAAAGAATCGTTCACCGAGCATATAGTAAGCCAAACTCTGTATTTTTGGTCAATAACCCATACACTAACATGAGGTTCCTCTTCCTAGCGACCTATGCAAATACAAGTTACATGGTGACATTGGAAGGCGCGAAACGAATTCTATATCAGCTAGGCTTGCACCAGCAGACTGCTCCTATTGATGTAGATTTCCTTGAAGCTCTTCATAGAAGAGATATTAATGGTCTGATCGTTGTACCACCCCTTATGCAACAGTGGAAGACAGGAAATGCTGCCAAAGATTCGGATATTGAAGATCCTGGCAGAGAGGATGGAAGAGCAGGCTCCGGCCCCTGCATCGTGCAGAGTGTGCGGGCAAGTTTGCATGATAGCGCTTTTAATAATTCGAGGATAGATTGGATTGATAGAACGGATTTGACAGGATAGAAGCATAGCGAAGCATCAATTAATAGATTTGGTGAAAGTTCTGGCCGCGTTCAGATGATTTGATATCTGTTTCGGGGATGCGTCTCCTTATCTATTCAGTCACTCACTTGAGATACAGTGCAAATGCCAAATAGAACGTGTTTCGCAATGTGCTTCAACTGAGCACTCTCAAATAACAAGTAAAGACCGTTCTCCCATTGGAGATTGTCCGTTGACACTATTTAAGGTCTCTGCGATGGTAAAATGGTGCTTTGACAAGAGTGTTTACGTAAACTGGCTTCGTTAACGTGGTTTATCAGGACCCTGTACATATCAGGACCCTGTACACTTTTACCTCAATTGCCCACATTCCATTGAAATAAAATTACAACAATACTATAAATTAGAATTAAATTACATACAATTCAAAAATCAACTAATGCTGGATCTAATTGATAAGTTCGTGCATTATGTGAAGCACTATCACATTTGCTACATCGTCGTATAGTAGCTTGCCTCCTTGCTGAAGAATCACCATTTGTAAATTCATCACATTGTATCTGATCTTCTACATTCTCTTGTTCTAATATATCATGCCCATCTTCTACTGAAAGTACTTCTCCTTTTCGTATTAAAGCTTTTCTAGCTCTCCATCGTTTACTAAGTGCTTCATTTGCTTTGCGGAGACTATGAACCTTAACAGCTAAAAGCGTATTCGTATGAACTAAGAGCTCTGTATTTTTAGCTAAAGCTGCAACTGTTTTAAATATTGGAGTAAATAAGCTCCCTTGATGTTGAGCAATACAACTTTTCACTAAAATGGATTGAGAAAGAACTTCAATTGGATTGTGAAATGTTTGAGATTGTTATATATCAGGATCGGTTGATATTGATCTATTTGATAGAGTTCTTATTCGAATATCTAGTTTTGAAAGTACAATTTCCGGATTAAATGAGATTAGCCCAGCTTCGCGGAACCCAGCTTTACCATTTGATATAGATATTGCTTCGATATATATAGCTTTGAAGGCTTGAAAGAACTTGGTTTTGGTAATATAAGTGATATACGCCTTGATAAAGTTCTCGATTTGTCGACTATATGAATACTTTAAAAAACCAAAACAATCGATATCGAGTGATTGAATTAAATGCGAAGAATAAGGTAGTAAATTAAGTAATATAATATCGTGTTCCTTGCAGTATTCCTGAAATGCCAGCGATTTATGACTTTCATACCCATCAAGCACTAGTATTCGATATCTATTTACTTTCCTACTTTCAGTATGTTTGTTGAAGTGCTTAATCCATTCAAGACCTGTCTTATTATCTGTCCATTCATTGATAATAGGTTTAATAAGCCAATCGTATAGTAAATCACTTTCGGTATACCAATTTGAAAGATGGTATTCGCCTTTTACTATCAAAAACGGAGGTATATTGTGATTTTCTCCATCAACACAAATAATCGCTATAGCCCATTCTCGATTGCCTGGTTGTATAGCTTTGCTTTTTCCACATCGATCAGCTTTAGTAACTACTATATGTAATGATATTTATCCTATCATAAAGCCTATCTCATCGAAGTTGTAGAAATCGCAGTCCAGAATACTATATTTGGCCTGCATATTCGATACTAATCGAAACCATCTTTCAATAAGCTCTGAATCTTTGCAGAGAGCTCTTTGAAAATCATAAACGCGATTAAAACACATCTTTAATTCTGTATATCGTTTCACAAAACGATGAGCCCAGAGCTTTCCAACCTTCTTCGCACCCCGCGTTTTGAGTATATAATTCGCCATATCTTCCACATCACTTATTCGAGGATTAAACCCTCTTTCATCTATATCCAATATATATTGAAGAAGCGATTTCTCCTCCAATTCTGTCATTTTATGATTTGCTGGTCGACGTTCAGTAAGAGGCAGAATTCCATTCATTCTAGAAGTAAGGGTAGTATGAGGTATATTATAGAGTTTTGCAGCTTTCCGAATACTCAAATTTTGAGATGTACGAATAGCCTCAATAGCTAAATTGATTCGAGCTTCTTTTGAAGTAGTTTGCATAATTAAATATTGATAAATCGCGTGTTGAAGTTGAAAGGTGATAATTGAGGTAAAAGTGTACAGGGTCCTGATATGTACAGGGTCCTGATAAACCACGTTAATATATCATATGCTTGGTAATCGATTGGCTATAAACCTTCCCCACCTTGAGCCGTGGTGTGAATCTAGTGCTTCAACAGTGAACTCTATCCGGTAAAAGTCTGGAGGGTTAAATAAATATTTAACCCAGGCCAGGGAGAGCAACAACCTTCTTAAGAGTGCGTCGATGAATTGAATATTCAAGCAACAGTTCATTATGCTCACAGCACGGAAAGTTCCTAGAGCATGCCAGTCATGTAGATCTCAACTCCTTTCTCTCTTCGAACATGGATTCACAAGACCTACTGCTTCAACCGCTTCTTCACATTCACGATATCGCGACCTCCGCCATCGATCAATTCAGCCTCGTACTAATGCCCTGCGATTATTCTCCACGACCCTTACTCGATCGGACGAATCTCCCACTAGTAAATCTCCGACAGAGTCTGAGAAAGAAGCAGCGGCGGCAGCAGCAGCGGAAATTGAGTCGGTGGTAAGACAAGCTAGGCAAACATTTGGTGAAACCTTGCCAAAGGATTATCTATCTGTCCAGGAGTATCAACTATATGAGAGATTGTATGGCCCACCACTACGGGAAACCAGACCGGAAGATTTAGAATATCTGCAGGTTGAGGAGGAGGATATTGGAGAGGATGGGCCATCTAGGAATATTCTTTTGAGGGAGAACGCTGATGGCGAATTCGAAGAGGTTGAATTCGATCCAGAACTGGGATTTAAAGTGGTGGAAGATGGCAGTGATGGATTTGCTTCTGCTAGCGAGGGTGAAGAATTAGAATTCGAGGAGGAGAGTGAGCCTGATATGGAATTGGAGGCTGAAGAATTCATCGACGCAGAGACTCCCGCGGGACCAGATACTACTAATTTAACATTTCAAGGTCAAAATCAAAGAGAGGTGGATGCTATTGCACGGCTACAACGCGATATGGACGAGGCGATGGCACGAGCGGCAGAGCAAGAGGATACTGTTTTTGACGAGGACTATGAGGAGGAAGAGTCGTCGGAGGAATCCGAAGAAGAATTGTTCGAAGACGAAGAGATTTTTGACGAAGAAGATCACGATTCATATACGAGCTCGGATGAAATTCGTACACATCCACATACTAGAACCTCCAGATTTGGCACATCCCCAAGTACTATATCGCTACCGAAAGAACAATTCGTTACACCAATTACTGAACTTCTAGAGAGAACAAGCATGAAACACGTCACAGAAGCTGCGCAGAAGGCATTTGGGTGGAAAGTGGTTACCATATTCTTCTTCCACCCCGAACGTAGGAAAGCTTAAGCTTTTGCCACAAAAACATGTTGGACTTGATGCTTCGCAACATAGAATGAGCGAAATTGAAGCAGATGCATATTTGGCAGGGGTGATGTCCGGTACTTATACCTCTGTCATGAGTACCTTGGTCGAAGTACGGAAACGACTCGGACCTGAATGGATCCGTGAAATGTTATTCAGGGAGGGCGGCCAAGGTCCACGAATTCTTGACGCGGGAGCTGGTGGAGCTGGTGTAATAGCATGGAAAGAGATTTTGCGAGCTGAATGGGATGTGTTAAAGGACGATGGTATTGTTGAGGGTGATGAACCACCTTCTGGTAAGCACACTGTTCTCACCGGAGCAGATTCATTGAGACATCGTATTTCACGACTCCTCGACAATACCACCTTTCTTCCCAGACTTCCTGATTATGTTCATTCATCTAGTGGCGAGGCCCAACTTGATGGTGGACCTGCACAACCTAGGAAAGTATATGACTTGATTATTGCCCCGCACACTTTGTTTCCATTGAAGGAAGATTATCGCCGAAAGCACATGGTCCAGAACCTCTGGTCAATGCTTGATCCCAAAGGAGGCGTACTTATTCTGATAGAAAAAGGTTTACCCCGTGGGTTCGAGGCTATAGCAGGGGCTCGCTCTCTTTTACTTGATTCACATATCTCTTCCCCTGGCGAAGAAGTTGTCGAAAAGGAGCTCCAGTCCCTTTCTGATACTGAAGCACGGTTCGTGGAGAAAGAGGAGGGTATGATCATTGCACCATGTACTAATCACACAAAATGCCCGATGTATCCAGTTCCAGGTCTTACCCCTGGTAGAAAGGATTTCTGTCATTTTGAACAGCGATATCTCCGCCCACCTTATCTACAAAAGATCTTGGGTGCTTCTTCTCGCAATCACGAGGACGTTAGATATAGTTACCTCGCAGTGCGAAGAGGTATTGACGGTAGGAAAGAAGAAGCTATTCTTCAAGGAGATGCTGCAACCGACCAATCTTTTGCTGGCTATGAGGAGCACGATTTATCTGATAGTCCGGATATACCTGCAGAAGGGGATGTACCGTTCCATCCATTGTCGCTTCCACGATCTATGCTCCCACCCCTCAAACGACGTGGTCATGTCACCTTGGATGTTTGCACACCATCAGGCAAGCTGGAACGGTGGACTGTGCCTAAGAGTTTTAGTAAGGTAGCGTACCGTGATGCTAGAAAATCTAAATGGGGAGATCTTTGGGCACTTGGTGCCAAAACACGGGTCCTCAGAGAGCCTAGACTAGGAAGGGGAGGAGCGGGTGCTGTAAATAGTAAGGGATCCAAACCCGGAAAGGTTCTCAGCAAGTCGGCTGCCAAGAAGAAGAAGAACAAGTTCAATATTATCATGGGCCGCGATGGTATGGAAGGTCTCGAGGAAAGCAGAGATTCCAAGCGAATCTTCAAGCCCGAGAAAAGAACTAAAGGTGGACGATTTGTCAAGCCGAAAAAACCCATTACTGAGGATGACATATGAAAGATTTTTTTTTGTACCATACGAATTATACCATGTATGCATATTATGGACAACTTTTGAGACATGTACTTATGCTTTTCTGCTCCACAACTTGATTCTAGAATTTATGCCGCAAAGAAAATATACGAACTTCCGAAGTGTGTTTTCCAGAAAGAAAGTCCTCGTATTTAGATGCACATTGTGATGCTACACGAGTTATCCGTCTGGAACTTCGGGAGAATTCAATATATCGACCCCTGAAGTCTGATTTATTTGGTCATCCAATTTACATTTCTCCAAATCAATGTTCCACCGTGGACCAATGAGTGGGTCAATCGATCAACACCGCTGCTTGGTCCGTGATTCCGAGGATAAATTGAACATCGATTGAATTCGAAAGAAAAAGGGATTTCGTTTTCGAATCTCTAAATTTATGTCCACCAGTATCTATTTTAAAGAATCGACAGAGAGGATTTTAGAAGGATTGCATCACACATCGCAAACGGCAAAGCACAACGTTTAAGCATGGATCCAACCTGCGTATCTGCACAATTACTCCATAGATTTACAACCCCTTTTTCTTCCAGCACCAAGCCTTCTCTAGATCCATTAGACACGGTTCAGACCCACCAAATCATCTACCGAACAACCGGACGAATCTAATCAAATCTCTTTTGCTTCAAGTCTTGGCTCATAGCCACAATTCTTATCTCATTTGCGGCTAGTAAACCAATAGACTTTCATAATAATGTGTAGCGTGGGGGATGGAAGTTTTATTTCAAACAAAACAGTTGCCGCTCATTGCATTAGATGCTCAATTTAACCTCATTTATTATTAATACAACTGCACTATTTAAGTCGATCCACTTCAATTTCCAATTCTTATTCCCCATACCTATCTAACCTCCTCCGTAGTATCTTTCTATCAATCTAAAGCGAGCCAAAAGTAGGACCTGGTCGCCCCGTAGCCTGCAGGTTAACCGTTAGAAAACGATACTTTCAAGGTTTGAATATATCAATGTCTTATGTCTTTATTGTCAATGCTCGTCATGTATTCTTGGTACCAATGACCTTCTTCTATTTTGATTAAATTTTTGGTTCTTTGAATACCGGTAGCGTAGCTGTCTACGACTGTCTTCCCTCTACCTGATCTATCTTGATTGATTAGCAATTCACCGCCATCATCACCTATTTGTCCCTGTCACTCATTTTCCAGCATTGAATCTTCGGTGTGCAACTCTCATTACTACCAATCGTTTTCTTAACAGTATAGTATTTTCCTTCTTCTTCTCCTTCTTCTTCTTGTGGTCTCTTGCTTTCGGCACTTTTGCATGTCTAGAGAGTGAGCATTTGTTTTGTTTTGTTTCCGTGGAAAACATTTGGGTGCGCACGAAAAGTGCAATCAAATATAATTATGGAATACCGTCTCCGTCTCTCCTTTCTTTTGTTGCCAGCCGTGAGCTGGGCATCCGTAATCTCAACACCTCGTTCTCCTGATAGAAGTCCCGAATCTAATGAGTATGTACCTACCAATTCATTGATTGATTGACCATGTTACTCTACCTCCTTTCACAATACTAACCATACAATTCGCAGAATCAAACAAACCAACTCCATATCCTCTTCAATCTGCACATCAAACTGCAACCCACCATCAACCTCGCCCTCTCAAATTCTCGAGCTCCGCGAATATAGCGAATACCACACGCACTCTTTTCACCATGCTAAATACGATGCCCATGATTCTCCATCCGGTCCTCACATTCCCACATCGTGGAAAGTAGCCATTGGCGTCAACGCCTTCGTACTTGTAATAACAGCATCGATATTAGGAATGTTAGTGTGGATATTGAGGAAAGAATATAGAAAGAGGAAATTACTGCAAGGAGATCCGACGTATGTGGGTGCAAAAGATGGGTTCGGAAGACGAATGAGGAGTGCGCGGAGTAGTCGAGGGGCAGGAAATGGAAGGGGTGGGAGAGCGAGAGCATGGAGTTACGATCCGATTCGGGAAGAAGAGGAGGATGGAGAAGGAATTGGAGAGGGTGTTAGATTAGGGGGTTTGGGAATACAAGGTGTAGAGGGTGGAATGAGCATGCCGTTGAGAATGAACGATACGTTAATTGTTCCGGGAACGGAAAAAGAAACGCTAGAAGATGCAGATGCAGATGCCAAGGGAAAGGGGAGAGAAGGTTCGAAAGCCAAGAGAGCATGGCGGGGAAAGCACGTACGATTTTCGAGTTGGGGCGGTGAGATTGAACCGACGGATTCGATGGGGATTGTGGCGGGTACTAGCGGGAAGGAAAATGGTCTCGCGGCTTTGAGGACGGAAACTCATGAATATGTTCAGACGCCTTGAGTGGTTGTATTTTTTCTTTGTTGAGTATGGTATTTATGGGCGAGAGAGGGATGAGAGTGTGGGGGCGGGTTGGTACATTCGTTGTTTAGGGAGGAATAGCTTGTATGTATGGTATGGATGCATATATATGTGTATGTAGGATGGGATGTATATGTACTATGGGATGTATAAGTAGGTAGGTATAGATATGGATGTGGACACGGAGTGTGTATATTGGAGCAAAGAAAAGCAGCAAAGTACATCAGCGGAGGACAAAATACGCGCATGTATCTATCTATCAGTATGGCGTTAGATATAGTGCACATAGTTTATTGATTTAAATATAGTGGGGTTCAGGCGTGGGGCGAAGGAAGAGGGGGAGGGGTGGAAGTTTTAAATTTTTCTTCCTATTCTCATTCATTCTCATACTCATACATTTTTTTCTTTCTATATCAAAATATATCAAATAAATAAATAAATCAAATTATTCTAAAGTATGTTATTCTTTGCTCCTTTTCGTTTTTTGGTCTGTTTTCTGGTTCTCTTCATCTCGATCTTGAAACTGTACTGTGTACTGTGTACTGTGTACTGTATTCGAATCGCTAAATATACCCATTTCATATATACATACATGCCAGACCATACAATATCTACCCATTAGACTACATTCCACAAAGACCACAAAAACAACCTACCTACGTACCACTACAGAACTCTCATTACTTTGTTTACCCTACACATTTGACTCCATTTCAATCCATTTTATCTTATTTTGTTGCACATCTCAAAAACCGTCCGGAACACCGGGAACGATTACCGGTATACATTTTCATCATATTTATCATTTCTCATAATTTTCCCTTGTTGAAGTCTTTGTTGCATGCATCGGATTTTCGTAGTATCTGATTTCTAGTATTTTTTATTTGGAAAATGCGAGATGGGAGATGGAGAGATGGGGAGATGAAGAAGGAAATAGAGATTGAAGGGCCAGTATCTCGATAGACGGTTTGTTTGCGCTAGAGGGGATGAAGGATGAGGATGAAGAGGATGAAGATGCTAGGGAAAATGGAGAATAGGGGTGACTGGGTGACTGGGTGAGTGGATGAACGAATGAATGAATCAATGACTGGGATAAAGACCCCTCTCCGCACTTCATTGTTATTGATTGTTGGTATAATCGAGTCATCATATCAATATGGAGAGCTTTAGGTTTAAGTCTAAGTTTAGGCTGGAACTGAGGCTGCATAGAGATTAGATATGAATTTTGATTTGAGGAGAAGATTCAAATTCTTTGTTGGTGGTTTGGTTTGGATTGGCTAAGTATATTCCACACAAGAAAGAAAGCCAAGTCTAGCCTACTATTCCACTGCATCCGCATCATTAAAAATTAGTGATCAAGATAGAAATTCGTGGTTTGTTGATTTCTGGGGAGAAAAAGGCAACCTCGTGGTGTTTAGGTTCTCAAGACTACTTCGTTCCTTTATTTTTCTGCTTGACTGGATTACTTTGTTCAAATGGACCTGGATTGACATCAGAAGCTATTAATTGGTGGTTTATATCATTAAAATTCGATCGAGCGATGATACGTTGGTGAGATATGCAACAAAACCGATTTTGGATAATTTCCTTGTTTATTTTCTTTGTTCGATAGAAGTGCCAAGTCAGACTTGGGAGAAATAGCTTTCTTTGCAAGAATTTCGTTTGTTGATTATGGTAAACATCATACCCCTTGAGAAGGTTTTTTTGAAAATGGTACCTGTGATGAGGTGGTAGTAAGGTGTTTGGGATTACCTCGAGGGATATATGTATTGAATAAGCTGGTGTATCTACGGTTCTTTCTATTTTTGTATAACAAGCTTGATGTAATATCTTGCAAAGAAAGGTCCATATATCCTCAATGATATACCACCATCTCAACATCACCACTCGCTTCTAAATAAAGCAATATGATCCACGAACCCAGCAAGATTATCCGAATAGTTCCCAAAATCTCTTCCATCAATAGTGATCATATTCGTGGTACCCACGGTATTTAGATTGTAAATACCAATATCTGTATTATTCCCCTCGAGACTGAAGATTCTAGCTTGACAAGCTTCTCCATTCCCCTGATCCGAGCACGCTGGTCATGTTAGTGAGATGATCGTCAACCGAAATAAGTCCAACCAACTTACAGGTATTATAATTATCAAAGAAACTGTACAATCCAGCACCATATACATAAACGCTCTCGCTGTCTATGATTCGAAGACCCCATCCGTCCGCGCAGTTTCCTCCCGTTGCATTTCCACACGTGGCTGCGAAATCCGGATCGTTCCATTCAGCCAGTACGGGAAAGGGGTATAGTGCATTGGGATTCGGTTGATAATATGCTGTTTCTGTCTGAATTTGCCCGGCGAAAATATCTCTCGTGTTATCAAATTGGTATTGATATAAAGTATGATGCTCGACTGCCGTTCCAACAAGCCAAATGGCACCAATTTTAGATTCGCAATAAAGCCCACGAGCGGCATAGATTGAGATTTGAGATAAGTTAGGGTCATCAATGTCGTGGTCAGCAACCCAAAACCAGTTATTTTCTAGGTAGATACCAGAAGCATACTCGGTGATGTGGATCGACATGAAAGCTGCTCTACATTCAAGAACGATGCTCGTATTATTAGGAGTTGCGGGACAGCGATCTAACTGCAGATCAGAACCGTCAAATCCTCCGATCCTTGTGTGCACATCCCATAGTCCGGAAGGAGAATTCGCTGGACTGGCTAGATTCCATTCAATCAATATAGCTCCGCTCATATATCCTTGAGTCGAAACAATCGTATCTGACCACTCAACGTTTCCGGATTCGAGAGGAGACCCAACTTGAACGACAGGTTGGGGATGAACAATATCAGTGAAAAATGATCCTGATCCCATGATGACTGGATATGATTCACCAAGAATCTTCGAACACGATGGAATATGGATGGTCGAAGTCACTCTATAAATGCCACTGTCGATATAGACGACCTTGTTGGCGAGGGCCGCATACTCAAATACCGCGTTCAGTGCAATCGTATCGTCCGTAACTCCATCTCCAGCTGCACCTGCTGAACGAACCGAAACGAATTTAGAAGGCGGATAGTTTTCATATTGAGGCTTTGAGCGAGCGTAGAACCTTCCACCAGGAGATAGAGATTCAGAACGAGGGAAAGGCACAATTGGTCCCATGAATTTGGTAGGGCCATTTGGATCATATTCATTCCCTTCGCCCCATCCACTGATTATCATTGATCCGTTCCTTTGTCCAGCCAAAACTGTATTTTCGGATTCCTGTATAGCCACAGGAACATTCGTCAAACGGATGTTATCAAGGATGAGATTCCCAGCAGCTTCTGGCAAAGACGAACCATTGTAAGCGGTGATAATGGCAACCTCGGTATTTGTGAAGCTACTGTCAATCAATGTCGCGGACACGACACCCTGAGCAGATGATCCACCTGCCGATATGTTTAACCCGGTAGTACAATTATTGATGTTGATATTCATATACGTCCATCCCCAGTCCCAAAGCTGGGAAATTGCCGTTACAGCGTTGTTGAAGGTCAAATTTCGGACGGTGTATTGCTGGTTACCGAATGCAGCTCCTATATTACCACCATTGAAAATCAAGTCGTTCATGAAGCCGCCCGAGCCTGTTTCGTGTAAGCTGAAATTCATAGATCGAAATAAAGTGTGGTCTGGTATATTTCCATAATATGGGATCCATATTATGGGTGAAATTGGGGAAATTTGCGAAGAGAAAGAGCTTTCGCCAGATTTTCTACTTACCTGATTCGATAAACAATCCTTGATGTTGAGTTCCATTTGCCTCGCTCATTTTGAATACAATGTTCTGTAGGCTGGTAGCTTGGGCAGTAGGCCAGTGGATTCCATAGGCTGTAGAATTAGGGGAAATTCTCGTCATATCCAGCACTAGATTACGAATTTGGCGATAGAAGACATTTGTTGCTCCGAAACCTAGTCCGTTGTCTCCGTAGATATCTCCATCGATCAATCCAAATCCTTGGAACCCGGCGGTAGCTTTCAGTACAGGGAGGTCATTCGGATTACCTATAATCTGAGTGAGGTAATAATCAATGATTGAGGATGAGATGAGATATGTCCCAGATGGGAAGTAAACCACTGCAGGTGATGTAGTCGTAGATGAACACACACTAGGCTCGCATCTTTTACCTGAACTGATAGCTTTGTTGATAGCAGCAGTATCATCGGTGACACCATCCCCTTCACGATGTTAGCAGCCTCTCATGAATGAGGAAAAAAATTATGATATCAACCTTTGGCTCCAAAGTCCTTCACATTTCGGAACACCTGATATGAGGTATCATTTGAATAATGAAACGGCGCAATTCCCTGATGAGATATTTCTTCGAGCCAATACGATGAAGCAGAAGTATTTGTTGTCGTGGTGATATTAGGGAATATTTTAAAGGGTGCGATTGTTGCTGATGGCCTTTGGGCTGATGCGAGGTGAATGGTAGTGGTAGAGATATAGGCTGAAGTCACGCTCAGAATACTGAGGTTCAAAGATAGGAAAAGAAAGAAGTTATAAACGCCCATATTTTAATGCGTTTTTGCTGTGGTTGAAGATGTTCTTAAATTCAATGAAAGTTCATTTCGAAAGCGAAAAAGGAGTGTGGAAGGATTCTAAGGAGTGTAAAGGACCGTAAAAGTGTAAAGGAGTGAAAAAGAAGTAGAGAAGGAAACAGACTTAATGAATGTGAAAGTTGGCTTTAGTCAATTGGAAAAGAATGAGGGGCCGAACAGGTTGAGGAAGGGGCAGCAGCAGAAGGACTGATATAAAAGCAAGTACGAAATGAATTAAGTCAATGCGGTGCAACTGGCACCTCTTGATAAGAATCTGGATCACATCCATCATCTATCTTATCCAAAGTTTGTGATAGTAACACGATTGTGATTTGAATTGTGATTAGTGCTACTCCTCCACGCCTACTCTCGTCAATGCAACGCCCGTTCTACCATGATATTTCCATCTGCGGTAGGGACGTCAATCATATCAGCTTTTCCGAGCTGAAAAGCGCAACCCCAATTAAAATTTACCATAGATCTGTAGAAACTAGTCCATAATAGGTAGGTGTAGGTTCTGTTAAGCTTTTACATGCAGCTGAAGAAAACTTATTTTGGGAGATTTTGATCTTCAGACAATAGCCCAGACCCAACAAATCGGAAGAACTCACAGGCCAATTGAACGCAATTAACTGAACACTCGAACCTGTTTAAATTATCAATTTGATGCATTTAGGATTCAAAAGTTCGTATTCAATATAATAAACTTTAATATTGAAATTATATTGACTTATAAACCAACCGAGTTTGGGTCTTCAATTGATCTGTTACGGGATGTAGCACGATGTTTTCATTCCGAAATCAATTATGTTGACTCTGAAGGAGATTAATTCATTGGCCAATGCTCTAGCTCATTCGCCAATGAGCTTAATTTTGAAATGAGCTAGCTCATTGCTCGATGCAACCCGTTGAGATAAAAATTGAGTTCATTCGCAAATACACTTAGTTTATTCAAAAATATTTTTCATATCTTATTCTCATTTTCAATCTTATAATCAGTTATATTCTCATTTATAATTTTATTATCACATCAGTTTATATTTCAATCAATTAGAAATAATAAATTTTAAATCTTTAAAAAATTTATAAAAATTTATTGAATTTATATATAAAAATGTTAAAGTGAATGGTTCCTGCGTAGCACGTGCACAGGGCACTAGTCCTGTTAGGACTAGATTGAGAAGCTCTCTTACAGAGAGCTTCGCACTTCCGTAGAACTTAGAAGAGAGATTAACCTACTAGACCAATATTACCTCAGTTCTGCCCTATCAGCTTCCCACTATTCCCTGTGTGAGGTCATTCCTTTTAACAAAAAACTTTAATATCTTATAAATCCTGAAATTAGAAATATAAATTGAAGTAATAATAACGTTATAAATAAAAATAGATGTGACGGAAATCCCTGCTTTCCTCCCACCCTTATTATATAAGAAACCTCAGGTACATTAACCATGTCCACACATGATACGATTACTCGAGATTAGTATGCGATTTAGGTGACCTGAGGATCAGATCCGGACAAGTACTAGGTATCAATGGTTATCGGTAAAGTAAGATCATTGGAGGAATAAATATGACTTCTTTTTGCCTAGCTATTGCGGCTAGGCCATTCATTTGTGTATATATAGAGTAGCTATCCCCATCTACAGGTGCTCTTCACCTGTAGATTCTAAGTTAAATACAATTGCTGGTCTATAAACACCCTTTTGGTCACAATAGAATATGAAATAATTTTAGGATAAACTAAGTTCATTTGTGAATGAATTCGATTTTTTCTCTATTAATATCAACTAGCTCGTTCTACAATTTAATCCATTCCGGAATGAGCTAAGCTCGCAATCCTCATATTTCGCTACGTCCCGTAACAGATCAGTGTGTTTAGTTGGCCCGTGATATCTTCTATCGAGCTTTGAGCATCCAGGCATACGTTGCATATACACTGTCTCAACATCGTAAGACTCTCTATATATTTCAGAAGATTCAGCATAACAGTAAGAAAACGCCTTTCAAAAGGTTTTGCTATTGTTTTCGAACCAATTAACTGATTCTTTGCCACTTAGAGCTCTTACGATAATCTTAGCTTCAAGAATGACTGTATTTTTAATTTGCAGCTTGCAATCTATACCAGTTCCACCCTTACAATATCAATCTACTTTTCCCCACCAATTCTATGTGATTATTAATCATTAACCCCATTTTCGATCTCATACATGTACGGAAAAGACCCTTCATATAACCCTCTGCTCAAAATCCATTGAATAACATCTCACACGAATTTCGACAGCTACACAAGAGAACTCGAAGCAGCGGTATCGACCACAACCCTCGAAGTAACTTTCATATTGTGTTTGTCGGCCCTTTCAGAAGTATCCTCATCCTGATCTCCCAACCCGTCCAGTGGCCCCAACTCCACAACCCCACTTTCACTAACAGTGCCCTTAATGTCCCTTTTCCTAAAACTAGCATCAATCTCCTCCAAACTCTTCCCCTTCGTTTCTGGCATCCAGATTATCGCCACAATGACTGTCACTAGGGCCGCGCTTCCCCACAACCAATAACATCCACTCGCACTCTTCGCCAGGAATATAGGCGTCGTGAATGCTATTATCCAATTAACTACCCAACTAGCACTCAAGCTTAGACTTGTTGCTCCGGCCCTCGTTTTAGCACTTTGAATCTCAGAAACGTATACTTTGAACGTCACAGCCCATGTTGCAGCAAATATAATCGCGAATAGATAAATGCAGATGATAACGACCCAGCGACCAGCGCCGTAAGAGGAATGAACGGAATCGGAAGCGTAGAGAGAGGCGATGATGAACATTACGATGAATTGTCCGACGCCGCCAACAATGGTGCTAGTTCTGCGACCCCATTTATCGGCGAGGATGAAGGTTGGAATGGTAGTGAGGAAGATTAGGAGCGCGGAAATACCCGAGGCAAGAAATGAGGCCGTTGATGAGGTTAACCCAGCAGCTTGGAAGAGCATAGGTGCGTACTGGTTTTGTTAACTTTCATACTTTCGCTTTGATGGAATGTGGAAGGAATGGAAAAATATCGGAGACACGTACATATAAGACACCATCAATCCCAGTCGCCTGCTGCATTGCCATCATGAATAAACCCAAAACTGTCCTCTTCCACGCATCGGGTGCGAAAATAGCAAATAGGTCTTTTGTCTTAACTTCCTGATCCGCTTTCTCATTATCATCTACCTCCTGTTTCACCCCTTCTCTCTCCTTCTCAGGCACCGCGAGATGTAACCATACTCGCTCCGCTTCCTCAAACTTTCCTCTTGCTGCTAACCATCTTGGACTCTGCGGTAGGAATAACATAGTGCTAGCTGTGAACAAGAATGCGATAATTGCTTGTACCGCAAAAGGTAATCGCCAACTTAAGCTTGATCCTATTTCCACAGACCCATAACACATAAAATAGCCTGCAAGGCATCCCAAAGTGGTAGCAAGCTGTGGAAGACTGGCTAAAGTACCTCTTTGGGAAGGAGGTGATATCTCTGTGATATAAACAGTTAATGTGCTTAGGAAAAATCCTTCGCCAAGTCCTTTGATGGCACGACCGACAAAGAGTTGAGCGAGTTGAAAAGATGAACATTCAATGGCTGCGCCAATACCAAAAATGAAGGAGCCAATTGCAGTAGCTGCTAAACGACCGAGGGCATTGGCTAAGTGGCCGGTAAACATCGAGGAGAGTGCTGCAGGTATGAGGATTGTGGAAACAACAAGACCGTGCTGGGAGGAAGAGTCGTGTTAGATTTAGTTGAATGAAATAAGTGAGGAAATGAAGGGGGAAGGATATACGTACGACGGTTGATGAGAGTGTACCAAAAGTTGCGTAGAACTGAGGCATCACTGTTAAAGGACCGATGGTGCCCGTGTCAAGACCAAATAGAATACCACCGATCGAGATAATGACAGATGCTTGTATGTATTTTGGTGGCATTGTTAGGCATTTGGCGAGCCACGGGTTGCGCGAGGGAATGGTCATTCTTCCAGGTCAAATAAACTATGAGGTGGTAAAGGAATGATAGAGCGAAAGACAGGAGGATACTTCCAGCGAGCTTGAGAGATGAAGGTAACAACTGAAGATACAGGAAAATACAAGTAGAAGCAAATGTGAAGATATAGTTATATCCAACTGCCACACCACCAAACACGGTTTCCACAGAATATTTGAAAATCTAGATGTGGACTGATAATCCGCATGCGCAGGACCTTCCACCTTGACTTTTTTTTTTTGAACGATAAGGTATCATTGTGGATATACTCAGGGTAAGCTCTGAGTTTGATAAGCTTAACCTACCTTATCTGGTTGCATAAGAGCTAGTCAGGAACTTTCCATAAAAAAGCCCACTTGAGTCAAGACGGATATGGAGAAGTAGATTTTGGGAACTTTGCCGATTGGGCGGAATATTTTTGCATATGCTTACATCCTTGATGTCTTCATAAAAATGAATGAGAGTAAAGCCTAATAACAACTCTTCTACTGGCAAATATAGTCACGCTTCAAGCTTCAAAGCAGTTGACATGTTTGAGAACCCAAAACCAAATCTCGCCTTGCTAGGATAAACACACGAAGTCACAGATCTGCAGAACAAACGAAAAATCTACACCGGTGTAGTCGTAGAGCACTCCACCTCGGAAGACTTTCCTCCTGTTCATTGGTTCGCCACAACATCTCCAATGATGTGTCATCTGCAGGATGATAATCCGTTGGCTCAACTTCGGGATAGAAAAATGGGTTTGGCGTGGAGATTGCTTCGCCAGAAAAGTTCTTTAAAACATTTTAACCTATGATGAAACATCCTCACATGCTTCATAAGCTCAAGGCTTTAAACCTTTAGTCTGGATGGAAATGCTTGAGAATGGCTGTCACGACCACCGTTCTTATTTGATTATTTCTGAACACAAGGATGCACGAAGCAGGTACCTTTGAAGGCCCTTCGCATGAAGTACTCATCGTAATAATATTCAGCAAGTGCTCCGAGATGGTATCCTACGACCCGAAGACCAAGAATGGGTAGGTAAGCGCGATGAGAGATCTCAAAATGTACCAATTCACGTGATTTGATTCATTTCCTTTTTTTTTCGGAGGGAGGGATCACAGTTTTGGCGCGCCTGATTTTCTTTTCTTGGCGGAGAAACTAAGCCCATTGGGAGACACAGTAATGTGATCGCGAACTTGAGGTCGGTCAGGGAAGCATCGATTCATAGATCCATCTAATGAACCACATCAACAGAAGGAAGGCATCAAAACATTGAGGAACGATATGGATTTGTTGGTAGGATTGGAAAACGAGTGAATGGAAGAAGATTCAAAAATTTGAGATGTGGAGTTCATTTATACTTATCTAGTTTGAATGTTTCCGCACTTATCTGATCATCTGATAATTATGACGAAGTTTATCCGAATTCCCCCTACGTTTACGCGTTCTTCAACAGTTTTCGCTACGGATATCACCCGTGGCACATATGGCCTCGATTAAGACTTGAGCGTCGAGCAGACATCAACAGTGCGCAGCCTGATTCGGCTTCCTACAGGTGTTGTGCTCAATTCATCAACTTTTACGACTTTCGGGACCGACTCGGGACCGAATGGCGTCTTGGCAGCAAGTCACTTACGTGCGATGTACCTAAAAAATATTAGTATTTACTCCAGTTTTGAGTCTATGCATACTAGGTAGTAGTATTTGCCAGGCACGCAGATCATAATCTCTATCAACTGCCATAGGATGGACAAGGTCTTGCTAAGTAAGCTTCACTTATGCTCCCCTTAGCCTCGGGACGCAGGTGAGCATAAACCATCTAAACATGCAATGAACCGGTACTTCAGATTGATGTTGAATGATTAATCAAGTTAATGCTAACAAAACATATCAAACAACAACCATAGCTCCGCTTGATGCTAATGATTCTTCGGGGATAAGGCCTAATGTCGAGATGAACAACACCTTGTTGAAGAACCACGTTATATTGGGATTACGTACCCGTGGTGGACATGGCCGTGCCATTTTCATGGTACCCCGCATCTACATTGGTATGTACTATGCAGAGAGGTAGTGCACAAGTTTATCAGATTGAGGGGACATTCTATACCGAGTTGTGTATTGTTAGCACGTGTTACTGGTAAATTTAGACTTGTACAGGAATTGATTAGCAGAGCCAGCTCACAACTTCAAATTGATCTCATGTCACCTGTCAGTTGTTGGAATGTCATCACACTTTAATAGCATGATCACAGTAATCTGAGCTTCCTCGTCAAGGAGGAGAGAAGAGATTGATCAACGTTGAATATATTCAGGATAATGCAATGCAACAAAGAACGCGTACTTGCGTTGCCAAGAAGCACACAACTCCGAAATTTTGACAGCTAGAAACCAGGGGCTACCATCATATGGCAAGTGCTAACGCATTGGAGTCATGTAATCTCTAGCACCAAGATTATCAATCTCCTCTAGGCTGAAGATTCTTCCGAGAAATCTAGGAGTCCACCTGCATGGAAAGAGAAGAATTGGACTGGTGCATGCCATCATGACGTTTTCCATCAATCGCTGTGAAAGCTACTACAGCAAGAACCGACCGCCGTGAAAGCGAGTATATATATGCCGGCTGCTCCAAAATATTAACGACTCATCCGTTTAACATCAGTTTATCAGACAATACTTTCACCATGTTTGCTGCCACTGTTCTCTCCCTCCTCTCGGTTCCATTGGTCGCAGCCCTTGCGCCAGGCCTTACACTCGAGTACTCAGTAGAATTACCTACACAGGGTATCTTCATCTCCGCCGATGGACGCAAGTTTCTTTCCCAGCGCTATTCTACCACCTTACCACCAATTACCGTAGAGCTCCTCGCCGACAACACCACAGTATTGTATCCTGACGCTTACTGGAACTCCTACAACGCCAGTGATCCGAGCTCCGACCCAAGCCTTCAATTTGTTAGTATTGATGGTGCTAGAATTGGACCTGATGGTCGTTACTGGTTGGTTGATGGTGGTTCAAGCGGTGTCAATGGATCTACTAAGCTAGTAGGATGCAACCTTACCACCAATGAAGCAGACAAAATCTACTATCTCGACAGCATCATTGCTTCCAACAGCGGTATCGACGACGTGCGCTTTAGTGCTAGTGGGGAAGTCGCCTATCTGAGCGATACTGCTGGAGCTCTCGTCGTTTTGAACATGACAACCGGAGATGGAGTTCGTGTTCTTGTTGACGACCCATCTGCCGTTGCATGGTTCCCTATGATGTACAACCATACACTTGTTCCTGGCTACGGTGCTGCAGGTAGCACACTCGCTGTTGGTCTGGATCAAATTGAAGTTTCCCCCGATGGAGTCTATCTCTACTATCAACCATGCAACGGAGGACTTTACCGCATCGAGACCGCCTACGTTGATGCTGCATTGACCAATAGCACGCTCGCTGCATCTCTCGCCGACTACACCACCGCTTTTGCCTTAACACCCAGTACCGGCGGAACTACTATAGACGGCGATGGAAACGTCTATGTTTCCGATACCAACTTGCTTGCCATCTGGAAAGTTACTCCTGAGGGATATGCATCTATTCTTGTTCAAGATGATGCTTTGCTCTGGACTGATCTTATGTGGGTTACTTCCGACAAGAAATTGTGGCTTCCAGCTTCTCAAATGAGACCTGGTGGAAATGGATTGATGGCCGAGGGTCCCAATAACATTTTCTCCTACCCCATTGACGCTGGTCCATCCCCAATTGACCACGCTTAAGTTTTGGTACTCGATGGACTTTTGGCTAGAAGTATCAAGTCATTCTGAGCTTCAAATGCATGTACATATTAGTTAATTTCTCCGGAGATTCAGGATTCCCGAAAGTGGGCGCGGAAGCTTTCATTAAGACAACTGTAAATAGCTGAAGATTATTTCTTCGAACCTAATGAGAAAAGTTTTCCGTAGCCTAGAGACTTGCTTGTTTGTTTGATCCTTTATCTGATTAAATTATCTCGTTGCCATTATGAATATGATAATAGTCCAGACCAGAGTAGATACAAAAGTTTTCAATATTGGAAAAGTTATGGATATTTCATTCTGATCTGTTATTCGGCGTAGATTCAAGGTTTAAAATGAACTGACTGAACCACTATTATCGTTGATCTACCCAATACTTCGCTATTCATGTACAGGCATTTTATGTTATCTTTCAAATATGGTAGTATCCTAAAAAGGTCAGAAGATACCATGCGTGTTGAAAAGCCCTCTTCACCTGTAGCATCAATTCGCACCACCAGTCTCCGAATTGCAACAACTCCCGCATACGCTCCCTTAACCAGCATTTTTACGCACAAAACTACTCGTCCCACTGCTAATTGCACACGCAGAGTCACTATAGCTGCAAATCCCATAAAGTTCTTCATTGCCTGCTCAAAAAGAAATCGCGTCCAGCAATTGCTTTTTGGGAAAATAATCTACTTTCCGACAGTTGTATTATCCATAATGACATATCCAAGCTATCTATTATTCAATTCCTTCGTTTCTAATAGGATGTGAGCATGCTATCAATTGACGATTCGCTGCAAGATGCGCCAGAGTCAAAATATATAATGTCATACATGAATAAGTATTCACGATCACGATCGAACTAAACACCATTTTTCTTCAAGTCAAGTACCTGCGATATTCCTTTCGAGTTTTGAGGTAGATGTGGGAGTGAAAAGGAAATCGTCTGAGAGTGGGAGGCATACGCATGGTGTACCTATTGAAACTTGAAGCTATCTTATCATGAGGAAATGTGATTAAAATCGGGAAAGGCAAGCCTGACGAGCATCATAGTGAATCATCCGAGGCGAGGAAGCGTAGTAAGGGGTCTGATCGAAGATAGCCCTCGCTTAATTCGCTAGGGAGGTCTCGAAGTTTTCCATAGGAGGTGAGAAGACATGAAAGATGTCTTTTTTAATTCATCAATTGAGATTGTTGATCATGAGTTGTGCAGTAGTATCTGCCAAAATCATCTAGCGTAGAATATTCTGTAAGATGATAGTTTTGGGGATATGTCTTTGGATCACATCTTTTAATCAAACAGGTCGTCAAGTATTGGGTGTACAAATTTATCACAACTACTCTACGGTTGCTAGTGCAATATCATGCTCAATGATTTCATACATATCCTGCCTTTCTGAAATTTTCCGGGCAACAGCTTTCATAACCTGGTTAACCGCGTTCTGGTCTATCTGCTCAAATCCCCTGTTCCTCCATCAGAATATAGATCAAATCAACTTTAAAGTCTCTCTCATCCACAGATCTGAAGCCGGCCATGTATCAAAATCCTCGATATCAAATGTTATTGGGTTTATTGAGACCAGAAAGAGCATCAGATTGAATTGATTGATTCTCTAGCTAAGCAGTTAAGCTGCGAGTATATGTTCAAAAAATGAAGGAATAAGGTTAGGTCTTCAGCCTTCGGAATTAAAGTGCTTTGAAATCAAAATATTGAAAGCAAACAAACAGTATACCAAAAAGGAAAGAATGAATTAAAAGTTGAGTTTTGTTTGCTCCTTATATGCATCATGCAATATATATGCATATGCTGCCAAGATCCCAGGTGGTCAACAACTTCCCAATCATACTTGAAGTCTTGAATGATGCATAATGAGTCAATCCAGAGATACTCGATTCCAAGCGCCCGTGTGATCAAAACGGCGTCTCTGAAGTTTGCCGGTAATCTTGACATTTCGATCTTGTTCTGGAAGGATTGCAGGTTCGATGTTGTCAAAATAGTATCAATTTGTCCTCCCCAACAGTGGCTCAGCGTGATATATTTACCCTTAACGCCATTTGTTAGAATAAGAAATGGATCCGTGTCTTTTGCACCAACACTAATGACTCTAGAGGGAAAGTGTTTGTCGTCAAGAGAAGGACATTTCGATTTAGAATGCTCCGAGAAACAAGTATTCATCCAACCTCGAGCAATATCAAAATTCGTCTCGGATGCCAAATTTCCATCAGGAACAAATTGGCCTATTTGAACACCTCCGACAAATTTGGGCTGATCTATTGCATATTGATAGTTAGTGATAGTATGATGAATCATGTTTATCAGCATTACATATTGAAGACCAGCAATACCTCTAGGCGTCCGCAAATAATAAATCATTAAAGTTTCATCGTCACATTTATACTATTTATGCGCTCCGTACCCTGCGAGCTCCCAATGTGTGAAAGTTAACCAATAGTACATCTTTGGTTCTTCAAACTTGTCGTGGGCATATGGATATGGAGACACAATTCCTACTCTCAAATTCATATATTTACCCTTCGACTCCATAGTTCGGAATTTTTGTTCCCGTGTAAATGTACCATCACGCTCCTTAGTGCGGAATTCTTGGAAGGGTGTAAATGAACATTCCTCGAGTATTTTGAGTTTTTCTTCTTCACTCTGTTGCTGAAGAAGTAAGCAAAGCTCACATCCAGATGACGCTGCCGCAAGGAGATCATGGTATCTTTTGTGGTGCTCAAGTTGGGAATAAAATCCGTCATCATTATTGGCTTTGGCTAGCTTAAGTAGGTCGGTAACATTCAAGCTATCACATACTTTACAAAGCATTTTCGTAGCATGGAGGAAGCCTGGGTAAGCTTTTGTGAAAGATGTTGAGGGTGAGGTGTTATGAAGCATGATTAACCTATCAGTCAATCATGTTCGCAAGATCTGGTGGATACCTCAGCATATTGAGGTCCAATAAGAAATGTTATGGAGGTGTGGGGTAAAGATATCCCCCTCCAACTCTTTCAGTCATCTTGACTGCCGTGCGCTGTTAGGCTCAATATGGAAAGTACGATGATTGTGGGTCTATATAATCAGGAATCGTAGCACCAGTAATAAGACAACCCTCTTCACACCTACACCTAGAATGCCTTTAGCGCCAACTCTGATTTTGAGATACTATATCGAGGTGGTGAAATGCCAAGAACATAAAGCAGGATTTTAACTTTCAAGCACCCCAAGTTTATACAATCTCTGATGAGCTATCTTTAGTATTCTACAGGAATACAAATAATCTATACTTTCTTTATATTTCTCTTACACTTAAAGAAGGTCTTTTATTTTTAAATTATGTTACGAGGTTTGCCGTCTAGATCACGTGGAAGTGCTCTAGGCTCTCGAGGTGGTTTATAACTAGGCGTCAAGCAGGGACTTAAAGTAATGACAATAATGCAATTCGTAACTAATAGTAGAGTATACTAAATGATTGATCTTGAGCACGAAGCTCTATACAAAAGAAATCCATCTTGATTATATAGTCCTTCGTGCCTATGGTTAACTAGGAATCGTCGTTCCTGGTTGTTCCTAGGAACGTTCGTTCCTCACCGTTCCATCACATGTTTTATGGTCATGTGACATGCTAATCGTTTTGGACGTAACACAACTACCAACCAGACGAAACCTTAGGCAGCCGCTGCCTCCAGTACAGTATCGTTACAAAAATCATTTTAGAATTCTTTTTAAATAAAAATTTTATTTCTAAAAACTTTTGAAAATCATATAAAATAAAATAAGATTTAAAGTCTATTATTATAATATTATATAGATTATAATTTTTTTTTAAATATATAATCTCATAAAACTTCAAACACTAAAAAATAATTGCTCTTTGTAATCAATTAATTACTTATACTGTCGGTAAGTACTCGGTATAGACCTCGGTAGTCAGTATCCGGGTTTAAGTCCATTATCTCCTAATGCGTGTATACTCTTGAAGTATCTATTAAAGCTTTTCTTCTCTTAAAACCGATCTGACTTTCGGCTTTTACAAAACTCATAGCCGTAGAAGTACCTTTAAGGTAAAGCAGAGTAGCATCGCATAAACTCAACAACTTTACGATAAGCTAAGCCGTTTAAGAAAAGAATCAATAGTGGGTTAGAATTCAGAATTTTTTCATTCTGATACTTTTCCTTTTACAATTGAAGAATAATTTATGAGATTCGAACATCTTATAGATTAATTGACTTTAGAATTTCAAATAATCTGATATGAAATTGAAAAAGTATCGGAATTTGAAGTTTCCGAATCCGAATTTGTAAATAATCCTCTTCGTACATACGTAGTAGCTTGTCATAAGGTTACAGGAATATATGTTATCCGGGCGGGATCTACCCCGGGTCTCGGATCAGCCCCTCTCTACCTTATGCCCCAGTTGTGAAAAGCTCAGTCTACCTTGTAGATATTGAAAGATTGGTAATCATCCATACTGAGGCTATTGATGGTTTGTTATAGCAGTACTCCATAGGTATATGCCATACAAATGTTTGAAGCAGTCAATATCATGATGCCTAAGACTAAATAACTCGACTTTGACATGTGATTTCTTTTATCCATCCCGCAGAATTCTTATCTCAGTATGTTTCAATTGTGTTTGCTGCAAACTCGCACAGATATCTTGGTTTGACTTTTCTACCTCTTCATCCATGCTCCCTCTCGGTACTTCCACCATCTGTTTCGCCTTATCTCTGCCAACCCTCAATACCCAATCCACAATCCCCATATGTATGAGCTGGTCGATCGTACCACTACGGACTACTATAATTCACCACCTATCCGAGAGGGAGGTGGGAGGTGCTTAGGCCTCGGTGCTCTTCTAAGAGCCGGGAACGCGAGTTTGACGTGTACGGTGGAGACTTCACCATAGATTTCAAAATTTCCCTCTCAACGTATTGAGTCTATACCTCGGTATACCGGTATACTTTCCATCCATTGACCTAAATCAGTTTGAATCATCTTGTGATTCTGCTTCTTATATCTTGCTTCTCTCCTCTTTGCTTATCCATCCTCTTCTTGTTGTCAATGGTCAAACTTCCCATTCATGTAGCATCAACGTCAACACATATTTTCACCACATAGATTTGCGCAACAACAAAAATCACCACAATGGGTTCAGTAGAAAGATCTGGGAACTGCGATTACGACGTCGTGATCATAGGCGCGGGCCTATCGGGAATCAATACTGCATAGTAAGACGACCGATTGAGCATTGATCCTTGGCTCACATCAGCAATCCAGCCATTGGGTTCAATTACTTCAAAGTCAGACGGCTAACTCCTTTACAGTCGCCTACAAGCAGAATTTCCCGATCTAACATATACCATACTCGAGAACCGCGGGGCAATTGGCGGAACTTGGGATTTATTTCGATATCCTGGTATCAGGTCCGACTCCAATCTATATACATTTGGATTATCGTGGTATCCATGGACGAGCCCTACGTTAATCGCAGACGGAGAATCAATTCGCACATATTTTCAAGAAGCGGCCGAGAAATTTGGAATTGATAAGAATATCAAGTTTCATCATAATGTTACGGCCGCAGATTGGTCAACAGAGCAACAACAATGGTCAGTATCAGTCGAAGCTGGTGGAAGCAAAAGCACCATAAAAGGACGATGGATTGTCTGGGGCACAGGATATTACAACTATAATGAGCCATTGAAGACGGAAATACCTGGCTTGGACAACTTCAAAGGTCAAAATGTACATCCTCAATTTTGGCCTGAAGACCTCGATTACACGGACAAGAAGATAGTCGTCATTGGAAGTGGTGCTACGGCCATTACTTTAATACCAAATCTAGCAGAGAAAGCTGCCAAAGTAACTATGTTACAACGAAGCCCTACTTGGATCATAGGAGTCCCAAAAACCTCTTCAGGCGGAGATGTACTACGGAAATTCCTTCCAGACTCGGTGGCTGACCAGTTGATACGATGGAGATTCCTCGTATTGCCCTTATTATTCTTCCATTTCTGTCGCTTCTTTCCCGACTTTGCTCGAAGTATCCTCCACAAGGGAATCAAGAAGCAAATCCCATCCACTATCCCAATCGACCCTCATTTTAGCCCCAAGTACAATCCCTGGGAACAGCGTATATGCGCATGTCCCGATGGGGATTTCTTTAAATGTCTTCATTCAGGAAAAGCCGATGTCGTAACCGACACGATCAAAACCGTCACTTCATCCGGCATCGAGCTCGATTCGGGAAAAACTCTCGACGCCGATATAATCGTCACAGCTACCGGATTAAAAATGCAAATGGCCGGTGGCGCGAAAGTAAGCATTGATGGAGTTCCATATGATTACCCCAAAAAATACATGTGGAGAGGCGTAATGCTTCAAGATATGCCCAACGCGATAACGGTCATCGGATACGTAAACGCATCGTGGACATTAGGAGCGGAAAATACGGCGAGCGTATTGGTACGTCTCATGAAACACATGCGGGAGAGAAATCTCATCACGGCGGTCCCTAGACTTCCTAGCGAGAAAATGCAATCAGGTCCTTTGTTTAATCTTAGTTCGACGTACATGCAGATGGGGAAGGCTATTTTACCCATGACCGGTGATAGGGGTATGTGGAAACTTAGACAGAATTATCTAGTTGATTACTGGGTTGCGGAATATGGGAGTGTGACGGATGATTTGGAGTTTGTTAGTGCGGGTGGTGCGGCGTTTAATAAAGATCAGTAAGTTTGAGTGAGTGGAGTGAAGTGTGAAGATTTAAGGAAATTGATAGATGGAGAATTGGTTGGGGGTTCTCAGAGCTAGAGTGGGTTGGGTTGGGTTGGGTTGTATATCGTATCTTATATGAGGTTATTGCTCATATACTTCGTCAGGTTATGGTGGATATCGATTAGATTATTATAACAATACACATATATAAATAATTATATAAATCGAAATCTATAAAAAATATATAAAATATCCTCTACATCTTGTGAATATTCTTATAATTACCTATGGTTTATACGCACTTTGTTTTATCATTTATTGGATTACGAGTATGATATTCATTTATTTGTGGATTAGGTGTCTTAGGTAAGGTAATCTCATATGATGTAACGTGGTTTATCAGGACCCTGTACATATCAGGACCCTGTACACTTTTACCTCAATTATCACCTTTCAACTTCAACACGCGATTTATCAATATTTAATTATGCAAACTACTTCAAAAGAAGCTCGAATCAATTTAGCTATTGAGGCTATTCGTACATCTCAAAATTTGAGTATTCGGAAAGCTGCAAAACTCTATAATATACCTCATATTACCCTTACTTCTAGAATGAATAGAATTCTGTCTTTTACTGAACATCGATCAGCAAATCATAAAATGACAGAATTGAAGAAGAAATCGCTTCTTCAATATATATTGGATATAGATGAAAGAGGGTTTAGTCCTCGAATAAATGATATAGAAGATATAGCGAATTATATATTCAAAACGCAGGGTACGAAGAAGGTTGAAAAGCTCTGGGCTCATCGTTTTATAAAACAATATACAGAATTAAAGATGCGTTTTAATTGTATTTATAACTTTCAAAAAGCTCTCTGCGAAGATTCAGAGCTTATTGAAAGATGGTTTCGATTGGTATCGAATATATAGGCCAAATATGGTATTCTGGACTACGATTTCTATAACTTCGATGAGATAGGCTTTATAATGGGACAAATATCATTATATATAGTAGTTACTGGAGTTGGTCGATATGGAAAAAGCAAAGCTATACAATCAAGCAATCGAGAATAGGCTATAGCGATTATTTGTGTTGATGGAGAAAGTTATAATATACCTCCGTTTTTGATAGTAAAAGGCGAATACCATCTTTCAAATTGGTATACCGAAGATGATTTACTATACGATTGGCTTATTAAACCTATTATCAATAAATAGACAGATAATGAGATAGATCTTGAATGGATTAAGCACTTTAATAAACATACTAAAAGTAGAAAAGTGGGTAGATATCGAATGCTAGTGCTTGATGGGCATGAAAGTTATAAATCGCCAGCATTTCAGGAATACTGTAAGGAACACAACATTATATTACTTAGTTTACTATCTCATTCTTCATATTTAACTCAACCACTCAATATCGATTATTTTGGTCCTTTAAAGTATTTATATAATCAACAAATCGAGAACTTTATCAAGGTGTATATTACTCATATTACCAAAACCGAGTTCTTTCAAGCCTTCAAAGCTGTATATATCGAAGCAATACCTATATCAAATGGTAAAGCTGGGTTCCGCAAAGCTGGGCTAATCCCATTTAATCCGGAAATTGTACTTTCAAAGCTAGATATTCGAATAAGAACTTCATCAAATAGATCAATATCAATCGATCCTGATATATGGCAATCTCAAATATTTTATAATCCAATTGAAGCTTTTTCTCAATTTACTTTAATGAAAAGTCGTATTACTCAATATCAAGGGAGCTCATCTACTCCAATATTTAAAACAATTACAGCTTTAGCTAAAGGTATAGAGCTTTTAGCTTATACGAATACGCTTTTAGCTGCTGAGGTTCATAGTCTCTACAAAGCAAATAAAGCATTTAGTAAACACCAGAAAACTAGAAAAGCTTTAATACAAAAAGAAGAAGTACTTTCAGTAGAAGATAAACATGATATATTAGAACAAGAAAATATAGAAGATCAGATATGATGTAATGAATTTACAAATGGTGATTCTTCAGCAAGAAGGCAAGCTACTATATGATAATATAGCAAATGTGGTAGTGCTTCATATAATGCACGAACTTGTCAATTAGATCCAGCATTAGTTGATCTTTGAATTATATGTAATTTAATTCTAATTTATAGTATTGTTGTAATTTTATTTCAATGGAATGTGGGCAATTGAGGTAAAAGTGTACAGGGTCCTGATATGTACAGGGTCCTGATAAACCACGTTATGTAATCTAGTGAATAGTTAATAAGTCTCGAGGTCAATAAATAAATATATATATATATAAAGATATACATAGAGTAGTTTAGATGAATGATAATATCTCATATCTTCATATCTTTATAATTTATACAATCATTTATCAATCATTCACATTCACATTCATATTCATATAAATATTCCGGCGGATATCAGAATGATCAGAATATAGAGATCTAAAGATGTAAAAATATAATAACGTAATGTATGGGGAACTCGGACATATGGGGAACTCGGACACTTTTTCAATTATTCTACACGCGATCTTGTTCTACGAGCCACACAATCCTCCAATTCCAATTCTGAATCATTTGAACTATTCTCTAGTTCTTCTTCTTCAATCTCTTCTTCTGATTCTTCAATTGGGCGCTTGCGTGGTCGTCCTCGTAGCTTTTTCTCCTTAGGTTTTTCCTCCGCCTCATGTACTATTTTCAGTATTTCCTTAGTACTAAAGACAAATTGACCTTGTAATTTGACTCTTTTGCCTTTAGTTCTCTTTTTTCGAGTCTCAATTACTTCCTGAGTATCAGCGAGCTGTTTCCGAAGTAAGGCTATCTCAGCATTTTGAGATTCTACAAGCCTAATCATTCTCTTGGCATATCGACGAGTTGGTGATGCAGAAGAACCATTGCTTGCTAAAACTGTATTAAAGATCTGATTTGCTTGCATTAGTTCTGTCCCATCTGGAGGAGAACTTCTAAGTACAGATAAATCTAGATCTTGATTGGGGATTCTCATTTGTGGAGTAGAAGGTTGCTAGAAGGAATTAAATGGTAATGTATCGAGTACTTTTCGTAAGGCAAAAGATACTAAACCAGCTTTTTTCCAACTAGCTTTAATATTAGAAGAATTCAATGCTTTTTTTCTAATATTTTGAAAAAGTTCTATTCATTCAGCTCTTTGAATTCGCTTTATACCAATTCGAGAATATCGATCGACCTCCAAAGCATGATATCGTTTCATTGGCCCATACACCGCAATATCAAATGGCTGAAGCAAGTGGGAGCAATGAGGAGGTAATATAAGTAAATCGATATCCTTCTCTATACAGAAAGCAATAAAGCTACCTGTAATATAACTTGAATGACCATCCATGATCAAAAGTCGAGGTCGGTCACCTGACACTTTCTTGGATTCTGGTTCGAAAACCCTTTTTAACTATTCTAATCTATAACTATTTAAGGTCCATCTATTCGTATTAGTAGAGAACTGCCAGCTTTGAGGTGTATCCTTTGGAATCCATACAGAATTCGTATTCTGAGCCTTGAAAATGATTATAGGTGATAAAGCCTTTCCAACTGCATTAACACATTCAAATACAGTTATCCATTCTTGCTTGCCAGCTGTAACTTTCCAATTCGATTTCTGAGTAGAATCGACTATAATACATATACTTTGAGTACTTACAACTCCAAATCCGATTTCGTCCATATTATATATATCATCTAATTTATACTTTCGTTCAATGAGATATATACAAAATATATCAAATCAAGTCTAAATATTCTCCAGAATTGCCTTTTTAGCCCAATTAGATTTTAATTGATATAAATAGCATGTTTTAAGTTCTAGATATCGTTTTTGGAATCTATAGATCCATTTGTGGCCTATAGATGGAATTTCTGTCGAGGTAGGAATTCGAGATGACGCGATCTGAACGCGTCGAAGACGAATTTCGTCGGCTATTTCCTTCACCAATATAGGTGTAGCAGGGAATCCAGTGATCGTGAGTTGTGAAATCCATCGTACAAGAGTATTTTCTTCTGCGTTTGAAAGAATTTGAGCCATTTCGTGGGTTTGGGAACGTGTTTTCTTCCCAGCCAGCCTATCGGCTAGAGTGGACTTAAAGACTTCAAAATGCTCTGCAGCCTTTCTAATTGATTTAAATTCTTTTAATTGAAGTGCAACTATAGCCTGTTGAAGCTTCTCTTCAATCTGAGCAGGTGTAAAAGGTGATTGGGTATACATAATAAAAGTTATTAGGGTTTCAAGTTGGCGATGGGCAAAAAGTGTCCGAGTTCCCCATATGTCCGAGTTCCCCATACGTTACGTTATAATATATTATCATTCATTTAAAAACTACATACATATATCTCATATCTTTCATAATCTATATAATCTTTCATAACCATCAATCATTCACATTCATATAAAAATTCCTTTAAAAAGGAATCCCTTTCTTCTCACTTCCCACACCTCTCAGCTCATCCCACCTCGCATCTAATAACTCAAAACCAACTCCTTCAATTTCTCAAAATCTGGCGTTCCCAACCCAGTAACCGGATCCCATCCCTTCGTCGCATTCCACGTCGCATAAGGAATCACCGCACCATTTGGAATCTTAGCGCCCGTTTGTCCATTAACACCATTACAGCCTACGCTTCCACCGCCAGTGATATCGTTAAGAGCGCTTGTGCCGAGGAGATAGAGGAGAGGGTTGACGAAACCGAGGGCGGATTTACCTGCTTTGAAGCGGGCGTCGTTGAGGAGACCGAGGATGGCTGCTACGACGGGGGCGGCGGCGGATGTACCTCCTGAGGGGGAGAGTTCGCCGGAGTAGACGACTTGGTAACTGTGGGGTTTTCTGTTAGGAGATGGGGAGGAATGATTGGTGATAAGGGGGGACTTACTCAGGAGTTAAACTGTGAGCGGAAATATCTGGGAATCCTCTTCCGGAGAAATTGGTATAGCTCTCGTAGTATTTCCTTGTGGATGGAGTGATATGTTCGGTTAAATATTCAGCTACAGCAGCGGTTTGATACCAGGCGGTTGGGAAATAGTTTGAGAATCCTCCTGACCCATCATCCCAAGCGACTTCGGGAGAAACTGATTGGGTTCCTCCAACTGATGTAATGTATGGACATGTACCGGGGAATTGAGGTTGGAAGTATGGTGTATCTTTTCCATCGTTTGCAACGCATCCTGCTCCTACACCGGTATCTCCTGATGATTCGAGGATGGAGATACCTCGAAGACCCATGATACCGATTAAGTTGCAGACTCGAACGGCATAAGCATATGGAACTGTCTGAATATGGGTTAGCAAAAGAATACCATGTGGAAATTGAAGAATGTAAAGACATAAAGGTAACATACATCTTCATCATCACCATAAGAGTTTGAGATAACTTGTGGGATAGCGGAGTTTGGTTGAGTCATCAAGTATTGATAATATGGCAAATATGGCTCATTAGAGTTATCTGCGGCAGTTGGCACATCAATATTAGGAACGAATGGTGGTGAACCACCAGTGATGAATTCCTGAACAGGTAAAGGATGAGCAACACCAATAATGTTTTGAACATCAAGGTTAGCCTCTCCGTTTTGAGCAGTAGCTGGATTCTGATCATTGGTAGCTCCATTGATGAGAGTAACTGAGAAGTTTTGTTGTGGGATATCAAAGTATTTCTCGTATTGGAAAAGATCAGAATAAAGAGCTGATTGATTGAGGAAACTACCGAATCCGATTCTGCTACCGGAAGAAACTGAAGGGGTATAGTCTCCAACATTGTACAATTCCTTGATACATTTAGGAGTGATGGATGTTGAGCAAGAAGCATCAACTGTAACTTTGGTAGCTGAGGTATCTTTCTTTGTAACCTTAGTTGGAGCATTTGCGACGGTCTTTCCGAAATAAGTTGTTGGAGAGATGAGATCGATGTGTTCAGCAAGATGATCCGGAACCGAGTATTGAGTAGTTCTGACTTTTGTTACGCCATTACTTGTATAGGTCTGGAAAGTTGCATTGAGGATCGAATTGGCCTTCTCAATGGTTGCCGCAAAAGTAACAGTCGATCCATCGCTCACAATGTTTTGGGCACCAGCACTCGTCAACCATGAAGTAACAGCATTACTTGCATCGGCAGAAGGAGCAAATAAAGCATTAGCCTCATCAGCATCGAGATGATTTCCATAATCCGCATTTCCGGGTGTTGAAACAGCAATAAGTTTGGCCTCTAATTGATCGAGATTTTGCATTGCAAGACCAACTGTGAGAGTGATAGCTGTACTTGAATCTGTTTCTGCAACAGTCCATCCGCTAGGAACTGCGGCCAGTTTTTCCATAACGGCACCATATGCTGGGAGAGCTTGAGAGAGCAATCCCGCACAAATGGCGGTCTTGGGGTACATCATGATTGAAGAAGGTTGATGAGATCAATTGGCGGTCAATCAATTGAATCTTTCAACGAGGACGGGTAAGAAGTAGGAGGGATGAGGAAAAGAATAGAGGAAAGATGACTAGAGGAAGAGGTAGCAGAACAAACATCATGAGGAAATCCCTCTCTTTATCAACCTTTCCCGACTTTTCCCAACCTCTGTGTATATTAAAATTTTGCCATCGTCACCTCGGATCACCTAACATCTAAATCCCCTTGTACCTGAACACCAACACAATCCATCATGTAAGATCTCACCTCCATCTGCACAAACCGGGGACTTGCATCTGAGCAGTCATCTGGACGAATAATCTCTCACCATGACATTGACATTCCCCGCAAATGGAGATTCAATCCAGCCGATGTGACACAGCAAAGAGGATCATTCGAGCTATCGTCAACGTTAATCAAAGGTAGCTTTAGAGCTTTATAACATATGTGGCAGGTGCATAAGCCCAAAAGCTTGATCAACGGTATGCAATCGATTATACACCTTCCAATTGGGTATTAGATCGAATGTGGCTTACCCGCAGTGCGGATAAGCTAGATGAAGCGACGCGGAAACTCCGGTGTTGAGTTACCTTTTGAAGAAGTCGATAGGTTAATGCGTGGTTTTATCTGCAGATTGGCGGAGTATAAGCTTTTGATGAATAAACAACAGCAGACTGGATAAAGGATTAATTTTTGGTACCTGAAATAAAATAGACTACGAGTAGGTATTATTATTTACATAAAATTCATATAGATATACTCTATCCCTAAAACCCCAAAACACCGAAAAATAAACCGCAAAATCCCCCCTCCTCCTCCCAAAAAAAACTTTAACCTTTAACCTTCAAGATTACTATAATTCTCACTCATCATACAACATCAACATCACATTACCCTAAAGTCATAAACTCACTGATGAATAAGCTTCTTATCTCGAAAACGTAGATTATCAATCCCTAAACCCTAATCCTTAACCTTTATCTTTTTCTCTTATCCACAATCGCTATCAATACCTAGGTATCTATACAGTCAGTGCACATTATCGCACCGTGCGGTCAGCATTCTAAGATCTTTGGGTAGGAGGCTCTACTGTTAAAATCCATGGTCAATTATTATACCAGACCGGTACTTTCAATCGATGAATGTATTGTACTCGAGTGATATAGCTGTCACGAACCACGACTAATATTATACAATAAAAATCCTAGGATAATAATCGTCCCAGGACAATTATCCTAGGAGCTAAATTATCCTAGGAAACGAATCGTCCCCGGATTAGTGTCCTGAGGCTCCGATGGTATCACGTGATGTGATAGCTCTGCTAGCTGGCTAGCAGAGCTAGCACTCAGGAAACACATAGTATATAGTCAGAATAGTTTCATAGTATAGGAGCTTCGTGCTCAACTTAGTTATCAATTAGTTTACCTACATTCTAATTGATCTAGTAACGACTTCACTTCCAAGTGAATACCAGTGATAGAGCCTTAACCCATAACTACCAACTGACGAACCTTAGGCAGCCGCTGCCTCCAGTACTGTATCGTTACAGAAAGATTGAAAGATTCCAAGATTCCAAGATTGAAAATAATAACACTTTACTCTAGACTAAGAAATTGCTTCTGTAATATAAGCAGATTTCCAATCTCTGACTGATTCGCTGTTCCCATAGGGATGGATCAATCAATCATTCATCAATATCTAGTTATTAGCCCATCTCCAAAAGGCAAAACAAACACCTGCAAAAGCAAATACTCCAAGTGCGATGAGTGTGGAGAGTATGTAAATATCCATGGTTTTTAGTTTGTTTGTTGATTGGTTGGTTACTACTTTGTTTTCCAAGATGTTTGTTTGTAAAGTGTAGTTTTGTGGTTGTGATAGAACTGGGGAATGGAAGAATTGGGGTAAAGAGGTGAAGCTTTTATAGATGGTTTGGATGTGTTGTTTTATAACTAATTCAAGAATTGGATAATGAATACTTAAGTCTTGGGACTTTTGTTTTCTTTGTTGTGGTTTGATAGAGTAGTTATCAATTCTCTCTTTGGGAGACTTGATTGCATTATTAATTAACAAAGATTTTGTAGCCTTAACTTCTGCTGTTTGGTATGAAGGAGAGTGATTGTTCCTGGAACCTCTAGGACAATCGCTGTATCAACATCTTCTACAAACTTTTATGGAATCATACAGCCGATTGCTCATTTTCAGTGATGGTTTTTCATCAAAAAACACCTTGGGCTGTATCACATATTGCCATCACCAGATCCATTCGGTAAGACGGTTGTTGAATTTTCTACCATCTTTCTGTCACGATTCACCATTAGGATTGATGGTGTTACATGATAGCAAACTGATTAATTAGGAGAGCTTAGGCCTTGTGCAAACACGATCAGATTTCATCGAATTAGTATGTGATCTTGGTCACCTGAAGATCGTATGCGCACGCACCATCAGAAATCACGTGATAAGGAGCCCTAGGAGCTTCGTGCTCAACTTAGTTATCAATTAGTTTACCTACATTCTACTTGATCTAGTAACGACTTCACTTCCAAGTGAAGACTAGTGATAAAGCCTTAACCCACAACTACCAACCAGACGAAACCTCAGGCAGCCGCTGCCTCCGGTACAGTATCGTTACACTTTCCTTACACACTGAAGAAACCAAGTACATTTCTCCCACAAGTATCGTTGGCCAAACAGACTTTTATGAATCTATTTCTGGTGAAATTGGTCTTAGACTAAGGTAACAGATTCTCAGAATCCATAAAATTGGTAAAACTTCACATGATAGACGGTAGTTGTTCTGGAAAGACAAAGGTGGGGCATATTACTCACAAAAAGCACCAAGCAAAGAAACAAAGAGATTTGGAATACAGACCACACGTGACTAGACCATCGAGTTAATCGAATCAATCGAGTCAATACAATCCATCAGCAAAATCCGCATCAATACCCAAACCTAAAGTTGGCAGAAACCCAGAGACAAATCGAATGAAAACCTGTCTAATCGATAGTTTATAGTTTCACAGCCACGTTTGGTTCCTTGGCTAGAGGAGGAAAGGGGACCGCTTCATGGCTTTAAGGTTCGATAGCTACCGTGTGCTAGACTAGAATTGTCATAAAGTCTGCGGGACCGGGAGCTGGTTAAAGACAAAAGTGGTAAGGAATTTGGTAGATGGTGTTTCTGTAGGCTTTTCCGTGTTGAGTGTTTGGGAAGTAGAGGGAAACTAGAGGGAAGGTGGCGTTAAAAGTTGGTGGGTGCTTTGGATTTGTTTTATTTCTCCATGGTAGTAGGAATTAGAGCTTAATTAGAGCTTTTGATGAATCTTGTAACTTGTTTGACGTGTTGTGTTGTGTTGTGATGTGATTTATGTGATGGTATTGTATATAGCTGTGGTAATAAACCAATATTCAAGGTCGTTCCTGGTGGAGCATATTGATATAAGCATCTCGGGATCCTGCAGTATACATTGAAGATCTCATATATATCCATGATGAAGATCAAGCAGATGAATCCATAAGAAGAAATGTCACGATGCATGGTTCAAGCAGATGGAATTGAGAATTAAAACAATATGGTAGAACTCAGGCACAGTACCTAAACAGAAAAGGGTCCAAGATTACCTAACTACTGGTATGAAGCTTTCGTAAAACCTTACTACATAAATTCCGGTTGATGCTTTCGGGTTTATCCAATTGAAGAGATTTGATTGGTCCATTTTATCACTTTTGTCATATTTTCATCATTCTTCCTGGTATCGGAAAATCACGCTATTTTACCGAATGAGGAGGGACCGACGTCATTTCCTTTGTTACCATCTTTTTACTCGCAGTCTCTCAGTAGGTACTTCTTTCTCATTGCTCTAAACCAGGATCCCAAAATGATCGTCATGATCTAAAGTGTCTTCGTCCCCACTTAACTCTCCAGATCATCAAGAAAGCAATCGCCAGCCTAAAACTCAAGCATCCATCTCCCGAAGCTTCCTTCTCGATTCAATTATAATCATTTAATTATCTATTCTATTAATCTGTCAATCATCATCATCAGCAGCAAAATAATCCTTTTCCCTATACAACTAATCAATTTCAACCCAACCCAGATCTCTTTACTTACTCTTTCCTCTCATCTCATCACAACAAAGACCCTTAAACTTACAGTCAAACCAAACCATCTTCACAATGCATCGCACATACTCTATGAGACAATCGCGGGCCCCAACTGTAAGTTCTACTCTGTAACTCGAGGCGTGATGGCAGACAGACTCTTGTCGCAGTATGAAAAATAAATGAGCATCTCACTGACGAGTCTTTCTTTTTTCTCCCTCACAGGCCTCGCAACTTCAGAATCCTCCTCCGCCACCTTCGAGCACAAAATCTACTTCAAGGATCTTCAAAGGTGGTCTCGGTCAGTACATTTCTATGACGTCTACCATAACTTTTACATGATGGATGTGGGGTAAACAGAAGTGTCTGTGAACGGGCAATGGGATGCGCAAAGGGAAGGCGGGGCACCAATTTTCCCATATGCTCAATCTGGATATTTTTGGTTGAACAGTGTCTTTTTGGCTATATGGGAGATGGTTGCTTGTGTTGGGTTGCTGGTGTCATGATACTATTGCCCGCCTGAACTGTTGCTTGATCTCTCGTTGCAACTCAATACAAATTATCTCCCTTCTTGGAGGAATGAAGAGGATGACTTGCTAACAATCGTTAATTCAGGCCATGCTATGCGACTTAAGACACACTCTGCGCTCAACACCAGGGGCCCAGAGCTTTCCAAAAAGCTTGGTCAACTCGTGAAGATGGAGAAGAATGTTATGCGCAGTATGGAACTTGTCGGGAGAGAGAGAATGGAGGTAGCAGTAAGTACATTCCTTAACAAATACAATAAAAAGCTATAATCTAACATCATATAGCAACAACTTTCCATCTGGGGAGAAGGATGCGATGAAGATGTGTCAGATGTTACTGACAAGCTGGGTGTATTACTCTACGAGATTGGTGAACTAGAGGACCAATACGTTGATCGTTATGACCAATACCGTGTTACCATCAAGAGCATCAGAAACATCGAGGCTTCTGTTCAACCCAGCAGAGATCGCAAACAAAAGATTACTGACCAAATTGCTCAACTTAAATACAAGGAGCCAGAATCTCCAAGAATTGTCGTGCTTGAGCAAGAACTTGTTCGTGCTGAGGCCGAATCTTTAGTTGCTGAAGCTCAACTTTCCAACATTACCCGTGAGAAGCTCAAGGCCGCTTACACCTACCAATTCGATGCTCTCCGTGAGCATTGCGAAAAGGTCGCTATCATTGCTGGTTACGGAAAGCATCTTTTGGAACTTGTTGATGACACTCCGGTCACTCCAGGTGAAACTCGTCAAGCATATGATGGATACGAGGCTAGCAAGGCCATCATTCAAGATTGTGAAGATGCTCTTACCAACTGGGTTAATTCCAATGCTGCCGTCTCTGCCACTCTCTCCACCCGAGCTCGCACTTTGTCTCAACGCAGACGCAACAACATTCAACGTAACGCTCAAGGTCATGACCTCACTGGCCAAGATCAACCCTTGAACGATAACGAGTCCGGCCTCTGGGTTCCTGCTGCCGCTCACAAGGGTGGAGACGAATACGAAGATGAGGAAGAGGAGGAAGAAATTGCTCACTCCCATCAAGGTAGCGTCACCAACGGCGAACAAAGAGGTCGTCAAGAAGAAGTCGTATAATGGTTGAAATCTAAACTTAATATCAAGAAAGAATGAGAAGATGACTAATCAGCTAGTGAAGGTGTTGAAGGATAGTAGGGGATTCAGCAGGTGTCAATGTAGGAAACAGTGGAACCGGATTGGACTGGTGGGCTTCTGAGCATATTCCTAGGATCTTTTTTCTTTCGCCTCGCAAAACCAGTTATGATTATGGCTATTCGGATGGATCCATGTAGTTGTCTTTTTTCTTCTTACTCTATTAAATCATGATAATGTTGGAATGTTATGTGGTGGTAATTGATCATATATGATACATGAGGATATGAAATGGGAGGGGTGGCAATGGTAAAAGGGGTTTTTAAGGTTTGAGGGGGAAGTTGGAAGGGAAAGGAGAAACACTTCTTTGGGGTTCTTTTGTATCTGTAGTTTCTAATGAAATGTTCTCTTTTTTCATTTTTTTTTCTGATTCATATTTGTGTGAGTTGTAAGATACTCTTTGTTCTATATAAGGTCTTTTCGGAGATATTTATATATATGCATATGTACATAAGGGCATGTAAGGATAAATAAATGGAATACTTCGCGTGTAATGGATAATTAAAAGTAGTATTTCAACAGTTCCTGCGGGCTGTTCCTCCAATTTCAAGTCTTTGGATTGATGGAGATGGAAACTTTAGCTTTAGGATTATGGGGATTGTTTTTCGTTCAACTCTTGATAACTGAAAACTAGCTGCACAATACTGATCCCTCCTTTATTGATAATATCTATCCTTCGATAGATGCGGGGTCTTTGGGAAGCTAACCCTACTTTCACTCTGAACTCTGGGTTTCCTTTTTATGTTTTTTTTTCTTGCTTGTTTTTGCCCGTCTGTATCCACCATCATTTTCTTCCTCTTCGTTTTTCCTATTTCCGATATTGCTTTTTAATCTATCATGTAGCGATCAGGTAGTGAATATTATGTTATGTTGTGTTTGATTTTGTAGGTGGTTTTTAGTGGTGATGGTTGGATATGTTTGTTTATATAATCTGATGGTGTTTGTATAGCTTGGTTGATACGGGATGGGATGGGATGAGATCATCCTTGGGCTCGGTCTTGTTTATCGGTTTATAGATTTACGTATCGAGATATTCCATACATTCCTTCATGGATACTACTCTTAAATGCCCCTTCTCAGATCGAAATTTCCTTCTCTTTTCCTTTGATCAATGGATCTTGTTCTGGGGGATTAACCTTAGCTAAAGGATCTGAAGTGTTGATAGTGGTTGTAGGTTTCCGTCCTCGCACCTGACTCGAGAATTCTTCAAGCTCGATTCGTACGATGTGTTTTCCGGGTACGACGACGAGTCCTAGCCAGCGGGGTGTAATATTTAAGATTGATGTGGAGGGGTTTGCGGAAGATGTGGGAGAGGTGGAAGTTGAGGAGGGAGGTTGTGGGATTGAGGATGAAGGAGGACAAGGTGGAATGCGATATTCATAGGTTTCCGAGAGGATTATGTTGAGGTCCTATTTTTTGGTTGTTTTTATTAGTAGGGTTTTGGAAAATACGATACGAGAATATAATAAAAGTAACAAGAAACGATAAACATAAACCACACACTCAAAGAAGTATAGGAAATGCGCAAGGGGGAAAAACGAATAAGAGTCGAAAAGGAGAAATAAAATAGGTAAACAAACAGAATCGGTACACTTGAATGACCCCCGAAACATGCGATTGTCGGTTGTATGGATGAGAAGGGTTTTGGATAGGAGACTGTGTAGGTAGGTGCGTGCTTGTTGGTGAGCTGGCGATTCTTGGGTTTGGGAGGAGGAGGTTGGGGGAGAGGAGGGGGCGAGTGAGGTCATGATTATGGGCGAGTTGTTGTGGAGGGAAGATTGAAGATTGGAGATTGGGAATTGGGAATTGAGGATGGGGAAAAGGATGGGGAAATAAATTGAATGAGGGGTGTTCGCCGATAAGATAAGAGATCACGTGTGTTCGTGGCCGGTATGCGTCATTACGCGGCTTTGACTGGGAATAAGGCAGAAGTGAGATGTGGGATGTGAAGTTTGTGAAGTTTGTTGCTTTAATATCTTGATTGAAGAGACGAGAGCACTGATTGGAATTTTGATGAGAATTTGGAGATGAAATAAGTATTCGACAATTACAATCGTATACAGGAGTAGCTACGAGTCAAGAATTTCATTAGCTTCAGATACGATCGTTACCTGTTTCTCGCCATCGTCTACCGGCAGGAACTTACTGCGCTCCGAATCCCAATCATACTCCCAAACCCAATCAATCCATCGACAGAATATAAAAACACAACACTCTCACCATGGGTGTCACCGGTCTTTGGACTATCGTCCAACCCTGCGCTCGTCCTACTCCCCTCCCAGCTCTAAATCGCAAACGTCTCGCCGTCGATGCCTCAATTTGGATCTATCAATTCCTCAAAGCTGTACGCGATAAAGAAGGGAATGCCCTTCGAAATTCACATATCGTGGGATTCTTCAGAAGGATATGCAAATTATTGTTTCATGGAATTAAACCAGTTTTTGTATTCGATGGTGGCGCACCGATATTAAAACGTCAAACGGTTCTAGGTAGAAAAAGAAGGAGAGAAGGGAGGAGAGAAGATGCTGTTCGGACGGCAGGGCGATTATTGGGAGTACAGATGAAAAGAAGAGCGGAGGAGGAAGATAGTGAGAGGAAGAAGAGAGAAAGGGAAGGGAGAAATAAACCTACGGTCGAGGAAGAAGAAGTTGTGCCGGAAGAACAATTGGCGTATGTCGATGAGATAGGGATGTCAGCACAAGAACGACAAACGAGTCGAAAATTCTATAAAAAGGATGCATATCATTTACCCGAACTTACAAATGGGATAGAAGGGATGGGAAGGCCGGAAGACCCGAGAATCATGAGTGCGGAGGAATTGGAAGAATATGCGAGACAATTCCACAGTGGGGAAGATGTTAATTTGTATGATTTCAGCAAGATAGATTTTAATGGGGAGTTTTTTATGAGTTTGCCGGCTGTGGATCGGTATAATATTTTGAATGCGGCCAGGTTGAGAAGTAGATTGAGGATGGGGTTGAGTAAGGAACAATTGGAAGAGATGTTTCCAGATCGAATGGCGTTCTCGAGATTCCAGATTGAGAGGGTTAGGGAGAGGAATGAATTAACCCAGAGGTTGATGAATTTGAATGGGATGAATTCTGAGGAGCATATGTTTGGGGTCAATGGGACGAATAGAATTGCGGGGGAGAGAGGGAGAGAATATGTTTTGGTTAAGAATGATGGAGTTGAAGGTGGTTGGGCACTAGGCGTGGTTTCATTAGAGAAAGGGATGGGTGATAGGAATAAACCCATTGATGTGGATGATTATGATAAGAGGAAGAATAAGGTTAATTTGGTATCAGAATCGGAGGAGGATGATTTTGAGGATGTTCCTGTGGAGGGCTTGAACCGATTACCGAAAGCTAGAGATAATGGGCTGAATTTGACTTATAGCGAGTTTCAAGCAAGAGAAGTTGCGAATAGGAGAAGGGAATACGAAAACTCGAGAAGAGAGTCAGATCGGCGGCCAGTAAGGAAACCATCTGAGGATCCTGATTCTCTTTTTGTGGATGATACAGGTGGACAACCGCGCCCTAGTACGACGAATGCTACTTATGATGATGAAGACGAAGATATCAATCGTGCGATCGCTATGTCATTGCAGCAAGACCAAGGCCAAGATGATGAGCTTGATGAGGAAGATCATTTAAAACGGGCCATTGAGTTATCACTGCAGAAAGGACATGGTCAAGAGGAAGAGGGAGATGATCCGTTTGAAGATGTTCCCATGCTGGAATACGAGCAAAGAGCAGTAGCAGATGCTAGACCTCTCACCAAATCGAGCGGGAAAATGATTGCTCATATGGTCAATAATAGAGCTAATGCTGCTGTACCGAAACGGAAAGAAGATAGCGAAACACTGGATAGTGACAGTGATAGCGATATGGACTTTCAAGCGGCATTGAGGAAGGCAAGAACACAGAAAGCGCCGGAAAAAGTTCAAAAAATAGCACCAGTTGCTGTAAATAAGAAGAATCCTTTCGATGGCCCGTTGCCGTTTGAGAGTCTTCAGTTTAAATCTTCCCTTTTTGGCAAGAAGAAACAACCAGAGAAGTTGGCTGTAGATCCTCAAGAAGAGGATGAAGAGGCACTTGCTGGTGGTTTCGAAAAGGAAGATGAAGAAGAAAAAGCAAAACCTTTACCTCCATGGCTACTTGGCAATGATGATATCAGGTCACAGGTTCAACAGCAACGTAAGAAAGATCAAGAATTAAATGCTAAAGATCGCGAAAGGGCAGAAGAAGATGAGAGGATTTTTCAACGTAATCATGGTGTTATCCATCTGGATTCTGATGATGATGCTAATGATAGTGATGTGGAAATTTTAGATAAAGCTCCTACGCTTGAAGTGGCAAAAGAGAGTGTGGATGATTTGACAGATGCTGCTAGAGCTGAACCATCAAAATCTGATATTTCTCAGGACAGACAGCTACCGGTTCAATCCTGTGCAGAAAATACAATTGATTTGCTACAGGATTCTGATGAGCCGGTTGAATGGTCGGAAAGCGATCATGGGGATGTTATCCCTAAGCCTAAGAAAACTTTAGATGCAAGTAACACTACGTCAGTGAGCATAGAACAGAATTCTTCGAAATCAAAATCACCATCTCCCGTCTTCGAAGATGTCGATCTTCCTGATGTTCAAGCAACTGAGCCTATTCAACCTTTGGCTTCTACAAGAAAAAGCCCATCGCCAGTGTTTGAAGATGTTGATATGACGAATTCTACAACTTTCTTATCATCCGGCCCAACAAAGCCTCCCCAACCACCCGTTGACGATGCATACGACCGCCAAGAAGCCGAGACAATTCCAGACGAATTCGATTTCAGTGACCCAGAAGAAGAAGAACTCATGACCCAACTTGCTATTGAAGCAGAAGAGCATGCTAGATTTGCCAGTACCCTGAACAATAAATCCGAAAAAGAAAATCATGATTCGTATGAAAAAGAACTCAAAGCTTTACGAAGTCAACAAAAGAAAGATCGTAGGGACGCGGATGAAGTATCGCATATTATGATCACGGAATGTCAAGCTCTACTTCGTTTATTTGGAATCCCTTACATCACTGCACCGATGGAAGCAGAAGCTCAATGTGCTGAATTGGTACACCTTGGTCTTGTAGACGGTATAGTTACAGATGATTCGGATATCTTTCTTTTCGGCGGTACACGCGTTTATAAGAATTTATTCAATAGCAATAAACTCGTTGAATGTTATCTCTTATCCGATCTTGAAAAAGAACTTTCTCTCTCCAGAGATCAACTTATCTCAATTGCACATTTGCTAGGTTCAGATTACACAGAAGGTATACCAGGCATCGGCCCCGTCACCGCCGTAGAAATTCTTTCCGAATTTCCCCTCTCAAACCGGTCTCCAAGAATTCAAAGAATGGTGGTCCTCCGTTCAAAATCCTCTCACTACTCCTCCACTCGCAAGCGAACCAACCCTTTTTCGCAAAAAGTTCCGTCGCTCACAAGCTACCCAAACTCTTCTACCCCCAGGCTTCCCCAGCGCAGCAGTTACAGAGGCATATTTAAAACCAGATGTTGATAGTACAACCGACGCTTTCCAATGGGGAGTCCCTGATCTAGAACAGTTGAGAGAATTTCTAATGAGTACAGTTGGTTGGAGTCAGGAGAGAGTAGATGAGATACTAGTACCTGTTATCAGGGATATGAATAGACGAGAGTTGGAGGGGACTCAAAGTAATATTACGAGGTTTTTTGAGGGTGGTGTGGGGGTGGGAGGTTTGGGTACTGCTAGTGCTGGAGGCGGAGAAAGGGAAAAAGGGGGAAGTAAGAGGATGAGAGAGGCGGTGGGGAAATTGAAGGCGAAGAAAAAGGGGAATGCGTTGAAGGATCGAGGGACTTTTGCTGATGATGCGAGGGAGTGGGCGAAGAGGAATGAATTGAGTGTTGGGGCGCAGGAGAGGAAGAAAGCTGAGAGTGCAGGTAGAAAAGGGAGTGGGAAAGGGAAGGGAAAGGGGAAGAAGAGGAGTGTGGAGGAGATGGATGGGGGTGAGAATGAGAATGAGGATGAAGATCAAGACAAAGATGCAGATGAAGATGCAGATATCGAAACAGAAGAAAATGAACCAGATGATGAAGATGAAGAAGAGACTGCAACATCTACACCAAAACCATCGCGCTCGCGCTCTACCTCTGGAAAAGCGACGAGTAGGGGAAAGGGTATTAATAAAACCCAGGGACAAGGTCCTAAACGGAAAAAGATGTAGAATTAGAGTTATCTTTCTTTTGTATAATATAAGACTTGTATAAATATTTAAATAAATAAATGTTATTATGTATGTACAGCAATTGAAAAATAAGATCTTATTTTATTAATATATACTTCTTTAAATAGTGTAACTACTAGTATAATATTGATATCTTGACCACAGATTATAATCTTATAATTAAGGGAATAAAATATTTCCTCAATTTAAGATTATAATCTGAACATCATGGTGGAAAATAAAATATAGATTGTAATAATAAGACTTAAATAAAAATCTTCTCCGCATCCGGGAACGAATGTTGGATCTGGTGGATACAAGATCTTAACTAGTAATACTGTAATTTATATGTAATAGTCGTATATCAATCTTATACTGCAGTCAGTGCAACTCAAGAAACAAAAAGGATGGATGGATGTATGGAGATAATCTTGTATCTAAATCCTCTGCTATTACCTAGTAACCAGAAATCTAGGTATTTACAGATAATAATTTGTAAGAAATGAAATAGGTACTTGTCGATTCCAACGATAAGAGTTTGAGAAATTATAAAGAGGGGGAAATTATTCAAGTCCGTTTTTATTATGGTTTTGTAGCTGGTTAACTAGGTTCCTCATTTAACATTTACTCAATATTCACTCATATTCAACATTCCACAATCATCATCATCATCATCATCATCATCCAAAACACCTCCTACCACTCCCTAGTCGAAGCACTAGGCGGTAAATCCTGCTCCCCCGTCCCCCAAGAACTTTCATTCCTCCCCAAAACCAACTCCAAGACACCGCCCTCCAACCAAAAATCATGCGTCACCCAATTCTTAGTCCAAGTCTTCCCATTCAACGTCGCACTCTGTATATAAATATTCGCATACGAAGCATCAAAGCCTATATTTCTTACCGTGGCCACTTTCCCCGTTTGCCCATTGCGGATACTGATTTCGCGGAAATAGGGGGGTGTGATCAGATAGACGTTTTGGCCTGAGATGGGCCATAATCCTAGCATGGAAAGAGTAGTGAATGAACCCATAGCGCCTGAATCGTCGTTTCCTGCTAATCCGGCTACGGTGTCGTTGAATTGGGAGGGGATGTAGAAGTGGGAGAAATAGGCTGAGAGGCCAGGGCGTCCGGCGTAGTGGAATTGAAAGACGGGGAGGAAGGCTTGTTCGTCACCTATGTAGAGGAGTCCGGATGTATGGAGATAGCTGAGACGAGATGTGAAGGTTGAGGGGCCTCCGAGGGTGGTTACGAGCGTTGCCATGTCTTGGGGGACAAAGAAGGTGTACATCCAGGAACTTCCTTCGTAGGTTTCATGGCCAGTGGGGCTGAGATAACAGGATGTGAAGTTGTAGAGGGGGGAACAAAGAGAAGGGTCCTGGTAGCCAAATGTTCCGTTTAAGTAGCGGGGTTGTAAAAAGCCGGTGAATCCGCTGTCGACAATGGAATTGGGTGCATCAGTTGATCCGTTAACATAGGACGTTTGATCGGCTTTGTACATATTTTTCCAATTTTCGGATCGTCCGATGTATTTTTCTACATCCCCAGTTTTGCCAAGTCCATGGGCCATCAAGGCGATACAGAAATCGTTGTAGGCGTATTCTACGGTTCGGGAGACGGATCGTGTCATGGGTCCTACTCCATAGGGGTCAAAGTCGTCCGTTGGGATATAACCGAGAGTTTTCCAGCTGGTTAGACCGCCGCGACCTTCGATGGACCAATCTGCTGGCTCATCTATGTCTTGTTAATGGTATGATTTGAAATTATTCTCGGGATGACGTACCTTCAGCATCAGATACTACTGCTTCATAAGCTGTTGCCCAATCCACATCTTGCGTGATATTCTTCAGATAAGAATCTGCTAGAACAATATCTGCATTCGAACCCCCTTGAGTGAAGCCTTTACATAGAGACATTCTACAATCCGGAAGCTTTCCTAGAAAGATGTTATATCAGAGACAATTCTTTCTCCGGAGTGAACTTTGAAGCATACCTTCATGATGATAAATATCAATCAAACTCCTTACCATCTGCGTCTGACTATAAGGATCCAACAAAGTCAACAATGGATGAATACTCCTGAACGAATCCCAAATACAATAGTAAGAATCATAATAAGGTTCATCACTATCCCACAATGGGTTCTCCCCAGTATAATCCTGAGGTGAAATCATAGCCCTATAAGCCCCAGACCAAAAAACAGTCTGAAGTTCATCACTAACACCCGTAGCATCAATACTAATAACGGAAAGTTTTTCTCTCCACGCATCTTCTGCAGCAGTTAAAACCTTCTCAAAATCAAAGTCGGGGATCTCGGTTTCGGCGTTCTGGCATGCTTTTGAGATGCTGATGAATGAAACGCCTACCCGTGCGAGAATTTGATTGTTGGCGGGTGCTTTGAATTGTGTCCAAGCACCGGCTGGGAGAGGAGGTGAGTTTATACCATCAGGAGTGACACTTAAATTCTTGGGTTGGCTCCCGGCACGATTATTCTTGAAGACTCCTGTGTCTCTAATTTCTGCACCTTTGAAATCAGCGCAGAAATGTAAATCGTAAGTTCCAATTCCAAAGGAAGGATTAAAAGTTCCGGTTCCAGAGAGTCGTCCTGTATCTGGATCGACTTGGACCGAAGCATTTGAACGAGAGTCTGGTAAATCCGTTAGATCTACTAGAATGAGAGGACTGTATGGTAGAGAAGTCTGCTGGGTAGAATTTGAATAGCTAGATGTTGAGTTTGAGGGGAATGTGAATCGATATAGCGCAGTATGATTTGTGACTGTTGCTTCTGTATGAATAGAAGTGTTTAGAGAGACCGCAAAGTATCCCGGGTGAGCTTCGGCAGTTCCATTGATTCGTCTTGATGCTCGATCAGTTTTGGTAAAGAAACAATTATTCACAATATCCCCAGGACATCCAGTTTGTGGGAATAGTGGGAAATTTCCAAGTGATGGTGACTTTGAGATAATTTAGTTAAGAAATTTTCTTATGAGTGCTGTTACTCACACCTCCCGTACCAGAATCATGCATATGAGAAAACCCCGTGATATCAGAATTATCTGAAGCAAAACCTCCTTGCTTTTCATCCGGATTGTTTATATCTGCAACTGCCTTTGCCATTCCTTTGGAACTAATGAGCTCAATTCATGAAGGTCTTCGGAGGCAAAAGAGCTTACCAAAGGGTAAAGTGGCCCCAGAAAACACATGACCTGCAGTCACATCAGTATATAATTGCATTCAACAGCTTGCAAGAATCAAGCATACCTCCATTATCAGTCCCAATCAATGGATCAACATATTTGAACACATCAAAGTCCCCCTCTATTTGACTTCCAGTACCTCTATCAACCAAGATCGCCAAACCCACGAGCAGAGCCGGCCATTGTGATAAGAACCCCATGATTGACTTCACAATATAAGAAAGCAAAGAACGAGCAGCTCAATTTCCTCAGAGAAGATACAAATTCCCAGAATCCTGGGGTCAACCAACATCTTTAACTTTTTTCCCCAACCGATTCATACAAACAACGAGTATCCACTTATTTCTCCACGGTACCATACGACGTTACACTACCCCTCATTTGTACATCTTGTACACTTTTTCATCTCTTCTCGAGCTTTTCCTTGGATGATCATCATAACCTACACCTGTATTGGGACTTGCCAATGCAGAATGCGGGGTAAGTGACAGGGAGATGCAGATATGTACGCCATTGCCGGTGCGGAAATTGATGTTGATTATCGTTGAAGGATACATCGGATCATTGTTCATGTATATTCCATGTATAGATGACCGATTTTGGGTGTGAGGGTGTTTTGATGTGTTGAGGTTATGAAGTTGGGAATCGATGTAATATTCGAGTTTACGATATCGGGATAATGACTTCCGAGGGATTAGAACTGATGGTGGGTTTTGAGAAATATTTGTGTATTTGCAGACTTTTATTCCTAATGTCGAAAATCACATTATATGTCATCCACTTCCTTTGTAGAGCCTACAATGCAAAGTACTTGCTGGATGACTTCACTAAAACACGTGATTATCATGTGACTATGAATAATTTCACACCAACCACCAGTGAACTATGCCCCATTTCTTGACCTTACCTCACCTCCTCAACAACGACGCGCAACATCATCAACTCACAGCAGATCAGAAACAAGAATATCGACTCTTCCGTCTTGGATACAAAAGCTAAACCTTCACTACAGCAAAGTACTTCATACTTCAAAGCCAATGAAGATATATGCGGAGTGAACCACAGTTCACTTTGTATTAATCTGTCAAAAAAGATGCAAACATTGAATTTATAAAGTTATTGTAACACTCAACTTGATCTCGCCAGCTAATTTTAACACAAGCTGACAACACAAACGAATCGCCGTTAATCCTAATAGCATCTGCACGAAGCACATGCACATGCACACAAACTCAACTTGTCAACCATGCCCTCGGCTCCAGCCCCTCCATCCGCTTCCACACTATTCAGAATTTCCTTACTCAACACCCCCATATTCCATTCCCTTCTAAATTCCTCTTTCCTCTCATGACTCACCTGCCTCCACCAAGAAATAAAACACGGCATGTCCGTCCTCCATTTCTCATCCTCCTCAGGACACCCACCGCCCTTAGCAATATCCATGCACTTTATCTGAACACACATCTGTAAATAGTAGTGTATGTAGACGGCCAACGCATCGTATTCAGATTCAGGTGTATTTTTGAGAGTTGCGCTGGCATAGGGAGTGGACTTCGTGAAGGAGATCAGGACGCCGATAGCACGCATGAGTTCGTCGGGACGCATGAGATTGATTTGTGCGTAGGCGCTTTCCCACTTCATGAAAATGTTTTCTCTGACGAGATGCTTGGGACGCGATGAAGCCATAGCGCTAGAAGCACCTGCTTCTGCCTCTGCCATTGCCTTTTCCGATGCCTCTGTCAATGCTTTATTGAATACGTCTACATTAAAGTGTTTGAATGCCCTTTTTATGATTGTCGCAGTTTCCTCAATCAACTTCTCGTCAACACCATTGACCCCGTTGTCCTCTGTCAACACTATACACTTCTGTGGAAACATTTGTATAGAAATATTTTTCAACTGTTCCGCAATGGCAGCTAGCAGACCCTCTTTCACGCGGTTTACCAATTTGGCCGGTTCATCCGCGTCTCTCATCGTCTCTCCTGTTTTGGGCCTCTTTTTCTCATCAAGTCCGCTTTGTTCCCTGCCCCTAATGTAGACAGCAGTATAATCAGATTCTGAGGAACACGAATCAGAGATCTCATCATCATCATCATCTTCTTCAGCACCAGAGATATCAAGGAAGATGGAGCTTATTTCTTCATCATTCTCAACGGTGTCGGGCTTTGTGTCTTTGTTGATATGACTTTTGTGGGAGCAGGCGAAGCTACAATCGCAAACCTTCGCCTTCAGAAACTCGTCATAGTTGGACTGAATCAATGCTTGTTGCAACATCGCATCCTCATCATCGAAATCCTTGGGTTTTGGTATTTCTACGCTGTTTCTCGAGAGCGATCCACCTCGCATGTATGTGGAGCATTGATCGGTGTCGCTCGGAAGTGATCCAGCCTGAGTGATTGTGGAGCCTTGATGGGTGAGAAGTTCTGCTGTTGATGTAGAAGCCTCAGAAATTTTATATCTTATGTCCTCCATAGTCACAACTACATCTTCATTTGCCGGAGGTATACGAACTTCAAGATCGTTCTCGAGTAATAAAGCAGCATCGGATGTAATATCCACACTTAATTGTGCCTCTTTAGCCTTATTAAATGAAGTTTCTATTTCGTCATTCAAGTGCTCCAAGCGTTCGAAACTAGTTTCAAGCGTTTCCTTCAACATCTGCAAGTCCTCTTCTAACCTACCGATGATAAAACTTTTGAGTATCTCGGTTGTGAGTAATGTTTTTTTGTTTCCTGCTCCTACCTCGTCCTCTGAAGTTTCCATTTCCTTGGGATATATCTCGGCGCCCTCTTTCTGTTCTAGCGCCATTTGCAATCTTTCTTCCAGCTTTAAGCGCATGATAACACGCTCAAAGCCATCAGCTAAGCTTCGCATTTCTTTCAAACCGTCGTTAGAATTTGTTTCTACCAGACCGTTCAACAACTCGAAGGTTTTAGGAGCCATCTCAGTTCTCTCTTTTCTGTCTCTCACGCTCTGCACGGTCTTTGACAAAGTTTTGCTGCCAAAAGCAGATTCAGAGCTCTCAGCCATGTCCTCGCCTAATGAATCTAAGTGCGTGACATCAGTTTCTGCTCTCTCTTCCCTTTTTTGTACGCTCCGTATATTCTTTTCCAAATTTTCGGTTCTGATAGCAAGTTCAAACTTCCCATGTGTCTCTTCCTTTACATAATCCTCGCCATCCACGATGTTGTTCAGAGCCATTTTCTTTTGTTCAATACCTCCGCAGAGTTCAACATGGTCCAAAAAGTGCTTTTCCACTTCAGCCATCTCTTTTCTTTCTTGACTCAAAATGTGCTCTACTCTCTCATAGATCTTCTCTTTATCGTCGTCAAAGGGTACAAATTTCTTATTCTCATCAACTTTAAAAAGAGAATTTCCGCAAGACGATGAAGTAAATGGCTCAGAGTCTTTCTCCTGCACGCTCAATCGTGAAATCCGTCTCTTTTTAGTCGGAGATGGACTGTCGCGGGCTCCAGTGTCCTTCTCGACGGAGCGAACTTCATGGCCCGCGAGTTCCAGAGTCCCCACATTGAGTCTAGACATCGAGCACAGTGTTGAAGATATATCGATACCGCGCTTGTTGGATATGGATTTTATTTTAGGTGTCTGGGGTGACGAGGGCATCGTGGCCATTGCTGGAAATGGAGGTTCAATCGTTTCTGACATATCATCACCTCCCGATTCACTAGAATTTCTAGAAACGACGAGTGCCATTGTAGCGAAGATTCTTGATGGTTTTGTTTCTAGCAATTTGAAAGAAGGGATGAAGAAGCAGTTGCTGCAGTTAGACAAAAGGCAAATGGCTCCGATTTGTAAGTGCTCAGGACTCGTTGCAATTGAAGTTTGGAGAGGGATTTGAGTTTTTATTATGATGATTGGATGTTAGACAATAATGGATCAACGAAAGTAATGATGAAAGAGAATTAGTCTGTTCTGCATTGGATGCGATACTTGATTGTTAGCTCGAGCAAGGGAATGGTGTTATTGCATGTTCTGTTCAAAGATGCTTTCCCTTCTAGAAATTACACGATGATGGTGGAATATTTAGAGAAAGAGCGACTTTGACAATGCCGGAACCCGGGCATCATTTCCAAGTCATTGCTTTATCGGAGAAGAATCCAGCTCTTTCTTACTGAGGCAAGTGCGAGTGCAAAGAAGGAACTCAATATGTGAAACACGGGAAATAAAACTCTATTTCCCCTTTCGGTCATAACAACAACACTTGTTCTCGTCACTTTTCCGATTTATTGCAGGATTATCAGCGGTGTGAAATTGTGTTAAATTCAATATGAAAGATTGAACAAGTATATACATCAAGTACTCAAAAGTCTTATATATTGGCTTGCCACGCAGCATGTAGACACATGAGCTCAGAACCTTGATGTCAAGGCCCTTCCTAAGATCCCGAACACGAACAAAGTTGATCTAAAACAACCTGACTTATTTATTATTCAGGAGGCGTCTTACCCGGGTTTTGAATCAAAAGCTTCATCTTCTTATATTTTCTGAAATTTGCCGCAGACTGCCACTCCTCAGGATTCGTATAAATAACATCTTCCATCTCATCATTAACCCAATCTTCTATTTCACTCCTCGTCCTCTTTCTAGTTTCTACTCTGCCCAATCTTCCCGCATTACCACCCGTTAACTGTACATCTTCCATATGTTCAACACCCTCAGGTAGAACAGTCGCCGCCACAATAGTAAATTTCGCCACCAACGACCCTCCCCATTTAATATAATCGTCGAACGCCGCCTGCCACCCATCCGAACTCCGAGTAACTTCCTCGTGCAACCAAATTAGTCTTTCCAAGCCTTGCTCGGCTGCTTTCCAACATTTATGTCGGAGGGGCAATGACAACTTGTCCACATCTCCAGCACTCTCTGCTTCACAACTGGCAATCAGAAATTTCGCCGCACTTTTAACAAACGATCCGATATACCGATCTGAAAGCAATTTCAAACACATCTGTTTCCCTGTCTCAAAATCTTTTTGCAAATGTATTGTCGTTGCCGTTTCCATCAACATATCAAACTCCTTCTGTTCCAGAGGATAATTTGACTCAACGCCCTTCTGACTTGGAACAAAGAGCAACGCTTGACATTTCTCCAGAATATTATACGAAACATTCAGTTTCCTCCCCAATTCTCCCTCCTTAAACTTCCTTCCGAACCTTTTCCAGAACGTCTCGATTAAATCCACGCGTTCCCCTATTCCAGGCCAACAATGCCTGCTTAGCGACAATATCCTCTACACCATGATGTTTTAGCTGTCTCTCCAATGCAAATCCCACCATTTTCTCATGATTCGTCGCCGCCACAACTAACAATTCCACAACCTCTCTCACGGCTGTAGTCATCAAACCCCAATCTCTATGAGCACCACTCGGATTATCCATCTTACTCTGAACTAAAACCTGTATAATATCCCTCACAGTCCGAAGCTGCGATTCCATTCCCTTCCAAAATGCCTTGCCCGTCTTCGCGCTTTCAGCTATTTTCGTCACAAATGCCATAAGTTTCTTCTCCGCTGGCGTATGCGTCATGCGCGCTTTCACATCCAGCATAGTATTCACCATGAGCGCCTCATCATTCTCATACGGATCATGTGAAACAGGATCTAATCTATCTCCCTTGAGAATGGTAAAGGGCCTATAAGATCCCGGTTCATAAAATATCCTCGTCCCTTCCTTGATGGTTTGGTATTGCAAAATCCGGCCCCCAAAGCTGCGAACCATTAAATCCCAAAAGTCTTGGTTATGCACGTCCTCTAGAAATTGAACGCCGATGGGATGAAAATCGCTCCAGTTTTGTATCGGGGGATCAATGAGAACAGCCTGGCCCGAGGCAGCGTGGGATTTGCTGGTGAAAGAGGGAAATTGTACTTCGGCGAATTGGGTTAGTATACGGCGACTTCGATGGTTGCTGGGTCTTTTGCTGTCGATTCCTCCATGCATCTATGAGTGAAAAATATTCATGTTAGTACTTCTGGTATTGCTCTAAATGAATAGGATAGAACATGGTATTAGATAAAGGATCAACCTACCGCCCATTGCCAACTCCAGCCTAGCTCCGCCATCTGTTCATCTGCAAAATACCCTTCTCGATTATTGGTGAACAAACGAACGCCTAGGCGATGGAGTGATTGGTAATAGCCTATGGCATGCATGACTTCATGTGCAATCTATCAATGCATTAGTTTGAAAGAAGTAGATAGGCTTCTACCGCGACATAAACTTACAGTAGTAGCACAACGAAATCTTAAAGCCGCGGCCTCGGAATCTGAAAGATCGTCAGAATCAAAGAAGAGGGCTTCCAAAGCTTGCACATTGATAAAAGTTTGAACTCGCCACTGAGATGATAAGTTTTGGTCCAGTACAAAGAATAGTACGCAAAGAACTTCAAACAAGCAAACATGACGTTGAGTACCACATACCTTAGCACCCGGTACCTTCTTCACCACCATCTCCCAAGCATTAACCGTCGTAACACCCAAAGGATCACCCCACTTCTTAACCGGATAATTAGGATCATGATTAGGCGGATCATTATCCCTCGCATTCTGATGACTGTAAAAATACGAAAACATAAAATCCATCTCATTCATCAATCCAATGAAAACTCTCTCTCTCTCAGTCTCAACTTCCCTTTCGCGTTCAGCGGTCCACGGGCCCTCGCGAGGATGAAAGGTATGGAACTCCTTTTGGATTTTTGCGCCGGGGGGGTATCGATCTTGGACGACGGGACGGCGGGGTCCTAGGAGTAGCGCATCGAGCTGGAGAGGTGATTTGAAATTAGCTATGTTTTCCTAGCTGAGGGAGGATGTGATCATACCCATGGTAAATTCTTAGAGGACATTATATATTTTGACGCAAGTGTGACTATTGGTTTTAGAACGTCCCAAACTCTATCGTTACTCGATTGCCATTTTCCACCCTGGGGATCACCCCTCTAAAGCCCAACATAATTAAATCAGCAAAGGGATATTCAAAAGCACTTAATCATAAAAATGCCTCTCCAAAGCTACCGGGGCACAACATGAAAATAAAGACTCACAATTGGTATACTATCAGTCCTTAACCACGCCGTGCTCGGTCTATCCTCCCACCTATCCCTCCTCAAAAGCGGTATAATCCCCGGAGTCAAAGTACTTTTCTTCAACGGCCTATCACAAACGGCATCTAGATCTTTCAGCTCCCTCGTGGTGAAGAGGAACAACTCATTTCTTTGATACCCTCCAACTACCCTATAACTATCATCCTGCTTGTCATGCTCCCAATTAAGCGGGAAGAAAGGATCTAAAGGTGTTAACCAACTTTTCAGGTTAGGATTTTGAGGAGATTTGGGTCCAAATCTCCGTGCATAATCTGTGATGTGACGGGACTGACCATCTCCCTGCAACGGATCTCGAGGGTATTCTGATGATGCCATGTTTGGGGATTATTTCTATGTCGACGTCTAAAGAAGCTGAACATGATACAGATTAATTCTTAGGATTTGATTTTCCTTTTTTTCGGCCTGTGCAACAAAGGGTTAGAACTGCAAGATGCTGAAAGGACTAGCTTCACAAACTTTTGTTTCCAAATGTCCTTTGTCTGCTGGTGAAATAGACACGGAGGCATCGCCGAGAATGGTTTGTTGAGCATTGATTGTACACTCTAGTATTTAAGAACAAAAAGTAGTTGTCACTGAAAATGCTTATTCTTTATTGTTGGTCAACGACATGGGCTGATTTGAAAACATGCCATCATGAAAATTAAAGCCGTTCAAATGACCATGGCTACCAGTAGGTACATGAATTGATGAAAGAATTCCCAAATTCGGAGAATGATGATTATGCCCACAGCTTTCATTTGATTTCCTTATTTTTTGATTTTTCGAATGAACATACAAATATTGCAAGGACGTCGGTTCATTCAACTTTGAGGTTGATCCGACTTTATACATACACTAATAGTATAAAATATGACGACGGGTATCAAGAAAAATTGTTCGTGATATCTTAAAATGGTGGAGAAAGAAGACTTTAACTTTAGGATATGTCAAGAGGAGAAAGAGAGAAACAATACAATATCAAATTTGATGACTAAGCATTATAACATTGACAGAGTCATAATTCTGTTTCCATTTCTGTTTCTATAACACTGGATGTATCTTCCAATCTCTATTAGTCATTAAAGCTTCATTAACAATTTAGTTTCTCATGTCCTCATTTCCTTCATGTTCCAAACAACAGACCAACGCAAACAAACACGCGCACACAGCCATACCGAAAAGTCATTAAAAACCACGGGAATCCCCATCATCCAATTACTCATAATTTTGAACCTTCTCCTCTACAAAGACCCTCTTCACATCAACCTTGACGCAAGTTGGATTTTGTGGCTCAGCCTCACCAACAACCCAAGCCAAAGTCGTGTAGTGGTAACCCCAGTACGTCTCACAGATGTACCACCTATAATAAGCTTCAGTCCCAAAGGTAATTGGTACGGTTGTGTCATTCTGATAGCCCTGAATGTTCAACAAATCGTTCTCGTCAAACGCTACATTGGTTGTGCTCGTGCCAGGAGTAAACAATGGCATGGCGATGTTGCTCGTGGGGCTATACGAAAGTCCGAAAGGCGAGGAAAGATTGAAATTTGCACCTTGGAGAAGCCATGTTAAGACACCAGTTTCGCCGATAGAAGCATTGAAGCTGGTGTCGTAGGAGGAGGTGTTAAAATTGTACGTGTAAAAGGTGGTGTTTGTATTAGTGATTGAAGCACCAACGCATAATCCTTCGATAGCAGCACCTTCATGGCAAGGGAAGAGAGTGGTGCCATTCAAGGTGTCATTTGAGGAGAGAAGCACAAGATTGAATGGGGCGGATTGATTTGTGTATTGTGCCGCAACTTGAGTCGCTGCAACTGCGAGAAGACTCGTGGCGATGAATGAGGTACGCATCCTGAGTTTTTGATATTTGAACGGATGGATTGATGGATTGATGGATTGATAGATTGTTTTGAATTATTATTTAAGATGGATATTTCTAACAATAAGCAATTGCTATTTGTAGGAATCGATTGTTGTTATCTTGAATGTGAGAGCAGTTGAAGATGTTGATGAAGATGTTGGATTGATGATTACTCGAGGAAGTAGTACTTCTTTTATATGATAATCTTACATCTCCCAACAGGAGGCAAAAATAATCGGGAAGGTGCAGTGGACCAGTGGTGGGTCGATGATGCCAAGGAAGGAAGGATCTCGTATTTTCTTTTCTTTTCACCGCATGATCGACAGAACTAACCTGATTCTTCTCAGCACGAATGAGTCCGGTACATGATCAGCATGAAGTTAAAAGAGCATCGTGCTGACATTATTTTATTGATTACGAGTAGATGAGTAACGTGTGAGAAATTCGTATTTGCACGCTTTAATACGTGACAATCGTACGAGGTAAGATCAAGTAGCCTTAATAAGCTTATCACAAAAACGATTTAGACGTTAACCTCATAATTAGACACCAAAATATTTAAAGGGATGCTGTTAGGCTCAAAATGGCAACCACGAGTGTGGGTCTATGTAGCCCGGAATCGTAGCCCCAATAATAAGACAACCCTACCTACACTTATTTACAACGTACAGAGTACTACGTACTCCACAGAACCTTTAACGTCTCGGGGATACATTTGGTTCCGTCCGGCCCTTATTAAGGTTACTGATTACCCCGCATTAGTGATGCAACCTCGTATGGGACAACTAGTATGTACCAGTTACGGGACAGAGTAGAACATACACATAAAGCCATCTTAACGGGCCAATAAAACGGTATCTTTTGCCCAACACGAGATAATATTTGTGCTAGGGGAGGCTTGGTAATCACAACGTTAACCGAATTCCAGTACACCCTTGCTTCATGAACACATCTGTTTCAAAACCAGTACAATCCATGAGAGACATTATACGTCACTTCAACACGAAGATTCCTTGAAGATTTCTCGTGTCATTCAATATCCGTCTCTACTCCAACATTGTCATCAATATAATCTCATGCTAATGAGAGTCCTTCAAATCCCCGTCTTGAGCACAACCCCTCCATCAATCTGTGGAATTTACTTCAAGTCAGTTTGCCTGTTTAAATATATCCTTATCGACAAGCTTTTCTTGAAGTGTCAAACCAGGACATTGATATTGCAAGATCCACCATGATATCGACTCTTCGATCTAGAAGGTATGGAGACAGCAGCTCTAGCTTGGATCAAGTAGAAATATCCTTTGATCTCGAAAGTATTGTATCTTCAGTTCTCCATCTGATATATTACTCTTTGTCTGTAAAATTATAACAATTGATAGTTATTATCGGTTAATGAATTGAGTTATTCATTTCGATTCTATTAATGTTATACTTGCTCAAGACTTCATTCCTATCTAAGAAGTCATGAAACATGAATTGCTCACTCCTGTGATCTCACTGACGGAGTAAGTAAGTCCATATTCGTAGCTTGATGCTTCGCTTTGTTTGTCCAACTCGTCGGAGGAAGAAATATTCCCCGCATGGCTCGTAGTCCGTCTATGAATAGACCGGAGATAGGTAGGAGCTATCGCCTTTTCTATATTCACATTAACACCATTTATTGGTGCTGTGTTGCTCCTCCACACTAGGAGGAGCATTAAAAAACTTTATGTCTAGGCTAAAATCATACTAGCAGAAGGTGAAGCAATGCTTTCCATTTTCACTACTTCCCGGCGTTCAAAACTCTCGATTCTTTCCACCGAGATCTGAGTGGTATACGCATGAATATATTCTCTTTTCCTCCATATTTCCTCTTCTCCTGCTTGGCGACAATGAATTGCATCTTGTCTTTGCTAAGATACTTGTCATAACGCCATTATTTGAGTTAATCTTTCCACCTCCTCGTGCTATGAGACACATTAGACAATTTCTGCTCGTAAGACCTAGCTAAGTAACGTAAGTCATGGCGTAATGCGTCTAATGGCGTAATGCGTCTAATTGTGGGGGACCACCCCATCAAAAAAGCAACAATTCAACAATGGTCCGTCGAAAAAGTTTAAAAGTGCAGGAAATGGAATCTCGACTTGCTGAAGCAGTATTAGGAGTTCAAAATGGAAAGTATAAGTCTTCATATGAAGTTGCAAAAGAACTGGGGCTTTCTAAAGATACTGTGACGCGACGCGTCAAAGGGGGTTCATCGCGTTCTGAAGCACATCAATTGCAACAGAAACTTTCTGCTGTACAAGAGAATGTACTTCTTAAGTGGATAAAGCAATTGACAATTAGCGGCTATTCATTAGGCCATCAGTTGTTAAAAGAATTGGTTGAGGAGTTACGTTCAAAACGGATTTATAATTTGGATTGCCCCTCATTTGACTTTTTTGAACTCTTATTACAACATCTTCTTGGTCATGAATGGGTTCCACGATTTATTAAACGACATCCTCATCTCACAGGTGTTATTGGCCGTCGAATTGAATCTGTAAGAATGGATGGTGCAACCAGGGAAACATGTAGTACTTGGTTTGATGTGTATCAAAAAGCGATTCAGGATTATGGAATTGAGAAGAAAGACGAATACAATATGGATGAATCTGGACATTCAATTGGGACAATGGAATCAACCCGAATTATTATCGATTCTACACTTCGTACAAAACATCAAGCACATCCAGGCCATCAAGAGTGGATTTCAATAGTAGAGTGTATTTGTGCGGATGGATCCATTCTTCCACCACTCGGGATTTTTAAAGGTAAAAACGTCCTTCAAAATTGGATTCCGAAGGAAGTTCTTGGTAGCTGGTTCTTTTCAGCAAATACAAAGGGCTGGACAAGCAATCTTCATGGATTAGAATGGCTAAAACGCGTTTTCGAACCTGCAACTCGTGCAAAAGCAGATGGCAAATATCGGCTTCTCATCTGCGATGGCCACGATTCTCATATTAGTGGAAGCTTTATAGCTCACTGCCTTCAAAATCGAATTGTACTTCTTATACTTCCTCCTCATACCTCGCATTTGCTTCAGCCACTTGATGTTGCGGTTTTCGATCCATTGAAAAAACGGCTCACCGCAGCACTTTCTGATTTGAATCAAGCTCAACTTGTACGAATACAAAAGATTGAATAGATGGAGGCATATATTAAAGCTCGAGCCGATGTATGCCATCATCAAAATATCGAATCGGCATGGTGGGGAGTTGGGTTATATCCATTTAATCCACAGAGAGTGTTCCGTACACTGGGTCGAGAGTTTACCCCCGAAGTCGAAATATCCAAAGAACCAACCCAATTTGATATTTTTAATCAAGTCTTCGTCAATAGCTCACCCCCGGATGTAGCAATCTTACAAACAGCAAATAACCTTTTAAATTCAACAATTGAAAATGATACAACTCTTTCAACCCCGGTTCGTCAATACATTCGAAAATTGACGATTGGGAGTGAGCAACTTCGAGCTCAAAGTATTGTTCACCAACACGATGCGAATAATTTACGAGCTATTATGAAGAAACATACGATACGTAAGAAAGGAAAGAGACTAGTTTTGAAGGGTCATTTTCATATTTCTACGCAAGAATTATGTGATGCAGTAGTGGAAGCCGAAAAAGCTACTAAAGTACAGACAATGAAAAAAGGAAAAGGGAAAGGGAAAGTAATTGAATATGAGACTGAAACTGAAGAGGATATTGGAGAAGAAGTTGAAGATGAATCTGAAAGTGATATTGGAGATTGTATTATAGTTGATTGTTGAGTAATTGAGATTTTAATAGAGTGGTTCCCCGCAATTAGACGCATTACGCCATTAGACGCATTACGCCATGACTTACGTTACTGAATATCTTACTCTAAAACCATGCTCCGTTTCTATGATCCTAATCATTTCCTCAAGAGCGCCTTTTCCCTCAACGTATACCCGGTGATATTTTCACAAAAGTTTTCTTATCTGACATTTCAAGCCATAATCAGGCCTAGAGGGTCAATCTTGGAATGTGAGGGAATTTTGAAGAGTGGTAGTCTTTTATACCCATGTCTTACTGCACAGAAGAAATATAGAATGATAAGAAAAAGTGCAGTCAGAGAATTCGAAGTTATAATGTAATTTCACTTGTCCGAGGTTTTGAAGTCACAAGTGCTACCTTTATCAAGACTGTGTAGTACAAACAAAAGTGCAAATTCAAGACCATGCTGTGCAACGATGTGATGGAAAATGGGAAGCGTTTAAGTTCATAAATGACCGGCGAAACGCAAATAGCGATGCTTGAATGTGTGTGCTGAGATACGGTTTCATGGTCCATCTATCAAAGGCGGATCTGCACTGTTGTATTACATATGAGCTGTTGTAACAGAAATTTTCGTGCAGGAGGACTAGACTTTTATTTAAGTTCTGAAACCGAGTAAATCAAGCAAGGCTTTTTATGAAATCCAGATTCAAAAGATATCCTTTAAATTTATCCAGCATCATGCAGGATTGAGCTGAGCTAGTAATCATCTGCAGCTTCCAAAACCTCATAATTCAACACCTACTCATGATAAAATGTTTACAAAACACAACAACAAATCATAAACCATCCAAGCCGTACAAAAAAGCTGCATTCCGCTAGCAGTAATTTGTTTTTCCAATTTTCATCATTCTGCTTCACAAAGTCCTCGCTCCCAATGCGTCTCTCAGTAAAGACTGGTAAACTTGACTCTAGTCTCGACCTTTTTCCAAAATTGGAAGAATTCCAGTTCAGTGTTCCAATCAACAGGTTTGCTCATCAGCTTCATATCGAATTCAAATAACAATCTCGCAAGCGTCATTCTTAACTCAATATATGCTAAGTTGACACCCAAACAAACTCGAGGACCGGTGCTAAATGGCCTACTTGCCTCTTTGTTATCTTGATCAAATACAGGATTGTGTAGAGGGTGATCAGGGGATAACCATCGCTCGGGATGCCAGCCTTCGGGATCATGCCAGTATTTTACATCGTGGGATGCGGTATATGGAGAGACGGAAACGATGGTTCCTTCGGGAACGACATGGCCATCGATAACTGCTCCCGGACACGTGCGAGGAAGGCCAAATGGTACTGGAGGAAGAATACGTAGCGTTTCTTCAATAACGGCGAAGAGATATTCGAGAGGTAAGGTATTCTCATGATTAATTTGAGATCTATCGGTAAAAGCCCCGCGCACTTCATCAGTGAGAATCTTCATTTTGTCGGGGTAACGGAGCAGGAAAGAAATCATGGCCGTCAGGGTGACAGCTGTGGTTTCGGATCCAGCAATAATGAGAGTGTGTGCTTGTGCGGTCAAAAACATTTCCGAGGTATCGGCTCCCTCTTTTTCAAGCAAGAAGCTGAAGAAATCTTTTTGGACGATATCAGTACGCTTGGCTCGTTTCATGGCTTTAGAATTGGTATGGGCGATGTGTTCTCGTCTTTGCTGGCGGATATCGTCCATGTTTGGAATAATCCATTTCATGAACAGTCTACTAATAGGAATCTTCTGAAAAATTGGGTAGAGACTGCGAATAAAGTTGCCGTTGATGATCAAATGAATCCAAAAATGCGTCCGGGCTAAAAGGAATTAGTGGTGCTTCGCAAAAGGGAGGATTGGCTGAGAACTTGCCGTTTTCGACTGCACCAAAAGATTCATGGAAGGTCAAGTCTCCGATCTGTTTTACCGTGCTCATTAGAATCAATACGAAGAATGGTTTAGCGTTAACGTTATCAGACAAGTGTGCTTACAATATCGAAGGTCAACCAGTTGAACCATTCTTCCACCCGAATACCATCTGGGTTATCGAACTTCTTGATCTGGCTAACAAACATGTCCAAGTACTTGTTAATGACATCGGCTTGACCCTTCAAAACAGAAGTACTGAAAGCATTGGCCAATACTCTACGCATGGCACTATGCTTCTGTGGATCTGGCTCCGTCGAAATGGAATTTGGTAGGTCACCGACACCAGCATACCAGTCGGTTTTTCTGAAATACTTCTTTCCTTTTACCGAATGTCCATATATGTCTCTCCATGATTGAGCTGAGCTGAACGCAAGTTCATCAGGAGCAATCCGGACAACTTGGCCTGGAGATTCATGGGTCAAACTTCTTGTGGTGATGGATCTAGAATTGGGAACTCACCATACTGTTCATGAAGATCTGAAAGTGCGTGAGGCCATTTTCCTCCAATCCTGGGGTTAAAAATTAGATGGATTCATCGCGATTTTCATTTTTGAAATATTTGTTGTCGCTTACCAATTTTTAGCGTACCAGATATAGGAGGATCTGGCTAGTAATGGTCCTGGAAACTTTCTCAATGGGTGAAAATATAGGTTGTAGATTGCAAAGTAGGTAGGGTATGCGAAAAGCTACACAACGCGCTATTAGTCTCGATTTTGAAAGGATTAGATTGATTTTCTTACCACAGCGAAAATAAAACCTATCCAAAGATAGATGGCTGGCAAACCGAGTCGCTCAAGCGATTCAAGCACCAACATGTTGAATGATCAGATTCGATCTACTCGGTTTACCAGATTTCTGAACTTAATCTCTATTCATTGATGAATTGGTAAGATTTAACTTTTAAGAAAAAGAGTTTAGGATTTCTAGCATCACTTACAACGGCCTCCGAGGACACAGAGGGTTATAAATCATTGGACCATAGAAATGTGGGGCTACAACGATTCCCATCCGGGCGCCGAGATACCCCGCAAAGTGGTGGCAGGTGTAACCTACATGTCGCCGTGAGTAACGACAGACAGCATGGCCCAGCCTTTTATGTTCCTCCGACTTGGCCTCGCTTGGAATCACAATGCATACACTTGTAGACTACTCGCACTTGGGATGACTGTCGGTTTTTCCTGTTCCTACGAGTCTCTGTCTCCATAATCTTACGCAGGATCGTTTGCCCAAGATGCTACACTTTGCGGATCTGGGTGCAATATCACTCGCGAACGTGAATACTGTGATCGCGGGGTGCACTGTTTTCGCATTGTATTACCTATTTCGGTTCTTCAACCCAAAGAAGTTGAATTTCGATGCGCCAACTATAGGCGATGCGAGTGATCTTCGATCTGCTCTGACCACTGGTTACAAGCAGGTATGATATCCTCATGTTGGTACATGACAAAAATTAACCGAAATGAGTAGTGTCCAGATACGCCCTTTCTACTACCAACTGCTGCTCACCCGACGATTATCTTACCAATTAAATACATCAATGAAATTAAATCTCTACCTCCAAACAAAATCTCGTTTCTCGAGGAATTTAGAGACAGATACTATGGGCATTACACAGCATTTGCAAACAACGTAGAAGGAGATGCAGTCACAGCTAGTGTTAAGGTTGACCTCACGCAGAGCATTGCGCGGGCACTGGAAAATATGCAAGTTGAGACTGAGCTTGCTTTCGCAACGGAAATGCCGAGAAATGAGGACTGGACGACAGTCGCACTCTATCCCATTATCTTACGCATGGTGGCAAAAGTCAGCGGGCGGGTGATGGTAGGCGAACCCCTGTGCAGGAATGAAAAATGGATTCAAATATCAACCACATATACACGCGATACCTTCATGGGAGGACGAGCAATGTGGACAAAAAATCCATTATTTAGACCAATATATGCTCTGTACTCCCCAGAATTGAAAAAAGTCCGACAGCATTACACAGATGCGGCAGACTTTCTGCGCCCTATTTTCAATCAGCGATTTAAGGAAATGGAGCAGGACGGCTTCAAAAGACCTCAAGACATGATTCAATGGATGATCGACAACTCGGGAGATAATGCTAAAGATGCAACTTTCCAAGGTCGGTGCCAACTCGTAAGTCACAAGTAACCAACCATGAAAGAGACTAAATGCTGACCTTACCTCAGTTGATAGGTCAGTCATTTTTCAACTCCCATCACTTAGTGATATAAAACTCATCCTTAAAAACAGCATTCGCAGCTCTGCATACAACATCAGGACTGGTAAGTATAAACTATCGTAAATCCGTGTGAAGGCGTTGAGTTCAAGCTAAATTCTCCAATAGCTAGGTAACGTGATTCTCGATCTTGCTGCGCGGCCTCACTATATCAAGGCTCTTCGGGAGGAGCTAGACGCCAATCTTCCCGAAGGTGCACAAATCACAAAGCAAATACTCACCAAGCTACAAAAGATGGATTCCTTCTTGAAGGAAAGTCAAAGAGTGAATCCACTAAATCTCGGTATGAATCTTGGCCTCGAAATTTCCTCTTCATGCACCTACTGATAGCTGATTGACACCAGTCACCATGAATAGGAAGATGATGGATACAGTACAACTCTCTGACGGAACAATCTTGCCGAAAGGATCTTTTGTTGGTATGGCTGCGGGTTCTATCGCGTTTGATGGTAGAATTTTTGAGAATCCAGAAGAGTTTGATGGTTTTCGGTTCGAGAAGCTCAGACAGCAAGAAGGCGCCGAAAACAAATACCAGTTGGTCACGACTGGGAAGGACAGTTTAGCCTTTGGACATGGTATGCCTGCCCTCTTTCTTTAACAGTCTCGGCCAGCTTTCTGGGATAACCGGTCTTCCGATAATACAAATACTGACGCATTTATTCAACAGGAACACATGCATGCCCTGGCCGTTTCTTCGCCAGCAATGAGATTAAGACAATGCTAATTGAATTTCTCCGGAAGTACGATTTTCAGTTGCTCCCCGGTGCAGAAAGGCCGAAGAATCTGAAGAGTGATATGAGTCTGGTCGTTGACCCTACTGCAAAGATACAGGTCAGACGGAGAGCAATGTGAATAGCATGCAAGGCAGTCAATTTAGAATTACATTTAATTTGAATTAAAATGATCCTCTTCACCCGTCTATGAAGTAAACAAATTTATTGTGTTCTACGTTTCTGTAACCTCTGACAAAGTACTAAATGGTAGCGTGATCTTAAACGATAGTAGAAAACACTCCCGTAATATGACAAAATCCTTGGCCACTATAGCTCGGTCGAATAGATGTCAGCGGACCTAAGACAACATACGGTGGGTTCGTGACGGGGGATTGTCCAATAGTAGAACTTTTAAGAAAATACGGCGTGAATTCAAAATATCCTAAGCCTCAATGACATTAAACACCAATTTACTTCCAGATACCTTTCCCTTCCTCAAAAGATCTATCGCGCCAACGATACCATTCAAGCCGCCTGATTTCAACGTCGTAGGATGTGCCTTCAACTTCCCCTTCTCAATAAATTTCTCAGCAATCTTTACAAACTTTTCCGCCAGCTTCCGATCCTCAGGTTTTGCATCCCGTGCAAATTCTCCGTCTAATTCAATTGGTATACCAAATATCGTGAGTGCATAACAAAAGAAGGGTTTAACATCAGCACGTGATCGCTGGACTCTCGCGTTAAACGGATCCAATGATACATATTTTCCACCGGCAGCACCTATCGCCTCGTAGCAAAGACGCATTGAAGATGCTGTAGTAATACAATCAAGCGTGTATTCCAACCTGTTGTGTGTGTACTGTTTAATCATAGCTCCACACCCCTGTGAATGGTAATCAAAGCACTTCGAGGCGCCTCTCGATTGCACGAGCCCGAAATTATGGGGTGAACACACAGCAATCGGCTCATAGCCAGATAGGTGCAATAATTGGATGGCTAAAGTACCGGTGGAAGTCGAAGCCCCATAGACAAGTACCGGAATGCGTGGTGTATCGTTATCGTCATCCGCAAGCGCGTCTCCACCGCTCCACCCTCGGGGTCCGACGCGAGTTTTCTGAGTACCTGCACTGACCTCTCCATCAGGATTTGGCCATGTCAAAGACAAGCACTCGTGACCGTATAACGCCAAGCCTGTTGTGACTATTCCCACCCCGTAACTTGCGGCTGTTTGAAAGTCCATATTTTCGGGGATTTTGATTAAGAGGTTTCCATCCGTAATGACGTACTCCGCAAATGCTCCTCCGTGAATACTGGTGACACCTAGAACTCGATCCCCAACAGCTAGGCCCGTATCCACAGACTCGTCGATTGCTTCCACAATACCAGCCATATCGTATCCGCTGACAGCTCCAGGCTTGGCTGAGAAGTCGACCATTTTCCAGTCACTATGATTGAGAGCAACGGCGTGCACTTTCACCAGGACATTCCCTGATCCTGGGTCTATTGATGGCTTTGGTATATTCTCAGCCAACTGAAGTATTCCAGGCCCACTTTGAATTATTGCCTGCATGTCTAGAATGTGAGATGGGGGAAATTGGTGAATTTTTGCTAAGGTAAAGGAAGTAAAATGTTGACGGCGTCAATATACTTGGTATTTCTCTTGCAATACCAAAAATCGGTGCAGCATCAGCTTTTTGACCCTGCTTCTACTACGAGTCGGCAGTGATCTAATGGGAGCCGCATAATGGCACTATCGGAACCCGTGAGTGGAGTAGTTAAACTCTAAACACATGACGATGTTTCCTCGGACCCTCGTGCTATGCATTGTACAGAGCTTCGTTGATAGAGCGTATTATCGGAAGCAAAACGCGCCAGTTTTACGGCATCGCGTCTTCCATCTGCAATCATATTAAGTAAGACCTTAAATCCACAGCAAATATTATCATCCATTCATACTCAGATATCTTTCCTTCTCCTTTAGCGGCATTTCCAATCATTGAATCATGACATCACCAAACGAACCTATAGCCGTTATTGGCACGGGCTGTCGCCTCCCAGGAGGTGCCTCCTCACCCTCTAAACTATGGAACCTTCTCCATCACCCATACGATCTCACCCAAAAGGTTCCATCCTCACGATTTAATATCAAAGCATTCTATCACCCAAATGGTGAACATCATGGAACCACTAACGCAACCAAATCCTATTTCCTTAATGAAGACCCCACCACATTTGATGCTTCATTCTTCAGTATTAATCCACGAGAAGCAGAGGCACTTGATCCACAACAACGGTTGCTTCTGGAGACTGTGTATGAGGCTGTTGAAGCTGCTGGCTTATCAATCGAAGAACTGCAAGGCAGTTCTACCGCAGTGTATGTTGGGCTTATGTGCGCAGATTATTTTGATGTTTTGATGCGAGATATTGAAGATATTCCACAATATTTAGCAACAGGAACAGCACGCAGTATAATGTCAAATAGGATTTCCTATTTTTTTGATTGGAAAGGGCCTTCGATGACAATCGACACTGCCTGCTCGTCAAGTTTAGTTGCAGTACACAATGCAATTGCAACGCTTAGAAGTGGACAAAGTCGTACTGCCGTAGCCGCAGGCGCAAATCTAATTTTTGGCCCAGAAATGTATATTGGAGAGTCGAACCTTCATATGCTTTCACCAACAGGAAAATCTCAGATGTGGGATTCGAAAGCTGATGGGTACGCACGTGGAGAGGGAACTGCGGCAATAATTCTGAAGACTTTGAAGAATGCTTTGGAGGATGGTGACGAAATTGAGTATATAATTCGTGAGGTGTATAATTTCGTATCCATTTTTCCATTTCTAACTGGCTAATCCGTCGTTTAGACTGGTGTAAACTCCGATGGTAGGTCGAAAGGTATCACCATGCCACTTGCTGCAAGTCAAGCAGATTTGATTCGCCAAACGTATGCTCGAGCTGGACTCGATTGTACCAAGCCATCGGAACGGTGTCAGTATTTTGTAAGTGCCATATTCGAAAAACAGTTCGATCACCTTGCTGATAATACCCACAGGAAGCTCACGGTACTGGAACGCCGGCAGGTGACCCAGTTGAAGCCGAGGCTATTAGCAGTGCTTTTTTTCCACAAAAATCGAAAGATTCCGATGGAGAAGTACTTCATGTTGGCTCTATCAAAACGGTAGTTGGCCACTTGGAAGGTGCTGCAGGACTGGCAGGTATCATAAAAGCTGGATTGGCAATCAAGGAGAAAACCATACCACCTAACCTGCATTTCCAGAGCCTAAACCCAGCTATCGAGCCTTTTTACGGTAGTTTAAAAGTTCCCACCGCTCCATTGCCGTGGCCCGTTGTTGAGGGTCCCCTTCGCGCCAGCGTTAATTCATTTGGTTTTGGTGGTACCAATGCACATGCTATTCTGGAAAGTTACGAACCGTCTTCACCTTCACCAGGCTTGGAATCCTCAGCAGTAATTCCTTTCACCATATCTGCTATTTCCGAAGATTCCTTAATTCAGAACATTACAAACTTCAGCGATTACATCGGAGATCATGAAGAAGTCGATCTAATAGACCTAGGATATTCCTTACTAGGTCGAAGTAGCTTCCCCACCAAAGCTACATTCGTAGCTTCAAACACCGATGACTTGTTAGATCAACTGGAGAAAGTAATAGTCGCCAAAGAGGAAAATCCCAACCTAGCTGTAGGTATTCGGTCCTCGAACGTAAATAGCAAATCATCGAGGAAGATCCTTGGTGTTTTCACGGGTCAAGGTGCACAGTGGCCTGAAATGGGAAAGCAATTAATCGCCAACATAACATCATTCTCTCAGACCATTGATGTCCTCGAGGAATCTCTTTGTGGACTCCCTGATGCTCCAAAATGGTCGTTGAAAGAGGAAATCATGGCACCAGCCAGCAAATCTTCTATCGAGAAGGCAGAGTTCTCACAACCTCTTTGCACAGCACTGCAAGTTGCTCTTGTGGATTTGTTAAAGCTGATTGGTGTCACATTCCATGCCGTGGTTGGACATTCATCGGGAGAAATCGGTGCTGCGTATGCAGCAGGCAGACTTACAGCTAGTGACGCAATTCGTATCGCTTACTATCGTGGCCGTCATGCACATCTCGCAAAGGGCAAGAATGGAGAGGAGGGCTCGATGATGGCGGCAGGACTGAGTTTTGATGAGGCTCTTGAGTTCTGCGCAGGTGAAGATTATCAAGGCAAGATTTCCATTGCTGCTAGCAATGCTCCCAAGACAGTCACTCTTAGTGGTAACAAAGATGTGATTGAGAAGGCGAAAATCGTGCTTGATGACAGGGGAGTCTTTGCTCGCGTCCTTAAGGTCGATACTGCGTATCATTCCGATCACATGCTACCATGCTCAGAACCGTATACGGCGTCTTTGAGGGCCTGTAAAATATCCCCTAAGCCCAGCTCACCAGATTGCACGTGGATTTCGAGTGTACATTTGAAGGACATGCTCAATGACTCTTCTGAGCTCGAGGCACAATACTGGCTAGACAACCTCGTCTCACCTGTCAGATTCTTTGAAGCTGTCAGCATAGCAGCAAAAGATTTTGGCCCGTTCGATGCTGGATTTGAAGTAGGACCACATCCAGCACTGAAAGGACCAGTGGCACAAACACTCAAACATGCTGTCAATGCGGTTGTGCCATATGCTGGGGCAATATCTCGCGGAGAAAATGATTCCATCGCATTTGCCAACGCAGTAGGATTCTTATGGAACCACATCGATGGGAGAAAAGCAAGTTTCAAGAAATACCTTGATGTTATCAGCGGCGGCGAGGTGACAAGTCCCAGACTTTTGAAGGGCTTACCATCCTATTCATGGGACCACAGCCGCACCTTCTGGTCAGAGTCACGAATTTCCCGCAACTACCGCAATAGAGTTGAGCCACCTCACGAACTGTTAGGTGTTAGATGCCCCGACGATACGAGTGCGGAGTATCGCTGGCGAAACATATTAAAACTCGATGAGCTGCCGTGGGTGTCGGGTCACAAATTCCAGCGTCAAACTTTAGTGCCTGCCGCATTTTACTGCTCCATGGCACTGGAGTCTTCAAAGACGCTTGCCGAAGGAAAGCCAATCCGCCTGGTCGAGCTTCATGAAGTTGATATTGAAAAGGCCATCAATCTTGAGGATAACAACGCCGCGGTCGAAGTTATGTTCTCACTCAAGCCCACGTCTTCAAGTACCAGTGGTGGCGATGAGAAGATTTTCGCAGATTTCTGGTGTACCGCTGCACCATATGGAAAGCCAATGTCCATGATCTTCTCTGGACGCATTGAAATGACGCTCGGAACACCATCTCCCGATGCGATGTCTATCCGCTCAAGTGTTAGGCCAGTGCTCGGCCCATTGAATGTCGATCGATTCTATGATAGTCTAGCTAATGTTGGTCTTGAATTTACGGGAATTTTCCGAGGCATTGAGAAGGGTCAACGCAGGATGCACATTTCCACACTTGAAGGTAGAAGATGCCTATCTGATACTGGATTATTGGTACATCCGGCGTTTTTGGATATGACTTTGCATGCGACATTGGCAGCATTTGCAAGTCCTGGTGATGAGCGCTTTTGGACACCACATTTGCCAAGACGAATTGCTAAGATGAGCTTCAACATTGCCCTTTGCGAAGCAGCGTTTCAGAAAGAGACATCCTTAGCCGGAATGGACGGATATATCACCGAAGTCACACCAACCACTGCAAATGACGCGGCTACTTATGTTGGTGATGTTGATGTGTTTGATCCAGCGTCCAACGAAATTGAGATTCAAATCGAAGGATTGCAGATGCAATCATTCACAGCCGCAAGGGCCTCTCAAGATCGTCAATTATATCTGGAAACGAAATGGGTAGCCGATGTCTCAGGAGGCATCATTGACGAAGCTGATATCGAAGAGGATGACCCAAAAGCACTTTACTTGATAGATCTAGGCGAAAGGCTCTCTTATGCCTATATGCGTCATCTAAAATCCGAGATCAAGCCCGAAGAAGTTCCAGACCACCACCGTCCTTTGTTCAACTGGATCAACCACGTCACAGATCTTGTTTCGAAAGGAACACACCCTTCCATAAAGCCAGAGTGGGACAACGATGACCTTCAAGAACTGATTAGCTTGGCTGCCAAGTATCCAGGATGTGTTGATCTCGAATTGATGCAAGCTGTCGGTAATAATCTCCCTGATGTTGTACGCGGAACAACGACAATGCTGGAACATATGTTGCCAAACGGACTCCTGGATAGACTATACACTGAAGGTATCGGAATGGCCACTTCAAACAAATTCGTCACAGCAGCGATGAAAAAGATCGGGCATCGCTACCCTAGAATGCGTGTCTTGGAAATTGGAGCAGGAACTGGAGGTGCCACCAAAGGTATATTTACAGGAATTGGAGATGCATTTGCTCATTATACATTCACGGATATTTCAACTGGCTTTTTCATGAAGGCTAGAGAAGTTTTCAGCGAGCATGCAAGCCGCATGACGTTTAGTCTACTCAACTGCGAGAAAGATCCTTTGGAGCAGGGGTACGAAGCCCATTGTTTCGATGTTATCGTTGCATCAAATGTTCTTCATGCGACCGAATTCCTTGAGAAGACCATGAAGAATGTGCGAAAACTGCTGAAACCTGGTGGTTACCTTTGTCTTTTAGAATGTACTGGTCATCTCGAACGTACCGGATTCCTCATGGCTGGTTTATCTGGTTGGTGGCTCGGAGGTGCGGATGGACGACCATACCGTCCTACTATTTCTCCACCAGAATGGGATACAGTCTTGAAAAAGACTGGATTTTCTGGTGTTGACGCAATTGTTAATGATTTCAAGGATAAATCGCGTTACACGGTCTCGGTCATTCTTACTCAAGCCCTCGACGATGATGTCCAAAAGCTCCGAGAACCGCTCAAATATATTCCAGAATCTACAGCGAAAGATCTCATTGTTATCGGAGGAGCCACAGCCGCCACCAAGAAACTTGTTGCGACTTTAGAAAAAGAAGTGCCTTCCTGGAAAACCCGCAAGACTACGGTTCTTGCCACCTGGGAAGAAGCATCAAAGCTCACCATTCCATTTGGAGCCACAGTTTTGAGTATTGCAGATCTTGACGAACCAGTCTTCAAATCGATGAATGCAGAGCGTCTAAAGGGTATCCAAACCGTGATCAATTCGGCCGAATCAGTTCTTTGGGTGACCGCAGGATGTAAAGCTGAGGAGCCATACGCTAACATGGCGGTTGGATTAGGACGATCTATCATTTCTGAAATGCCTCATTTGAATTTGCAATTCTTGGATGTTGACTCGAAGGAAAATGCGGACAAAATAATCGGAGAAACACTTGTTAGACTTGAGGTTGCGACCAGCCTGTTAGACTCACGGAAAGAAAACCTGTTGTGGTCGATTGAGCCAGAGATGATATATGAAAGTGGGGCCTTGTACCTCCCAAGAGTGAAGCCGATTAAGAAACTCAATGACGTGTTGAACTCTACACGCCGCGTGATCACTGAAGAAGTTCCTCTAGCGTCAAAGAGAGTAGCAATCACAGCTCCTTCTAGTGGCAATCGCTTCAGCCTTGACGTCCAAGAGGCAATCGAGGATCATCTGAAAAGCGAAAATGAGTTGTTGGAAGTATCTGTGTTCTTCTCGTCTCTGTATGCAGCAAATATCGATGGTAGCTTCTTCTACATTAGCCTAGGAAAGACGAAGTCCGGATCGCCCGTCCTCGCCCTCTCCACATCGAACCAGTCACTCATCAATGTTTTCAAAGACGCTGTCATCCCAGCAGACCGAGTTACTGCCGAGTACCTCGAAAATGCCATGGCCTACCTTATAGCAAAACGAATTTTGAACAAGTTTGACTCAGAAGTTGTGCTTCATGATCCAAGCTCTGCCTTGAGGGAAGCGGCGGAATCAATAGCAAGAGCAAATGGCAAGTCCATCTCAAGTAGTACAAGCACTGGAGTTTCTACCGCATCGACTCAGAAGTGCGTAAAACTTCATCCGACCTTATCTAAACGTGCGATCCGAGACTCGTTACCGGCCTCGATTCAGTCATTTGTCGATATCAGTGGCACTGGTAAATACATCAGAGAAGCACTGCCAAAATCCATCAGCATAGTTGAAAATGACGATCTCTTAAGTCTCGAGCCAATAAACTCTCCATCTTTTGGCACGCCATCAACAATCTTGGCTGATGTTAAATCCTATGCAGATTCCATCACCGCGAAGGAAATCGAAGGAGATATTTTGCTGGATGCCGCGAGCCTGAGGAATAGTGCGGTTTCTTCGTTCTCTCCACTTTCACTAGTAGACTGGTCCACAAATAAAACTCTAACGGTCGATGTAAAGCCCTTTGCCCAGAAAAAGATATTTGATGGCAACAAGAGCTACTTATTAGCAGGTTTGACTGGAGATTTGGGACAATCGATCTGTAGATGGATGGTTCTAGCTGGGGCTAGATATATCATTGTTGGTAGTCGGTAAGTTTGAATCTCCCGTGACAAACCGCTTGAGAGCATACTGCATTCACAACAAAATACTGATACCAGACAGATCCGTTAAATCAGGTTGTCCTTGGCAGCAAGAGTTGGAGAGAATGGGTGCCACGGTTCTCGTATATACTATTGATTTTACCGACAAAGCAGCAGTCACCAAATTGCGTGAAGAGTCCAGCAAGACGATGCCTCCAATTGCAGGAGTCATGAACGGATGTATGGTCTTAGATGACAAACCATTCTCAGACATGCCTTTCGAAACGCTTGAGCGCGTCATTCGTCCCAAAGTCCTTAGCACTATCAACATTGATGCTGTATTTGGGTTGGAGCTCGACTTCTTCGTCTTGTTCTCCAGTCTGGCTGCCGTGAACGGAATTCCTGGACAATCGAATTATGCCGCCGCAAATATGGTATGTATTCATTCTTGCACTAATTCTACTATGATATTCGGCTAACTTTTTAATAGTATATGGCTTCACTTGCAGAGCAACGTCGTAAGCGTGGGGGTGTTGCTTCAGTCATTCATATTGGCATGATTCTCGGAGTCGGATATGTAGAACGCTCAGGTCGCTATACTGAGTCTGCCCTGCGCACTTACAATTACCTCCCAATTCCCGAACATGAGTTCCTCCAGGTATTGTCCGAAGCTGTGCAATCCGGACATCTTGCCAGCGAGCGTTGCCCTGAAATTATCATTGGTATGGTCGCGCCTTCAACAGGAGAAGAGCGGGATAAGCCTCGATGGCACGCCAACCCACGGTTCGCATTCGTTATGAACGATGCCGTCAAGGAGGAAAGTGACTCTCAAGGTGAAGTTGAGGTGCCGACTAAGGAACAACTTTCGAAAGCGCAAACGAAGGATGAGGTGCTTAGCATCATGCAGAAATGCTTTTCAAAACAATTGGAACTCATTCTGCAGGCAGATCCAGGGTCGATTGATGAGCATGCACCTTTGACTCAATTGGGTATTGATTCCTTGATTGCGGTCGAGATTCGAAGTTGGTTCTTGAAGGAGGTGGGCGTGTCTTTGCCTGTTTTGAAGATATTAGGTGGCGCTGCGGCAAAGGATTTGTGCGAGTTGGCTACTGAGGAGTTCAAGATTAGTGAATAGGTGTTTGAGCCACTACTTGTGTAGCACTTTTGTTCTTTTGTTTGTGGATATAAGGGACAATACAATTCTTGCTGCTTCTAAGAATTTATCTACAATTGTAAAATTGAGTGAAGTAATCTTATACTACCTATTGTGAATGAGTTGAGAAGAACTTACCTGTAAATTGATCAACACTTTAGGGGCGAATTACTATCTACGTTTGATTACATAATCTTTTTTTTTATAAGACGTTATAAATCAAATAGTTCATTTAATAGTTTTTTAATATTATTTTTTTATTAACACAACAATAACAAATCTCTTAATCCGTCAATCATTTAACAATCCAATAAAATAATCAGATCATTGTCCTTATATAATTAGGAATCGATAGTCTATTTTGGACACAGAATTACTCTAATGATAGAACATTTAAGGATGTTTTTGCCTTATTAGGCTTGGGTGTTTAAATGCCTGGTCTTTCATATATTCATTTGGATTCTCCTACCCCGCTGCTCCGCACTTACCCCGCTGTGTAACCTAAATCCGATGCTCGTGACCTCTTCCATTGAAACATTCAGCACAACTCAATAGAACATGATTTAATATCAAACGCATGTAGTACTTTTGCACAATGAAACTATTTTCTAATGTTGTTCTAATCATCAACTCTCAAAGTAGCTCCCTTCTTCTCATCTGCATTTCTCCTTTCATATTCGGCATCACGTTTGTGTCCGTATAAAGATTCGCTGGTCTTCCTTCTCCTGGTTTGAGTCTCACATCCCATTTTAACAGTATCTCAGCAAGCGCAATCTTGATCTCATTACTGGCAAAGAAGCGTCCAGGACACGTGTGTGTTCCTAATTCATTGTTGATCAGCAAGATGAAATGGAACAAACATAAAGATGTGAGCCACTTACCATGCCCGAAGTTTAAACTTTCTGTGCTGGACGTAACGAATTGATATCGGTTTTCATTTCCTGGCACTGATCGTAACTTGCTAAAGCGGAATCCATCAAAGGTATCAAATGGTTCTTGTTGGTGCGTTATTGGAGATGCCTCATAGTATGGAACAGTGCGATTTGCCATTTGGGCATCAACACCACAGTAGGTTCCTGCTGGGAGGATGTGACCTGACGGTAGAGGCAATGGGGAGGTGAGGTATCGACGCATCTGTACTGTTATCCGGAACATCACAATTCAGTCTCAACATCCATTCTCCTGGGATACAGTCGTTACTTACCAAGAATTGGTGGATTCAATCTCTGCGACTCCTTTATGAAACTATCCATTTTCCACAACTTGGTCAATTCCACCTTGCTCAATTTTCCATTTCCCCCAGCTACTTTATGTTCTGCAATGACCGACTCAAGCTCTTCGCGAAGGGGGGCTACATGTTCAGGATAGGTTGCCAGGTCATACAAGAGATGGGATATTGTAATACTTGTTGTGTGGATAGCAGCTAAGCTCACCGTTAACTGATCATGGGCTAATTGCTTCACATCGATCTTTCCAGATTTTTGGGGGGTATGTGACAATAGCCACCTGATAAGCTGCCCGTCGTTTTGCTCTCCTGTCTTTTTTTCCCACTCCGAGGGATCGACCGTGGCTTCGCGTTCAAGAAGTGGCTTCAACATTTCTTCGGCCTTCTTTTGCACACCATGCAAAGTTCGAAAGTACAAGGGCGCAAGAATTCTCCGTTGCCACCAAGGGCGCTTCCAGAGCATCCCAACAGTTGCTCCCAGGATGACTGTGTATGTAATAGTCGCCTTGATCCACTCTTCATCTCGACACAATGGGGCACCGACGAATACCCTTCCGGACAACAATGCAACTACATGCAACACCTTGCCATAAACCGACACGGTCTTCCATCCTTCATCATCTTCTGGCAAAATTCCAACATTTTTCTCAAATGCGAATTCTACCTCGTCCCACAACGTGTCAAGGGTTTTCGAAATGTTCCGAGTAAGATCCTGCTTGATTGAATCGAGAATCGGTTCGGAGAAAATTTTCTGGTCCTTTTTGAGCAAGAGATGAGCCAGATGTCGAGTGTATACTTCCTTTTCGAAAGATATTTTCCCCTCTGGTAGAGACTTTATCGTATTAATGACCGAATTGGGCAGAATTACGATAGGAACGCGATCGACTGGAAGAACATATGGTGAGTTTGGATACTATGATCCGTCAGTTAAAGCAACATGCACTCAGAGATTTCAACAGCTTACAGTTGTGGTACCAATTTCCAAGGCCTCACTGACATTAACATTTGGTCTCTTTCCCACAATCGGTAAATCCAGATCTTTCAACGTTTGAAGTAGTAATTCCTCATCGGGCCTTCGAGTCCATGCAATGAAGATCGCGACTAGAGTGAAAAACACGGCGATTAAAGCAATGTTTTTCCACCTCAGCTCTAGATAACCTCGAAGAATGGATTGTTCCAGGTTCTCACTCATATTTACGGACTCGACTTAGAAACGAGGAACTCTCTGTGATGGAGAGTTGAACTTCAGCGATACATATTGATGGATGCTGTACCACTACACTTTTGTTCGGTTCCCTTCGGCGTGCATAGTAGATCTCCGAAGCAAGTGGGGATACGATTCACAGAACTATTCCAGGGCTGCTGGGATGCCCAACGACGAAGACCTCCGAGCCTGACTAGGCATTAGAAATCAAAGCTCTTCGAACTCTGATTCGATGACCCACAATTAGTCTATGGACAAGTTGGCATCGAAGACCATGAACTTTCAATCAGAATGATGAGGACAATACGTTACTACTTTGAGTCCTATATTCATTTTTTATTTATCATCCTGTTACGATCAAGCAGGTACACAGTCATTCAAGCAAAGCTAAAGCTATCGCCGACACAAATATCCCCATTCATCATCGTGCCAATCATACAATATCAAATTTACTCAGAGCCTATATGCTTTTTCGCCATCAACTCCTCTCTCCATGCCCACATCACTAGCAAAGCCGCTCCAGGTCCCGCAAAGAGAGTAGAAAATAGCAATACAGCCAGAATCAACGGCCAGCTTTTGCTCAATTTCCCCACAAATTTTAGATCAGCGAAATGAAGTAACGTCCAATAAAATGCAGTACCATAAAGAAAGGTCTTCTCCGCCTTCCATACTCCTGGATTTGCGTTTAAACCAGCTTGTACTAGCTTAATTGGGGATTGAAGTCCTTGAATGAGTGAAGCTGCTGTTGATTTAAAGCTGCTCAGGCCTGTATATGAATAAAAGCAGCCACAGATAAGTATGCATATGCTGTATATCACCCGTAAATATGTCAGATCTGCTGTCGGCTTGTGTACCCTGTCGAAGCGAGTTGTGTCTTTCACGACAAATTTCAAGACTCTCAAAAGGATAGTGAGGTAGATAGGATACCAGTACCAGACGTTGTTATGGATCCATTGCACAACCTTAACATCAATTGCGGTCCACGTCGCGTAAGATGAACCCAAGAATATTAGCAGTATGGCCGGAAGAAAAGTTTTTGCGAAAGCCAAATTGGTCAATCGGTTGTCGAGAGCAAGGAAGTTTTCCTGTGGTGATTGGACATAGTGAAAAAAGAAATAAATTGGGGCAATGAGTCCAATCCCGAACTTTTGAGCCAGTAAAAGGAGTATCGTGGGGCTATTTGCATTTCATTTTAGCGACGTCAAACAATGGTAGGCAATGAAGGGAACTCTTACAAGATATTTGCGATGGTGAGAGCGTTTCCGCGACGGTAACTTTCAACTGTCCAAATTGTTACCAATGGCATAACATCAAAAATAGATTCCAACATCCCAGACTTTACATCTGATAAAGATTCTCCGGCTGGCACCGTTGTTGGCCTTGGTATTCTATTCCAGAAGTACCAGAGACCAATCAAGAACGGCAACGCTAGTTGAGCTCTCCTTTTTTTGTTTTCTTCCTTCCCAATACCAGAATTCATACTCCAAGGCATGGTCCCTTCCAATGCTCTTTTTGGTATCGGGAGACAGTCCAATCTTGTAGCTCCCACCTGAACCTTTGCTCCTCGATCGGCAAGAATATCACCCAGGCGAGGAAGTATGAACATAGACGCGACCCAATCACCGGTCGTAGCAAGAGCTTCTACACGGGTGAATTTGTTCGCTGCTTTCACGATCAAATTTGCCCTCGTATTGCGCTTCTGATGATACAGCGATAAAGCGCTTCTGATTTCCTCAATGGTAGGTTTGGTGCCGTCCTCTCTTAAGACTTTCGCTAGACTGTTTGCCATTTCTGCTGCACTTTCAATAGCACAATTTGCTCCTTGACCAAGATTCGGTGTCATCTAATGGGTTATTGTTAGCACAGGGAAAATTGTCCCATCTCAGAAGTTGGTACAAACCTTGTGTATAGAATCTCCAAGACAAGCCACACGGTTCCAAAACCAATGTTCATTCTCCATTTCCTCGATCGCTACAAAATTTGCAACAATGCGGTGTTTCCACACTTCGGAAAAGAGAATGTTTCCAGATACGTGATGGTGCATGTGTTTTGCAACATGGTTAGTTTCATCCCCTTTCTTATACCGTGGAATGTCTTCGCCAAAATCCCTTTGTTCATTTTGAGTGAAGAGAAACCAATACAATCGACCATCAACACCACCAAACAACAAAGTTGAAGCACGCTTTCCTGAGCTGCGATGCGTGTGTCCAATTTTCAATCCTGGAATTGGGTTAGAAATACCGAACAAACAACTGTATTCCGCCGAAAGAGCAATATCATCCCTTTTCAAGGCTTCGAGATCTTTTTCTGATCCTTCATTTGCAATTTGTCGTCGCATTTCTGATCTTACGATACTATGGATTCCATCTGCACCCGCGATCACATCCCCGGAATATTTTGACCCATCTTCACAAATTACTACCGCCTCTTTGTCATTCTGCTCGATCGATCTAACGAACTTCCCCGTCAAAACCTTCGATTTATCAGGAAGATTTGCATATAAAATCTCTAGCAGCTTCTCTCGCTCCAAGAAAGTAATCGTGTATCCCAATCTATTGTTAGATTAGCTTCCTAATTCTTATTGATTCCCTTCAATTTCCCCTTTAAATCAGGAGAACAAAGACCACATACCTCTTCCCCGTCAAAATTGGCGAATCAGTCTCCGAGAGCAATCTCCCATCCTCATCCCACGTCTGCATAAAAACACACGGTTCGATATTTTCCGAAACCGTGTCAAACATGCCCAACTGATCCAAAATTCGCGATCCATTTGGCATCAAACTCACAGATGCACCCACTTGTGGCGCAATATCACTGCGTCGCTCGAGGACAACATAGTCGATGCCATAGCGTGCTAAACAGTGTGCGAGTGTCAGCCCTGCAATTGATCCGCCTACTATCACGACTTTCATCTGGGGTTTGCCAGCCATGATTAAAGATGAATAAGTATATTTAGACCAATTTTGTGCTTGGTTTTGATAATTTTCTTCTTGGACATATATGCTATGGTCTACAGATTTATTGGTTACATACTTGCATGATGACTACTATTCGCTTCTATCGCTCTTCTACCAATATTTTCTACCTCAACCTTAAACCTCACGATCTCCGTCATGAACGGAACGCAACTTCAAATCGAATGTTGCGATGTTCAGATACTCCGGCTTTGCTTGCTCTGCGCATGCAGTCTCTATTTCTGAAATGTGGGTCATTACCCATGGTGGAATGAGTATGGAGCCCGAAGATTAACCGTCGTGTTTCGAATCGGACACCGAAAAATAAAGTCGAGGAGCGGTCACCGACTCGGCGAGGTCAGCGGATACCAGATCTTTGGCATTCTCCGGAATAGTAGAACTTGGTGGGACTGGAGATTGGCATCGCGGACTACATGTTTTTATGGTGCTCGGTACATGGTAGCTGGATAGTTGATACCGTTGTCGACACGTGATCTAACAAGTACCAGTATAGAGTTATGTTTTTGAATTGTTCGCTATAGCATATGGCTAAATGTCGTTTAGTGATAGCTTAGTGGAAATTTATAGGGTTCCTTGCTGAGTTTTCCCCTTATTTGATATTTCTTACAGTGCACTTAGTTCATATCATCATAAAAAACCAATCTAGATGATACCTAGAAGCAGCCCCTTCAGTCTGAAGTAGCTTATTAGTAGTGGTAAAAGTTTTCATACATATTATATTACAATTTTAATATGAGGAGGCATGATCTACTACATACAGAGTGGTGACGCTTTTGAAAGAATCACGCGATCAGATGCATCCTCCCCTTTCCTTTTCGCTTAAACCAGTATGATTGGTATAAGGACATTAGAAAGATGACGACGGTATCTTCATTCTCTGTCTCCTACAGTGATTATAAAAGAAGAGGACTTAGATTTTTAAATTTCTTTCTATATCAAGATACTTTATTAGTCTCAATATATTTTAAATAAAACTAATAAATCTATTTATCTTAGAATTTTATTTTACTTTTTAAATCCTACCAAAGTAATCCCTTTAGAGAACTAGAAAACTATCATCCCAAATATTTATTCAAGAACTTAAGAATAGCAATCAAATTACAAAAATAGAATAAATATATCAAAAAAGACAAACAAGTCTACATATATAACTAAATAAAAGATGTTTCATGCTGCTTTCCTTACATCATAAATCCTCTGAGCCAACGAGTCGGCTGTCAAATCTAAGCTCATAAACTCCGAAGACGCAATATCCGCCCCCAAAGTCTTATAACACCACGTACGAAGACTCGTTCCTATCATACTGTCCATGCCAAATTTCACCAAGGCCGTGTCGGGGTCGATGTCTTCCACAGCTAGATTAAACGTCTGGGAGAATTTCTCCACCACCAGCTCCAAGATATCTGGTAAGAGAAGTCTGCGTTTACCTTTACCGGGACCGCTTTCATCTCCAGATTTCTTGGCTAGAATGGCGTTGAGGACAGGTCCGATACGTGGTTGGCGCCAGAATGGCATGCCGTCGATATCAAGATTAGCACTTAGTTGAAGGGGTTCAACACCCGTGACGATGAGATTGTTGGCTAGTGGATCAAAGTTCCAAGATGAGGGTGGCGCTTTCATCATAGCTGTCTCAATGAGATCAATAACACCAGCTTCGTTGATGGTATGGACTCCAGTCCTTGCTAGACCATCCTCAATTCTTTCATTTTGACTCACGAACCCAACTTCAGTGACGACAGTGAGTGAGATTGTTGTTGCTGGTAGACCCTTGCTTTGACGGTATCTTGCAAAGAATTCGAGAAAAGAGTTACCCGCGCAATAATTACTCTGGGTTGGGAAACCAGATAAAGCAGACGATGAACCGAGCATGACGAAGAAATCCAGGGAGTGGCCGGCAACGGCATTGTGAAGATTCCAAGTTCCCGTGACTTTGGGACGAACGGCGTATTCCCAGCTTTCTAGATCGTGTTTGGTGAATAGCCGATCCTATTATTTGATTAGTATCATTTCTAATGGATTTTTGATTTCAATCAACTCACATCGAGAGCCATTACACCTTGTATAACACCCAAAATTGGACCAGCCGAGAAACCAACCGCCTTTTCGACGTCGGAGATGTTTGTGACATCCCCTTTTACAACATCCACTACAACTCCATTATCCCTGAAATATTTGATCATAGATGCGGCTTCGGGACGGTCCTCGCCAGATCGCCCAAGGAAAATCAAGTGGCGAGCACCCTTTTCAACCATGTGACGGGCTAAGCATCGACCAAGTCCTCCAAGACACCCAACAAGTAGATATGTTCCGTTTGATTTGAAGGTCATTGACTTCCTTTTCGCGGCAAACTGTGAGGCATTTAGTTAGCATCACTATTATACATGAATTTCAAAAGACCCTACATTTATTTTCTCAGTGTCGAAACTAACGACGACTCTTCCAATTCTATTCCTCATGCCAAATTCTTCGAAAGCCTGGCTAACTTCAGAAGCAGGGAATACAGATATGTTTGGGAGAAGTTGAATCTTGCTGCCCCGATAGTATTGAATGACCTCACTCAGAAGTCTGTAGATGTCAGCGGTAATATAAGGTGATTTGCTTGAGTAAACTTACTGGGACGCAAGATCGGGCTTTTGTTCGAATACAAGAACCAAATCCATAGCAATAAAAGAAGCGCCTCTCTTGAACGGACCCATATCCAGCATTCCTTGGTCTAGAATATCGGTTTGTCCGACCTCAATATGACGACCATGATGTCCTATAGAGTTCCATGTGGCTCTCAGCTGCTCATGAACAAGTGAGTTCAGGGAAACATCAACTCCACGGCCATTAGTAATTCGCATGATATCAGATGTGAAACTTGCATCTTTGGATGATAAGATATGATCATCGTGAAGGCCATATTCTTGCATTAAAAATGCCTTCTTTTCCGGTGTTCCGACAGTAGCAAATATCTCTGCACCAATCATTTTTGCAATCTGGATTGCTGCAAGTCCCACACCTCCAGTGGCAGAGTGAATTAGTACAGACTCACCAGGCTGAAGCTTGGCAAGATGGATTAGGCCGTAGACAGCAGTCACAAATGGAATCATGATACTTGACATCTGTTCAAAGGTCTCTTTGGGCTGAAGTTTTTGGACAAACCTGGAGTCAAATCTTTCGATGTTACGGAACTTTCCAAGACCTGCCCAGCTGACTCGGTCACCAACTGCTACGTTTGTGACCGCAGGACCGATTTTTCTGATGACGCCAGCGCCCTCGAGACCAAGGAATTCCGAGTTGTAAGAACCTAGAAGCGTTGCGTAATCCTGTAAAAGTTTAGCTTGATGAATCCAAAAAGATCGCGTCGTCAGTTACCTTCATGTTCAATCCGACTGCTTTTACATCTATCTCGACTTCTCCAGAATTGAGCGGCGCTTCCCACTCATCCTCCTCAAAATGTATTGTGTCAAAGATACCAACACGTTCGATGCCCAAGCGGACGCATCTTTTTGGGTCATATGTGATCATACTTGGCTCACTTTCAACTCTAGCAACAAACTGTTCATCCAATGACGGGTCTTGAGAAAGTCTGCTGACATAAAAAGTATTGTTCTTGACCATGAACTCTTTGTCTTCATCACCGCCGACAGCTGCGTCCAGGACAGTTGTTATGTTTGAAACGGTCTGTGCAGGATCCCGATGATCCAGGTCAAGAGTCTTGAAAGTCAGAGTCGGATGCTCTGTCTGGAGGCAACGACCCAGTCCGATGACTATCCCAGCATCAGGGTCACCTCCATCCAGCAAGTTACCATGAGTAAGCCATAGCATATTTCGTGCTTCACTTGCAATTGACTGTATTGTTGCTAGCTCTTGGCTAGTCAGAGATTCATGGAACAGACTAGACTCAGACTCTACGATGAAGACGTAGCTTGCCTCCGGATTCGCGTGGAAACTAGAATCTTGCAGAGACTTTGAGGTGACCGACCTCCCGGTCTTTACCAAACCCGAATATACTTGAGAGTCAAATGTTGTTGGAGAGTTCCTTGTTACAAGTACAATATCTTCTGTGGCCGGGTCAAGACTGGCCTTCTGGTGGGGACTCATCAGCAAGGACTTTTGATCTTTTAGAAGAGTAAAGAATCCATCAGATTCAAATTCCGGTTCGATAATATTTTCACTGCTGCGCCCTGGCCTGTAGAGCAGTATTTTCCCATTAGAAGTCAACAGACTTTTGAGTTTGGGCAAATCAACCTCGTCCGTATGAGATTGAGACAGAATGACCAAATCAAACAACTTCTCTGGGACATTTTCAAGGTCTAACTTCTCAACATTAACGCCCGGGAAGGCTTCATACTTGGTTTTGAATGGTTGAATATCAACGTCATTGGGAGTCATAATAGTATAAGTCTTGTATCGACGAAGCGAAGAACCACTTTCAAGGACTTTGTGAAGATTTTCGGAAATTGTTGATTCTGTACTCAAGATCTCGCAGATATCAAATCTAGGACGTTTGTGGACAATGACATCCAGAAGAGAATCATCAGTCAAGTCAGATGTTATCTTCTCGACATCGGGCTTCCATACGGTTCGAAGGTAAGGATGACGATCAATTATTCCCAGGTCATCTAATGCTTCTGAATATTGAGTACACAACAGTTCTTTGATCTCGAATAATGGCTTGCCTTCAGGAGAGAAAAGTTGACACCATCCGCTCAAGGCTCGGACACTAAAGAATTCTGAATGCACAAGGATTTTACCTTTGCCAGGAGCCAACTGAGCGATATTATCATCGTCACCCCACGACCATAAAGATACATCAGCCATTGATGTTGGAACAAATGATCTTTTTAAACCCTTGAGGGAACCCTTGTGTGCTGCAATCAGTGCGGCCTGAATACAGGTGTCCATAGCTGTGGGATGCACGATATATGCAGAATCATGCTCGGAGACACCAGCTGGAAGGAGTTCGGTCTCTGCAACGGCTTCTTTGAGAGCAGGATTGGTACGGATATCACTTAATCCGTTGAAAGCTGGTCCGTAATTAAGAGAAACCTTCTGGAAACCGCGATACCACGTTCGAGCAGCCTTTGGCTCTTGAAGTTTGCTTTCATCAATTCCTGGGGCCATGTCAGTGGCCTCCTTCTTTGTGATAGTTCCGACGCAGTGGTTAGTCCAATTTCCGTTTTGAACGGACGAGATCGTGAACTCTGCAATTGTTTTTGATGTGATCGAAGCACTTATTGTAGCAAATTTCATCGTGGTAACAATCTCAACTTGTGATCCGGAGTTCGGTAAGTTTAATGCAGATGTGATGCTAACGCTGGGTAAGAAATATCGGAACGGGCCTTTGATTCTTAGAGTGTCATGAAAGAATTGCCGCGCAGCCTCAGTGGCAATCGCCAAGTAGCCAGTTCCAGGCAGCACAGGCTGGGGCCCCAACTTATGATCCTCTAACCATGGAAAGTTCTTTGAATCAAGCATATTACGCCATTGTCGTTGTTCGGTAGAAGAACCTGGGAGGAGAGCACCGAGGAGATCGTGGAATTTAAAATTCCGCAAGCGATGCTCTTCATTAGGTCTATTTTTGTCTCTTAAATCTCCCGCAGAGTAGTTCCATGAGTATCTGGGAAGATCAACAATGGGCAAACCAGTTTTGGTAATAATAGCGTCGCCATCACGTTTCTCAATAGCGTTCACACGCTCAATGTTTACTGGATATCCTCTCATGGTAAGAATTCCAGCAAGATCCAGGAGACGAGTCACGGAGCTCTGGCCACGTACAAGAGTGGAAGCGTAGTCCACATCTTTGGGCGTTATGCCTAGGCTGTCTCTGATCTGCCTCAATGGACCGGCTAATGCAGAATGTGGGCCAATTTCGACGAGTTGTGAAATGCCAATATCTGCAGCTAGTGCAGCTTCAACGGCTTCAGTGAAACGTACTGGAGACTCTAAATTTTTGCGCCAATAGCTAGGTCCTGGCTTGAAACTGGATGAAGCTCTCTCGGCGGTGACAGAGGAGAAAAAGACGGGATTTTGGCCTTCAAGCTGGTTGGTGTTTTGGGACGCGCTGAAATTGGAAAGTGCGACTGACAAGCGATTTTGATAGTCATTACCGATATTCAACATGTGATGTGAATGATAAGCTCTTCCGCCAGTCTTCAACTCGCGAACAAAAAGCCTGTCAGTCTCCAGCTTCTCCTTGACTATGGTGGCAGGCTCAATATCTCCACTCAACGTAACACTGTTAGGTGAGTTATAGCACGCAATGCGAAGACCCTCGACAAGATAAGGTTGAATTTCTTCCGGGCCGGCTCCAACAGCCAGCATACTACCTTTCACCTCAAGAGTAGCAACTCCCAATCCCCGGTAGAATGCGGATATAATAGCTTCTTCTGCTGTTATGAGATTTGCGGCATATGCAGATGCAATTTCGCCGGAAGAATGACCGATACAGGCCGATGGTATCACGTTCCAAACGCGAAGAAGCTCAACCAGGGCGATTTGAACAGCTGTGCAGACGGGCTGAGAAATTTCAACATCATTAATTTTACTGGTCGCTGCAGGCTCCATTAAAACGTTCTCAATAGTCCAATCCGGTGAATCCTCCCCTAAACACTGCAGTGCTCGATCAAGTCTCCTGATCGTATCGATATATGATGGGAATGTCAACATGAGTTCTCGACCCATCTGTGCATTCTGCGCGCCTTGCCCGGTGAAAATGAAGGCAATCTTCCCACCCTTTCCCCTTTTTGCAAAAGTAATCTCATGCTCCATAAGATCCTCTTCCACATCTTCTTCTCGTGCCACTGCATATGCACAATTGAAAAATTCGGATCTTCGGCAGCCAAGCGTGTAGGCAAGATCGAGGATATCATAATCTTCTGCTACGTCACGACATCTTTCGATGTTTCTTTTCAACGTAGAAATATCATGGGCAGAGAAAAGCAGCAAAAATTCTGAGCGGGGGACTGCTCGCGTTTGTGAGGAGGGGCTGGTGCCCACCATTTCATCCGACTCTTCATCATCATCCCCGTCGTAACTATTGCGTCGGCCCCGTCGGACATGAGTTAACTTTCCAGGGAGGAAGGAATCGACCGCTTCGAGAATTGCATGGGCATTAGCTCCCCCATAACCAAAAGAATTTACACTTGCACGGCACTTAGAGAATCCTTTCGGCCAGGGTGTCATCTTCTGGACAACCTTTATTCTTCCGTCCTTGAAATCAACTAACAGGTAGTCAGTGCATGATCTTTGCAGATTGAGTGCCGGTTTTACCTTTGGGGTTCAAATTTTTAATACCAATTGTCGCGGGTATCGAGCGTTTTTCAATAGCTAAGCATACTTTTATTATGCTTGCTAATGCACTGGCTGCCTCACTGTGCCCAACATTTGTTTTTACCTAGAGGATGTTAAGTACGACATTGATTCTACAGACGCAACGTAACATACCGATCCGATAAGGAGTTCCTGTCTCTCCGTACCGCTGAAAAATACATTTCCAATAGCCCTCACCTCTATTGGATCGCCAACTTGAGTACCGGTACCGTGGGTCTCAAAATATGATGTATCTTTGGGATCCAAGCCGGCGAATTCATAGACAGTGCGCATTAAAGTTTCATGACCCCTCGCACTTGGTTGGGTGATACCACTAGTCTTTCCATTTGCATTTGTAGCGGTGCCTCTGATTACGCCACGTATAGGATCCTTGTCCCGTATGGCATCAGATAAACGCTTGAGGAAAATGGCACCAACACCTTCACCACGACCATAGCCATCGGCCGATTCGTCGAAAGTATGGCAAGTAGATGTAGCTGATAAAACACCAACTGATGCTGTACTCATCTGAGTTTCTACGGCGAGCATCAAATTTGTACCTCCAACTACTGCTGCGTTGATCTCTTTCGTCTGTAACGCTCTGCAAGCAATATGCAAAGAGTAAAGAGAGGAAGAGCAAGCCGTGTCAATTGTAAGACTGTTTGCCTAACTTCAGTTACGCAGCTCGAATTACTTGAAGGGGAACTTACCTCGGGCCACAAAGATCAAAAAGATAGCTAACTCGGTTGCTGATAATACTGTAACCGGTACCTAACATACTATAAGGTTTGGGGTTGTTGTGATCCCGGTGGCCTTGTATGTGGAAATCGGCAGTGAAATTTCCAATGTAGCATCCTGTATTTGAGCCTGAAAGTTGGCTTAAGGTGATACCACCGGACTCAAATGACTCATAGACACACTCCAACAACTTCCTCTGCTGAGGATCCATGGCCTTTGCCTCCTCTTGTACAATACCAAAAAAAGACGGGTCGAATTTCCAAACATCCTCATTAATAAAGTAGCCGCCTTCAGGGGTCAAAGAGCCAGGTCGAGTCTTTTTTGAATGAAAACCATCAGCATTCCAGCGTGATAAGGGCGGCCTCGAAAGTCCAGAGCGTTCTTCAGCAAGCATTTGCCAGAACTCGTCTGGCGTATCTGAGTCCCCTGGCAAGCGACAACCTGAATGATGTTTTAGTGATTTCATTTCAAATCAACTGCAAAGGCGACATAGCTTACCTATGCCAATGATTGCAACGGGCTCTGGGGAAGACATATTTGCAACTCCAGTAAGAATAATTTATGAAAAAAACCCTAACGAATGAACAAAAAGATTGATAGAAAATAGAATCTGCAGGAAACCAGCTTGTGACAAGACGTCAAAATTCGAAGATACTTGGTAATCGTACTACCTGGTCCAGATCTTTCGAAAGCACCAAGTACTTCGAATTCTTGTGGGGATTCGTGGTCCCTATACACAGATATTTTAGCTTTCTCCATGTTTCCAGGAGTACGGTAAGTGCTCGGGCTCCGTTCCCCAGATGTAGCATTAGATCGGGTCCCGATTTCGCGGAACCTTGGCATCTCTGGAGGGGTTAAAAGTGTCTATTCCAAGTCGTAGCGTTGGATGTCGTTCGATACAATAATCATGGCTTGATTTAAAGCCTCATTCAATTCTTGTTGTAGGCTCTGACTAACGTCTTACCTTAAATGAGAATAAGCCCAAACCATGTTGAGCCTAGGTTTTGTCGCTTAAGCAAAGCTGACTCTGGTTTATTCAAGTATATGATTGGATAAGTTGTCAAAGTGGATACTCTTTGTTGCGGATATTGCCGTTTTAACCAGGTTTATCGGAGTTAAATTAGTTTAGGCTCATTTTCAACAAGACGTTAATATCACGGTGTGCTCTCATGTGACTCCATATGAGCCTCTCGATCATGTTACGAGGGTAGCCGTCTAGATCACGTGGAAGTGCACTAGGCTCTCGAGGTGGTTTATAACTAAACATCAAACAGGGACTTAAGTAATGACAATAATGATATATAATTCGTAACTAATAGTAGAGTATACTAAATGATTGATCTTGAGAACAAAGCTCTACAATAAAGAAATTCATATTGAATATATAGATCTTCATACTCCCTTGGATCCTTTTGGATGCTAAGCTCCAAAAGCTCTAAGTCACGTGTTTTCTGACGATGCGTGCGCATACGATCCTAAAGTGACCCAGATCACATATTAATTCGATGAAATCTGATCGCTTTTGCACAAGGCCCAAGCTCTCCTAATTAGTCAGTTGTTACCATCGTAACAGTAGGATAGATTTTATATAATTCCCACCCCTGAATATAAATTTGAATATGAATCTGAATATGAGTCTAAATATGAATCTGAATATAAATTTAAATATTGAAATAATATAAATGACATAATACACCCTCACCTTAGACTTATAATTAGATGTTAAAGGTGTTTCTGTCTTAAAAAAAAACATAAAATATTTTAAGATTTTTTATCTTTTTTATTATATTCTCTGATATATTTAATAAATCAATCAAAATCGTTCTTAAATTTTTCAACCTTTAATCTTTTTATTTGATTAATCTCAAAATCTTCAATTAATTATTTCTCTACAATAATGTGACGGAAATTCCTGCTTTCCTCCCACCCTTATTATATAAGAAACCTCAGGTACATTAACCATGTCCACACATGATACGATTACTCGAGATTAGTATGCGATTTAGGTGACCTGAGGATCAGATCCGGACAAGTACTAGGTATCAATGGTTATCGGTAAAGTAAGATCATTGGAGGAATAAATATGACTTCTTTTTGCCTAGCCATTGCGGCTAGGCCATTCATTTGTGTATATATAGAGTAGCTATCCCTATCTACAGGTGCTCTTCACCTGTAGATTCTAAGTTAAATACAATTGCTGGTCTATAAACACCCTTTTGGTCACAAATAATTTATTATAAGAATATAAAATTTTATATTAATAAAAAGCTCTAAGTTAATAAAATATAAATCTATCTTTCAATTTCATTTTATCAATTTTTTTTAGTATAATATTGCTTGCTATTATTGGTCCCCTTTGAAATATTCTTGTATAGATTTTGCATACTTTCTAGACCAATCAGAATCGAGTTATGAAAGGTGTTTTAAAATATGTATGTTAGAATAATGGAGAAGAGGAGTGGTCTGAAAACGAGGTACTCGATTTATAATTATATCGAAGATTATATTCGATTTGACTACATTTGTTACATTAAGATCTAATATGACCAAATATCTTTAGTGAAACATGATCTGAACGCACCCTAAGTATAAGAGTAAAATGAACTTGATTTTTATAGTACAATCTCTTAATTCTTCTAAATCTATCTGTACACGGTCTGAACTTAAACTTATAAAATCCTAAAATGCGCCACCTCCAATACCACGACAGTTGTCTGGTATTTCGATTGCGCCAGTCTATCATTCTCTTCAAGAGGTTTTAACGCCGTTACTAATACATTTTTACTACAGTTGAAGTTCATTCTTTTAACACGATTTCAACGCCGTCACCAATATAGTACTACTATGCTTGGAATCTAGTAACATGCTAGACTCCTGTTTGGAATCTAGTAACTCACAAGCTTCCCTCAGCTTCGCACTTAACCCAGGTAACTACGAGTATTCACGTCAGCCAGTACATGCATGGAGGTTCTAGAAGCAATTGCTCACATATAAAGGAGTGAAGATGCTAAAATGATCCCCATCAACACGAAGCTCTTCAACTATGAACTCGTACGGATATCTACGCCACCCTAAAGCATACTCTCCACGAAACCAGTCGACTTCTACAACCTTCTCTGTTGGGACTACCTCTAGTGCCCTTATAAATACTGCGGGCGGCGGTCGTCTGAATGTAAATCTGTGGTTAGTATACATTTGCTTTCCAAAATAGTGAGATCAAGGCAACTGTACCTTCCATTCTCCCAAGTTGGCAGCTCCCAGACTGACAGTGCATGGATAATATCATTGACGGCTTGTTGTTGCGCTAATCTGCTCTGAGTTGTTTGATCTGGAGCGACTGGTATATGAAATTGGACTGGTGGCGCATCTTTTGGTCGCCAGTCAGGGAAATCAGGAAATGGCGTATCAAGCAAGATTGTACCAGCGACACAGATTTCCGGAATATTCTCCAAACACTTTGCGACTTGGATTGCTATAGATCCACCCGCAGACCAACCTGTATCAAAACTCAGTGACGGCTTGTAAATATGAGAGGGGAACTTACCACCGAGCAGGACTTTTCCTCTGGAGACTTTTCCTCGGATCAGCCCAGCATAAAATTCGCCCATTCCTTTGATACCATTTTCGAAAATTCCGCCATCATTAAGATGCGGATATGATATTCCCCATACATTGCGATTCAAGCTTTCGAGAAAGTAATAGGGTAAAACTGTTCCACCACCATCATGGAACAGAAACAATGGGATCGCAGATTTGTATCTTCGAGCAGCTTTCTGAATCAAGACTGGGTTCTCCATAGTTTTCAACGACTTATGGTTGCAGCACAGTTGAATGTAGAAAGACACCAATAACTTTGGATGGTTTGCATTGGGATATACACCCACGTCAAGTACCAAAACGGAACAAAATCGGAGATAATGATCATCCGTAAAATGGATCTCTGGATGGATAATCGGTTGCCGTAAAACTAATGAAGTTGTGGATATTCCGGCGACCTTGGCAAGTGGTTCCCAGCTTTTCTACGTCAGAATGTCGGTGGAAAAATATTCCTATTAGAGATTCACAATACTGCAAGCACATTCTTAAAGTTTAGAATTCAATTTCATACAGATTACTATCTATCTTTCAGCAAGAAACTCTAGGAAACTTCATTCAATCACGCAATGCCTTCTCCAAGCCAAGCCACAATCACCGAGTTGACACCAATCGATCACTTAATGCCTCGCACATATGTGATCAGCTTTAACATTAACTGGCCAATATCTCGCCGCAGTAACATCGAGGATATTTACAAGCATTTGAAGTTAGGCTTGAAACAAACTCTGAGTGAAATTCCTTTTCTTGGCGGCTCAGTTGTTTCCACGGGCTCTCCTGGCAAGTTTCAGATCGAGACTCTACCTAGCGATCTCGAAGGCAATCAACTAATATTCAACGATCTACGTACTGGGAGTGGAAATTCGTGGCCACATTCTTACAAAAGTTTAAGGAAAGCACGGTTTCCAGGTAATGTGTACTTTGACGATTGTCTTAGTCCCGTCAAGCGGTACATGGGTCAGGAAAGACTTCCAGTTATAGCTGCTCAGGCAAACTTCATTGATGGAGGATTGATTCTAAATTTGAGTGTCTTGCACACGGCGTGTGATGTACTTGCCTGGAATAACATCCTCTTTGTTTTGTCAAAGAACGTGAAGGCTTCTTGGCCCGCCGAAGATGAAGGGGCAGCCTCTAATGAGTTGGAGGATTTTGAGGTCCTGCCCAGTTATTTTGACCGATCTCCACTCATGCACGGAACCACCAACCTTGAACGAATGGACATTCGAGAATACAAGCTCCAGGCTGTTAATTCGACGCTCGAGGATCCCAGGAATCATCTTATTGACTCTCCTCCCAAATCGACTACCGAGATGGCAAATACCCTTTTCTGTATTTCTACTGCAAAATTGAGTGAACTCAGAGATGCTGTTTCCAGGGAGGGCTCAGCAACATCCTGGCTGACAGTAAACGATACACTCGCTGCATTAATTTGGTGCTGTGTCAACCGTGCTAGAATATCGAGTCAAGAGCCTTTACGGGGAAATCTATCTGTTGCATATGAGGGCCGTACAGTTCTCGATCCACCGCTTCCAAAGAAATACATGGGGAATGCCGCGCTGGGGTTTCCCATCACTCTCGATATTCATCCCCGATCTATCTTTGATGCCGCCCTTGCTATCTCAGAATCACGAACCGAGTTTACTGATAAGCACATGAGAGACATTACTGGGTTTTTAGATGACTTAGGTGATATCACAGAGGAACGTGTATCGTATGCCAAGACCCTCAATCCAATTTTGGTTATCAGTAACTTGAAGGACATGGAGGGTTTTGAGCAAGACTGGGGTGGTAATTTAGGTTTCCGAGATGCCATCAGGATGGCCAATCCTTTCTTGGATTGTATTCCCAGAGTGGTACCAATGCCGGCGCAAAGGGACGGAAATGTGGATATCATTGTTTGGATTGAGGAGTCCGCAGTCAAGCGATTGAAGGAAGATGAAATTTGGAACAAATGGATCAGCCCCGTATTTAGCTAAGTGATGGAGGCCGAGGGTTGATTGATAGAACTTGGGGGGACTCGCAGATATTGAGGACAAAGGTTGTGATGAAGCGATGAAGTCAATGGACGGCGTGCTTGGTTCTTCCTCGAGCTACATACAACTTGCAACCAAATGAGATCTCGCTGCAAATAATAGCGAACGAGAATAATCCACGCTCAGTGGGCTGGGATGTAAGATTACATTCTTTGAATTTGAAGATTTTTCCTTTTCCGTATGACCGTAAACAAGGGGCTTACCATTTAGGAAGATATAAATTCGCTTCTTTATACTTTCATGAGCTTTACTTTTACGTACAGCGAAACTTGTATGTGTCAAATTGAAAAAAAAACTAAAAAAAACTGATCTATTAGGCCCAATTAAAAAAAGGTGGCCAATATAAAAAGATATATATACGACTTTACACAAAACTTATGTAGATTTTACATTTCACTTGTATCCCCAAAATTTTTATTTCCCCGAGTGATTATATGATGACTCTATTTCCAAAAAGAAAATCAGATTCATTTTTATCAAAACTTTTGTCAGACTTACGTAGAGAATTTTTTCTGTTAATCTAAAATAAACGAAATAGACAGTATTCCTAAGCAGAAACCGATGAAGCCAAAAAATGTTTCCAGTATGTACAAGTAACTGCTAGAGATAAATCCAGCACCAACAGTTCTACTTTACCTACTTCCATAGATTCACAACGTCAAAATATAATTTGAAACACGTATAACGGTTTTTCGTTGACTGTTTGCCGATCTATGTTAATCCACTAATTACACACAGATAAAACAGGGTTGGAATGCTTTTTTTACGACCTTTCGCGGTGATAAATAATCAAAAATGCTATTATCAGACGCCAGGAGTTATTGACAGCACCGTCTATTCCCCCAAGCATCCGTTTCCAATTCATCCAACAAATTTTGTAAAAATAACTTGTCAGTTGCAGGGGTGGCCGCGGTGGCCGATGATGATAATGCAGAACGCCGACCGCAGGATAAAAGTTGCGGTGCGTTCCATTCGGTATTTGACATACAAAAACAGCTCAAACTTTAAAAACTGGCTACTTTCTCTGTATGACTTCTCCATTCGATTCATATTCTCCTATTTCCGGTACATCAACATATCAACAGCAAAAAATGACAAACTCCAGGCCCCAGTCAAAAACAACGGTCAAAGCCCGTCTGCCCCCATCATTCACCGTGGCCGCGCAAGACAAGTCGTGGACCGCTACTCCAGAGAGTTGGCTCTATGGATCGTGGCACATGACACATACGTCGCAGCAATACTACTGGGAGCGCACGAAGAACTTCGTGATACAATATGCGCCCGTCATGAACGGGGTATGGCCCTGCACAAACCAGGAGCTGGTGTCCCTCACCCCAATCAAACAGCCAGAGCGCATCTACACTGCCTTTGGCATTGACTCGCCTATTGCTGGTCTCGACGATGCATGGCTCTGTGAATGTACAGGACATTTGAGCCACATATCAGACCACGTTGCATTCCTAGCCTGGGGTACCGATCTGCAGCTGGTAGACTGGGTTGTGCTGTATTCAGCTCCACTACCAGGAGCTACCGCCGGACTTCCAGCGCAGGTCGCAATAATGAGTCGGGCACATTCCGGTCCGGATGAAACAACAGTGGGAGCAATCAAAGAAGCCCTATGCGATCTGGGAAATGATGAATTAATCAAACTCGTGGGTAATATGCAGCCTTTGTTGCAGGAAAATCTCGAAGGTGGACGCCCAACTTGTGAATATAATGTTGTTCAAAACGTGGACTCTTTGACTAGATTTTGATAGAACCAAGTTCCATATTCTTGACATTCCGCTTGGGTGCCAAGAGAGGAAATTCCAGCAATTCCTGATATATTAAACATGTATGCATCGGAGATATGTGCAATGGATCATATTAGATAATAATTACGAAGGACTCCCTGGTGCATGCATGCATGTACCTTGTTGTCTGGAGATTTGGTACAAGTCTAAAACGGATGTTTGATAGCTGGGTAAATTAGAGTATTTTTAGCATTGCAACGGGAGATACGGAATTTGATCGATGTGTCCGGCATTGGAAGATCATGTCATTCAAGAAGTGAATCGAAGCATTTCCACTTGCTCACATAGCCCACTACTAGGCTTACCCGAACTCTCCAGATTAATTCGGCACTCATGCTGCCTAGAAGCACAAAACTCCGGACGCTAGGAAATGATCGTTGTTATTAGCCTGCGTCACTTTCAAGGTTCCCCTCCCCTTCTTAACGTGGATTACCACGTTAAGGGTCAGGGGTCGGACTTTTGTACTTTCAAGCTGGGCGAGTGATAGCCAGGGCCAGACGGATCGACCGCCTACTATTGTGATTATTTCGGGATGCAGGTTCAGAAAGCAAGTTGTCCTAGGCAACCTATTGTACTGGGAAGAAACAGTTTCGGAATGTATAACATACTTTTTAATCTGTACTTATTAAATGTTAGAATTTTAATTCTATGAAAAGAATAGTTTTTTTTAAAAAAAAGAAAGGTGAGGATATTTATTTTGATATTTACGTTTTTATCGGCTTTGTATCACGAGTTCGGTGAACCAGGCCCTGGTTGGGAAAGCGCTAATCCAGTTGTCGCATAATTTTCCTTTTTAAAGCTATTTTCGTTTCCTGGAAGTAATCAGGAATCACCCTATCTTCAAAATTAACTCGTTATACCCGCCAGCAATGGTCCTGTCCGCGGACAGCGCAACTCATCCTCTCCCTTTGTCGAAATCGAAGACATCAGACTCATGGAGCGAGAAGATTCCCGTCTCCCGCTGGGAGCGCAGGGCCGTGTAGCCCCCCGCCTGGAGTATACTGTCCGCCGCATAGGCTTCGACACGCTTACCGAAGGGCCCCTGCGACTATCTGGACAATGCGTAGGGACTGGCTTGTGATTATCATCTCCACTATTTAAAGAGACCTGGTCCCTGTAATATTAACAAGCTTAGCCTTAAGAAGGGGTAAGTGCTGTGGGGCCGACCAGCTTGCCACCCGTCAGGAAGGAACTAGTCGCTATCGGACCTAGCTCTGCTTTTTCTGAATATAAAACTTTTTTGATTCCTGAAAATATAGCCAGCTTTTCAAGCTATATTCCAGATGAAATAATCTCTCGATCGTAAAATGTTACACAAAATGCCTTCTGTTAGAGTCCAACGATTTTTACAAAAAAGTTTCACAGAAACAGACGGATTATTCGACGAAGTGATTGTCGAAACAGAACTGTCGACTAGCAGAAGTTTTGACGGACTTTCCTCGCATAAGGCAGCATCGCTTCTGAAGGATCATCTCAACTTCAAATTAGGCTTGAATTCTACTACTGTTTTGTTGAAACCATAGACTATGCTTTATTAGGCAGTGCAAGCGATTCATCCCGCAAAGCTCTATTCTATAATGGTGATAGCCTGCCTCAGTTCACCGCGTTTTGACAGTACTTGGCGCATTACCATGCGAGGAGTAGTTAATACGTGTAATTGTGATTGGCACCACAGCCTCCTTTCAAGATGTATGTGCTGTAAGTGGAGGTTGTGGAGCACTGCCTAGATGAGTTAGGCTCAGTTAGCAGGACCTAAACCTTATTATTAAGTAAAGCTAGACGTAATTTGAGGCTCAGAAAGTCTTATTGCGCTTTCTTGTAGTGTCAAACTCGCTATAAACCTTATTTGATGTGAACACGACATTTGAGTAGCGCGGAAAATTCCCAAGCCCTAGTTTGGCTTCCTCCCAATTTTGCCTTATGGGTAAGGTGATTTCCCATTCAGTGGTAGCGGACCTTAAATTACCTAGTTTTGACGCTACCAGGTTGTCAACCTAGGGTCGGACTTTTATACTTTCTGCTGGCTGGTAAGTACCGAACGTATAAATAAACTCATCAAGACTTATAATATACTAGACCACATTAAACCTATTTGAAATAAAATTATTTGTTAGATCCAACTCTATTTTCGATCAATATGATTGGGAAAGTCGCTTGAAATCGATGTTTTTCTATTCCACTTTTGGTTCGGCTTCGAAAAAAAAGTTAAACATTGAAATAGGCTTAGAATGTTCCGCCTTAGATGAGCTTATACAGTTTGTAAAGGATCCCTTCACGTTCTTCATGTAGAGCTCCTCCACTTCCTTTACAAAAGCATATATTTTGACGCTTTTATCGCGGATTAGATTACGGGGAAATGCGTTACACGAATTTAAACTTTCAGCATATTGACGGACTTTAAATCTTCAGCACATTGACGAATTCCGTCGCATCAAAAAAAGGCGGAGGTTCGGCGCAAATAAGAAAGAGTCCTTAACTTGATTCCATATCCGTAAGTAACATACAAAGAAGACATCCCAGAAAGTTCTCGTCTTATCCATCAGGAGTCCCGAACTATTTTTCTCATATCCAAATCCACTCAGACTTTTCCTCGAGATGTCACCGTAGGCCCTTCCGAACTGTCTCCAATTGTGTACAGAAAGTCATCCTAATCATGGCTCCAAACAATAGACCACAAAAACCACCAAAGCTACGACATGCTTGTAATGAATGCCATGCGTCTAAGGTCAGGAATATTCAACATCCTCCCCGGTCCCTTCAAAATATTCATTTCGAGTAGGTCAGATGTAGCGGAGAACGTACAGGATGTCGCCGATGTGTATGCAACCAACAAACATGCACCTACAGTGTTTCCATGGTGGGGAAAGTTCAAGGCCATCGTAGGCGAACATCCCCTAATAAGGATGCAGCAATCACTGGTGCGGACTCTAGGCAAGTGAGCCTAAATAAGTTCATACTCACTTAAGCCCTAGGGACCGACCGCTAACAATTTTATATCAGATCTGGTGATCAGACACCGAATACTCAAACGCCAATGGTACCAGTGGCAACTGTACAGGTCACACAAGACGTCACTGTCGGTAGTCATTCGAGTAACGACCAAAATGATGCAGCTGTGGAGGATAGTACCAATGTTTGTCGTTCACCTAAGCAATGTAACTGCATCACTCTTCCGGAGGAAAATCATGGCAAATCTACCGTGAGCTCTTCACCCGAGGATTTCTCGAGGTTGTCAAATATGGAGACTTATCTAGGCACTCCTATGATTGAACATGAATTCTTATGGGATTTTGGTTCCGATGAAGGACAAGACGTCTTCAATTCGGTAGGGCTTGAGAAACCCTCTAGTGTAGGTACTGCGAATGACTCCGGATATGGAGATTCGGAATTTGATTTTTCAATTCATGAAGTAACCTCCACTATCAACTCCCATCATGATTTTAGGAGTCCCAAGAGGCAAAGAACAAGTCCAGTGCCGACTCCACCAATCCCCGAGCCACAACTCTTTGAGAAACGGCCTCATTCCGAATCATCTGACAAACAACCTCAACAGTCTCAGATAGACACGCCATGGATGTCTCAGTCCCAGCTTTATACGCGGCCAACAGTTTTAATGCGGCATCACAACAGCTACTCCCGTGAGATAAATGACTATTCGGAGAATAGTCCTTCGTTGGGTGCAGATTCCGGTATTAATCGTGGTTTCATCTCTCACCCGATGGCCGGTCAAACGAATAGAACTCATCCTAGTTTGGATCACATGTCACAGAATACACGAGATGATTCCCTCTCATTTACGGCCCGATCTCAACACCTACCCTTTGCTATCTCTCCCCCAATCGTATCATCCGAAGCTTCTTGCCGGTTCACATCGAAATGCTTCACAATGATCAGCAAACTCCAGAAATTACTTCGAGATCCTTCGTCACTATCCCTCGATGTAATTCTCGCGACCAATAAAAGTGTAGTGTCGGAGCTATCCCAAATATTCGACAGCACACCGGGACTAAACACAACAAGAACTACTAGCCCGGAAGACTACGCATCCGTTCACTCTGGGAGCCAGCCCGATAATAGCTACAATATATCTCCATCCATGGATTTTACGCTTCTCATGCTCTACGTGATTACTTTAAAACATATCCACGACCTCTATTCACAAGCCTGCGTCATGTTCATGCAACATGACCTCACCAAACGAACTCCCTCCATTTCTTCTCCACGAAACACATCTTCGATTCCCAATTCTCCTCCCCCAAATACATTTGGACTTCCGCAACTCGATTTCGGTACGTTCAAGATCGATATTGCGGACCAGAGGAGACTGTTCTCGGAGATAATAGCGAAGGAGCTCAGCAACTGCCTGAGTACTTGTACGAGGGTAAGGAGTTGTTTCTTGATGCAGCCTGGCGATATAAGTGCACCTACAGGATTAATGGAAGAGACATTTTTGGGTATTGAAGAGGGATTGCAGAGGATGATGAAGCAGATGAAGATTTGATGTGTGAGGATTAGCCAAGCGCGCTAATATGATGATATATATGACTATAACGAAGCATCTTCTGTTTTTACTATTCCCATTTATTGAATCTTGTTCTGGGCGTGAGATTTGGAAATTGGGTCTATATGTCTCCTTTTTCATACTCGCAAAAGCCCTGCATAAGACTTCAGTGTAGATATTTGCATAGAGCACGTAGTTTACTGTAGAATTAGCATATCCATTTTTCCAGAGTTCACATAGAAATAAGAAGCACTCATAAATCTTCATGATTACAAGTAACGGATTGCATCTCTTGGAATGGCCTTCATTGTCTAACTCTCATATTACCCCAAGTATCATTAATTTTTCTTCTTCCCACTTCTCCCTTCTGCTCATCTTTTTCTGCGGTTAAAATTGATGAGAGATATTTGTGACACAAAACATATCGCTTGGGGATAAAGAGCCGCAGCTAGCATCAACCACGTACGAGTCGGATAACAATTAGTCCGTATCTAACGATCTACAATTGGACAATCACAAAGGCCTCAGACCTGCGAAATCTTCCGCTGTATATGCAGGCAATGCATAGCCACATGAAAACTCCTGCAACATCTTAATCATACTTGAATTTCCTGAAGATAGCCTAAAGGTAGAAATGCACGCTAACAAAATTTAGATCTAATAACCGTGACGTGTAAATTAGTTCCAGCCGTTTCATCTCAGATATTACTAGAGGTTTGACTCAATGTATTCATTAAAGTTTTAAATAACCCGGCATATCATTTGGACCTTCTTGGCGATAAATCATATGATCGAATGATCAACAGTCATTGAAAATCGAAGTCCTAGGGTGAAAGTCTCTTGATTGTGGTTCTCCTGTGTAGCTAATTAGCCGAAGCGAGTGGAAAAACATCCGATCTAACCGACATCCCTGTATCTTGTACGATCCGGTATCTTGTGTGTCTTTATTTATAAAATAAAAATGAATTAAAAATTAAATAATTATTATAATAATTTGAAAATTAATGTAAATGATTATTAAGAAATGAGGTATATTATATTAAAATTTTGAAATAGATAATTAATTTAATAGTTTTAAAATTCAATTATATTAAATTAATAATATTGTTAAAGTGAATGGTTTCTGCGTAGCACATGCACAAGGCACTAGCCCTATTAGGACTAGATTGAGGAGCTCTCTGTAGAAGAGCTTCGCACTTCTGTAGAATAGAGACAATGTGTGATTCATATAAATGCCCAATATAGCCTCAGTTCTGCCCTGTTGTTACGTAGTAACAGTCAACCTGTCCATATGAGCTTAGACCCCGTGGAAAAGCAAACCGATTCACATACAAAATTGTATGGTAATCGGTTCGTAGAGTCTCCCCACCTTCAGCAAGCACAGACATATAGTCTGATCCAAGTCACGTGATGGACCCTGCATATTCAGGGATACGAATCGTAGGTCCATACGAATCGAAGGTCCACAAACTCTCAGGATCCAAGAGATCCAATGGAGGACGAAGGTCTATATAATCAGGATGGTTTCCTTTGTGTAGAGCTTCGTGCTCAAGATCAATCATTTAGTATATCCTACTATTAGTTACGAATTGCATATCATTATTGTCATTACTTAAGTCCCTGCTTGACGCCTAGTTATAAACCACCTCGAGAGCCTAGAGCACTTCCACGTGATCTAGACGGCAAACCTCGTAACATAATCGTATCATGTGTGGACATGGTTAATGTACCTGAGGTTTCTTATATAATAAGGGTGGGAGGAAAGCAGGGATCTCCGTCATATAAATACTTAAAAAGAATTTATAATTTATTTTTAATAATTTTTATTGAAAAGTTATTTTATATTTTGATGATTTTCAAATTTGTATATAAATTTTATATAAATTGAAAATCATAATTTTAACTTTCAATTTCTCAATTAATAAAATCATGAAAAATCTAAAAATTCCAAAATCTATTAATTGTTAAAGTGAATGGTTCCTGCGTAGCACGTGCACAGGGCACTAGTCCTATTAGGACTAGATTGAGAAGCTCTCTGTAGGAGAGCTTCGCACTTCCGTCGAACTTAGATGTAGTGCGAACATACACTAGACCAATACTACCTCAGTTCTGCCCTATCAGCTTCCCACTATTCCCTGTGTAAGGTCACTCCTTTTAACAAATTAATGTTTAAATCAAAAGTGAATTCTTAAAATAGACAAATTTATTATACAAAATGTTGTCAATATACGTCTTTGTAACAAAGTGAGTGATATAATGAAAACGATATTCTAAACATTTGAAAGTTAAAACAATCACAATGATTCATGATCGAGACGATAACTTGATCATTAATCATTGTCAATCAGTTGATGATCGGAATAATTATTGACCCGAAACACGGGACGATTTTGAACCCCGACATGCCCTTTTTAGGGAAATTAGATTTTTTGTGATGCTCTTCCCCATATTTATTACCTAGGTAGTACCTGGTATCTACTACTCCGTACCCAAGACTTCCATATTGTCGGACCTCACTGCCATCACTTCCGTCCACTTGGAAATTTGTGGACTTATTATGATGCGAGCTTGCGGCTGCATGGGACAAACATGTGAGAAGTGTGCGGGCAGCGTATTATTCCTTTTTTTCTGCCATAATCTTACCCGATCAGGTCACCGCCCTTCGTTCGGAAATTCCTCTGCCTCTACCTCCACCCTCGACAATTGAAATGTTCACATTTATCTTTTCCACACGTTTTATCTTTTCACACGTCTATCTTTTTCATCCGTCTATGTTTCTCTTCCTGCTATGATGAACTGTTGGATCTCGAGTCGTACATTCTGCGGGTTCACACCTCAATTTAATTTACCACCCAATGGCTTTTTTAGTGTAATTATTTACATTGTGCCCGACAGACTTGCCAAAGAAGAAAGAGGTCGTCAAGTTGACGACTGTAACACAAGAGACGCGTACGTCGCCAAAGGAAAATAAATGGCCTGGATATGCTTGCTATCGCTACTTTCGATCGTCACAACTAGTGATCATTCTGGATAAGCTTCAGGCTCCGGTCGGATAAACTAGCAGAGAAAGTGTTGCGATCCAATGAACGTTGAGATTTTGATACGCTATTTGATAAGAAATAATCAAATTTGGCGTCGTTTCACACGCGTTACGATTCATGTGCACTGACAGCGCCGAGAAGAGTGATGGCGGGAGTAAACGGGAAGTCAAAGCCACAAAAGCTTGATTGTTGAAACGATATTTTGTCAGATACATGATCCATGAAGTTTTACATGAATTTAGATCCGTCGTATGGAATCCTTCCTGTGTAAACTTATACACATATTGGAATAGTTGCGATTGGAACACAGGTTTGCTTTGCATTGTATATAAACTCGAAGGCAGCACAGAAACTTTCTCTTCTCTTTAGCGGTGCTCAAACAATTATTTCGTGTTCTTTCATCTATTTACAAGTTCTCGTATTTCAGTCCTTTTTTTTTAATATTACCATCAATATTCAATATGCGTAATCAATCTATTCTTTCTCTTGCGCTGGTCGCATTTGCCACTACCTCCCTTGCTGCTCCAGTTTTAGCTGAGCGAGGTATGCCCATTGGGGATCTCCACGCTGCCATTGTTGCCGCTGGTGTAGATTTCGATCATCTAACTGCACGCGGCCAAGCCGAGTTCACTTCACTCGCTGCCTCTGCGGTTGAAAAAACCGTCGAAACGCGAGAAGATGCTGCCTCCCTACTTGCTCTCCTCCCAGCAGGACATGGCTCATCAAAACGTGAGCCAGAAGAAGATTCTAAAAGAGCTAATTCCGCCGCTGATCTGCTCGCTCTTCTCCCGCCTGGTCATGAGAAAAGAGCTGAGAGTGCTGCTGCTCTTCTCGCTCTCCTTCCAGCCGGTCATGGCTCTTCAAAACGTGAGCCATCGGAGGAGGAAGTCAAGCGAGCCGAGAGTGCTGCTGCTCTTTTAGCCTTACTCCCTGCTGGCCACGGTTCTAGCTAAATTTAATGGACGTAATGTGAAGGATAATGGAATGAGTCGGGCGGTTACCCTATGGAGTAGGAACATTCGAGTGGTTTCGAGTGAGCTCGAAATTAGGCACGCTGCAGGATACAGCTTTATAGATAATACGCTCCTTTACAACTCGAAATTTTAATCACTACTAAAATGCAACCGCTTGTTCACCTTCACTGTAAAGCTAGCAATGTTTAACGACTCCTCAGATTTCTTGTGATTCTAGGTATTTTGGATGGATAGCTTGCCGCAATCAAAAATTGAATTTAATCCCCCATAATATATGCATTCCGATAATTTTGTTCCACGACTTCAGCCAATACCTCCACCTTCTACCCTTCGCAATTTCACTTCTAAGAGATTTAGTTTAATGGATATTCTCCTCAACCTTCATCCTCATTTTCACCGAAAAATATAGTCCAGTTCTCCTCTGCGGTCTGCTTCGCATATATAGCCACCCTCCACTGATCTACAGCCTCATAGAACGCTCTTGCTGCCTCTTCTTCATCGACTCTAAGAGAGGAAAGCTCCTTTACATCGTCAGAGGAGAGGAATTTGAGGGTCGAGTAATATCTATCCAATGTCTTTCCTGAGGCCTGCTTTTTCTTTTCATCTGAATCAAGGTATTTCGCATAAATCCATTCTTGATATAAATTGTTTCTATGCACAAAATCCGTGTCGTCGAAATCATTGGTCTTTCCAAGAGCCTCGAAGTGTTTCCGGGCATAGTAGTCAACCTCTACACTCCTCTCCTCATTATGTCCCTGAGCCTGACGAATTCTTCCTATTTGGGACTCTGTCAAATGATGCGAGTTCTTTCGAATATTGTCGAAAAAGCTACCCTCGATCTTCCGCTCTAGCGTGTCTATGCGTTGTCTGGTGCCTGCTATGATCCGATATAGCAGATGAAGAGGCTCAGATGACTTCGCGACTTTGTTGAGGGCATCATTGTAAATGTCCGTCAATGCTTCCGTTTCTTTCCATGTAAGAGAAGGTCGTGGGAGGTCGCGGCGTTGAAAAGGATGTATCGCAAAAAGCCAATCGGGGATAGGGCCTGCTGTTGGCACCGCTAATCTGGGCTCTTCACCACGAGCTTCCTTTGACCGGCAGTAGGGGCAAGTAAGTATTTCGACACATTTTTTGAGGCACTCTTCGTGATACGTATGGTTGCATGGAAGCTCTACTACTTTCATACTGCTGAGCGGCTCCATCTTACAGATCCCACAGTCATCCTGGAGAAGTGCAGGGTCTGTAACAACCGTCGTAATCCATGGTGCCCCCGCGTTGATTGAATTTCTCAACTTTCCCGTCTCTTGCATGGCCCTCGCTCTACGTTGTATACTTGTGAATAAACGAGCGTATTGTAGGGCTTGATGTAATTGTAAAATTGTCAACCTGCGCTCTCTGGATATGTCGTCTCCTCGACCATTAAGGACATTGGACCAAAAATACATTAGAAGCCGCTCATTGACCAGCCGCTCAAGATGTCGAATAACATCACGGTTGAGAATTTCTGAGCAAAAGACAAAAAGACTTTCTCTCTCTCCCTCCTCTTTAACGCGTTCTTTTTTATAGGCTTCGGCTCGAGCAAATATACCATCAATGTCTTCCAGCGCATTGAGTTCTTCAAAGTGGGCTAGTTCGAATTTCCACCGCTCTTCAAATCCTTTTAGGGAGTCAGGATTGCATCCTTCGCTTAGCCTGGGATCATTCAGCATGTAGCATTCGGGGCAGAAATCCTGCACGGTATAAGTGGATGAATGTATGCTTTTGCATTTTCCCTTGTAGGCATCTACACAGGTGTATACAACGTAAGAGTATGGTTGTTGATTGCAAAACTCATAATGACATATTGCTCGCAAACACATGTCGTAAATGATTTATAGATGGTTATGATGTTGATAAGGATATTGATACTCGATTTGAAATATTTTACGAATAAAATTTTGGATAGGACAGATGAAAACTAGGAGATTTGGGAGGAAATTAAAATCTAAAGTCTTTTTATAAACAATCAGAGTATCTTTCTTTGTCTTCAACCCGATGAAGAACAAATTATCTAATTGAGGATTCATAAAGATTGAGCATTTAGACAAAGGGATACCCAGTAAGGAGAGGATGAAGCATTCTTGAAAGTAAAAATTTCGAAAATCCTACGGGAAGATTAAACTTCTCTATCATAAAGAGACAATCTAATCTCATTGCGGTCCAATATCATTGTTTAAAAGAAGTGACTATTTAATACTAACCCATTAGCTTCAATACTAATCTATATATAATTTTAAGAGGTATTATCTCTTGTACGTAGACAAAAGAATAATTATTGCACCCACTAATTATTATGCGAATACTTCACAACCTATCAAAAATAAACTATCTTTATTCTTGTCGAAGCGCACTAATTATCATGCACATAAACACAACAATGGCTTTTGTGAAAATTAGTAGTCTTTTTTTTACTCTCAGGCAAGAAAGCCGACTTTGCTTCCCTTCATGAATTCGAGAAAGTTAGGCTTGATCTTCTAGCTGCCAGTCTTCGACTTGAAAAGGTTATCAACTTCAGAAATTACACCTCCCTTGGGCAAGCATACATACACCTTTTTCCCTCAGTGTGTCAAAGAAGTCGCAATTATCTTCTAAAACCTAGGAAATGATTGTGTATGCTATCGTCCGAAAACTTTTCACAAACCCAATTCCACCCATCCTCTAACAAAATAACCCTTATTAACCTCCAAATTACCCATCCATCATTACCTACCTAGATACCTATACATCTCCAACTTCATCCACCAAACAAACTCACCAACTTATCTTTCCTTACTCCTATTTTGACTCAAAAACCGATCTCACTCCCACTCCCCTTTTAGTTCTCCGCCCAAAACCCAAACTCCAAAATCCCATCTCATTACGAGTCGAGTTAATAACCTTTTTTCACTTGTATCATAATATTAAATTTTCCAACTAATCACCTGATATTATCAAATAATTTACTCCGTTGTGTTCACAATATCCCATCATAAAAGTAATTCGATACCACGAGCTCCCTTTGACGATAATAGATAGATATAAATACATTTGGAATTTAGATGAAGCTCGCAGGACCCCTCAAAAAAACTCCTTGAAAGATATCAAGAACTAAACAGTCAAAAAAATGAGACAGTCCTATAAAATAGCTAGCTATATGTACCTGTAAGTTACGAATAGAAGCTCAGTCCAGTTCTTGGGTAAATTAATAATGGTCTAGGTAAACAAAAGGATCGATAGATAGATATGAGTAGATTTATTTTGTTTTTATTTTTATTTTTATTGGAGGATTAATTGTGTTGGGGTTATTTGGGGAGAGGGTTATTATTATTGTTTTGTGGATAGGATGGAGGAATGAAGGGACAAAAGATTTACTAGAAATGATTTATCTGCAAGTAAATAATCATTTTTAGAATATCACCAGCATCTCGAGCAGGTAAAGTATCAAACAATCAATCAATCAAGAGTGAAATGAAATGAAATGAAATATGTTTTCAAGATCAGACCAAGAAAGAAGTAGAGGAATAATCATAGTCATTATTAAACTTCGCATACACCATGAAACAAACTAGCATCATCTCATCACCATGCATCCATCACACAAAAATAAAATCCGTCCTACTGTCTCTCCTCCCCCGAAAACAACTTGCTTAAAACAACTCTGCCGCACTAATTCCCATTCCCATACACTCTCATAACATGCAAAAGTCCATTCTAATCTCAGGCTTCAGCTTAATCTCAATATCAAGCTTAAGCAGAAGCAGCAGTGCAAAGAACAGCTTGTCCAGCAACAGGGACTGCACAACAAGAAGCCTGCTGACCATGCGCAGCACAGATCTCACGGAAACTCTCGACGGACGTCGGGGGCACGTGTGCTATTAAATCTCTTTAGTAACTGGCAGGCATTTGGACACATAAGTATGAGTGTGAGGAAGAACATACGAGAAACACAGTTCAAGTTAGCGACACCAAGAATACTGACGCTACAGCATTGTGCTGTATCGATGGCGGAGCTGCATAGACCGAGTTGACGTGGTTGGAGGGGAGAAGCGGCTCCGAGGGCGCTGAGGAGGGTGATGAGTGTTGCGGTTGTGAATTGCATTTTGAGGGTTGGTGGGTTGGAAGTGATGATTTTGGCTGATGTGATAGTTGGAATGTGTGAGGTATTGTTTACTGTTGATGTTTGATGGATGGAGAGATGATGTGATGATGGTTGATTGAGAAAGAAAAGAAGTCTTACTTATACTTCTTTATCTTTCTCAATATGTGACGACCTAGCCGTGGATTTACAAGTCAATCGTATGAATGTGATAGTGATATTGAGGATCTACATTTTCTATCGCTGATGGACAAGGAAATATTGATTGTCAAACCCTGTCCTCGATGTGCTGCTTCGTTGAAAACCCACATCTTGAGGATCTCCAGGAACTATGGCAGCTTAGAGGTAGGAGTCAATAGCTTAAAGAAAAGAAACATGTGCTACACGGTTCAATTATGAGCCCGGAGCCACTTTAGCAAGGGATGCAATCAACTACACATATCTTAATCAGCCTCGTAGATCAAAAACACTAGTAGATACATACTGACAGCAGCTGACAAGACTTCAGTTTGATTACATCATGTTGGCCATTAAAACGAGAAAGATTAGAGGATGATCCACTGTAATGGGGAGTTCCACCCATCTGGATTCAATAAATGGACTTGCTAACGTGAAACAAATAGTGCAAAAAGTTGGACTATCTGATAGGGCTTGAAGGCAGGATCAACAATTGGTTGTAGCTGACCGGTACTTTGGCTCTCCATGAGTTCGAGATACTGATTGATACACGTGAATGGAACAAGCATAGTCTTTTTGCATGCACGCGAAGAAGATCAGGTCCCAGACTTCAAGGACCTATATATCATCGGCACTTTACTGTTCTAGTATTTAAGGAAACGCTATTTGAATACGTAGGTCACAAGTCTTGTCTGTAACAGATAGAGGTGACTTCTTGGAGAGTAGTATCCTAGATCATGCAAGAATCCCAGTAGTAGCTACTCAGAACTAATGGCAGCAAAAGTTTAGCTTAATACTCCGTATATCCGGTATAGCTGATAGTCCGCATATCCCGTACAGCTGATACTCTGTATATCCGTATAGCTGAATATTCGTAAAAATGGTGGATGAACAGAAGATCCAATATTCCCTAGTAGGCGGTGTGCTGGTGGATTTCGCGATACAATGGGACTTGGGTATAAGGTTATCTGATAATCGGCGCTAAGAACATTGGGGATTAGTCAGGGTAACATTCGGGAGTAGAGCTATCGATTTTAAGATCGGGCGGCAATTGAAAACCTTAGACCTGAACCACACGTTTTTTCTTGTTTTGCGGGAATCTGGTTTGCTGATCTGGTGGTTCATCGCATGTTATGGTTAAGCTTCTTAAACTCCCTTGAATGGGATATGTAAGAGATCGCCAGGAGCTGCAACCGCACAGCATTAATTAAGGTTACTGTTCTTCAGCCTCGCCAAGCCCAAAGGTCAATAGGATAGGACAACATTCCTTTCTCAAGGTGAACAATTACAATCACCAGACTCAACACCTCTTCTTCGCACATATGTGCATATTTTGATATATTATCATCATAAAGTACCTACTAACATTGATTGGAACTTACAATGCTCGTCAGATCTGTTCGAATTCTATATTTCTTACTTATGAGTAAGATTACTCTCTCTATCTTCAATGTCGGTCGCCCAATTCGAATCTCGATCCTACCCTCCCTCACAGTGTCGCGTCAAACAGAGAGACAACGCCTCATTCTACGATCCAAGCATTGGTACAAAAGTTGCATTATGGATTTTTTCGGATCTGCGAGTCATCCAAGGTCGGAGCATAATACATATCATTGGAGGTACAAGCACCAATTGGATCGGCGTTGAAGCAATATGGTGGAGGCTCAACCAAAACATACAGGTTCGGACTGGCATGCGAAAGGATTGAGCTTGCATTCGACAACCATCTTGTCATCAAATCCCACACGGAAGGTCATTAATATTTGGGTATGAAGGTTTGCAAGTACAATGGTGAAGAGATCATCAGCAGTGAGGTTTTGGCAGGTGTACTTCACTTCTGGTGCGGCACGGCAAATCTTCATACATAACGAGAATTGTTCCTAGGCATGGCCATATCGACACAAATGTGCTGTCCGCCTCGGTTTCTTCATCGCACACTACCACATTGTTCACACATTCTCACTATCGCTATAGCTATCTCAAACTATGCTGCTCAATTAACGTAAGTGCTCAACAGAGCTTCTAGAACATGGTATCGATGATTTGGGCTGGCTGACCATCATCAAACTCTCCCTGTCATCAAACTCTCTTCAGGTAAGGGGCTTTCATAATATCACAAGCAGAAAGCAAGAATGTCTCAAGATCGTTTCAATCACTTGTAATGATTGCGATCACTAAACAAATTCTTCCATGGGTGGCATAAGACAAGCTTTTATCCTCCCGCTTCCAAACATTTCTAAAGCTTTGGGCATTTTTTGGTACATTTTCTCTGATTAGGAAAGTTTGCAAGGCAGTTAAATGAAAGCTTGTCCTAGATCTTAATGGAGCCGTACAGCTTTTGTCCCTTCGTCCAATAACTTTACTTCTTGCATTGGTAAGATGCATGGCCATGGGGAGGATTGGCTACTCATCCAACAAGCTTGAGGAAGAATAAGTCGTGTCTCCTCTATCTCCTCTCAGCAACCTGGGATTTGCATTCAGTATCAAGCAATCATTAATTATTCACCAGTTTGCCGTGGAGAGGTTGATAAATCCAACAACCATAGCCTTTCATAATTTTCTATAACAATTTGCGACAGTGGGGTCTGTCGCATAAATCTCCATTTATTTAGATTCTTCTAGTGGGTTTCATATATACAACATCAATTTATGTTGAATTGTTTAATCTCTTTATCCACCGAAGATCCGCTGCCATCATTGAATACAAGATTCCGCTTGCTTCAAGTATAGGTATTTTTTGATTAAATCGAACGACCTAGCCCTTGAATTTTTTTTTATAGCGAATAGCATTCAGGAGAATATTTGATGGAAGGTTTACTCCGTAGAAGTTTGTATGAACGGATCCATGATGCCATCATATGGTTGATGAGTTGCAGGTAGGGCTAAGTATTAGGGGTATATTGTAAGGAGATTGGACTGTCTTGGTTAAGAGTCTACTGTCTTACTCTGCACTTTCTCTTTTTCATATTTGGCTGAGTATTTCCTCTTTTGCCCTCATCAATCGCTCTGGAAGTTTTTTTTTGTCATTCTTTGATCGGACTTTGAAAGTTCAGACTCCACGCTCAATCGCAACATACATTCGTTTATTTCCTCTCTACTATTCCCATTTCCTTCGCTATTGAACCAATTTCAATTTTCCAAACCAGCTTCAAAATGCTATCTCAAATGCGTAAAGCCGCGGCCTTAGTAGCTTTCAGCTCTGCCGCAAGCGTTCTCGCCTACCCTCATCTCAACACTCGAGCCATTCAAGGATCGACGGATCTTTGCGGTGATTACGATTTTATCATCTTGAATAATTCTCCTTGGATTGTTTACAATATGTTATATAACGCAAACCAGATTGTAGGAAGTCAATGTACTTATTACGATAAAATGATAACAGGAAGTGATGGAACTGCTGAAGTAAAGTGGAATAGCGAGACAGATATAGCCTATGTAGAGAGCACGTAAGTATTCTTAGAATTCCCAAAAACAATTATCTAAGACTAGACTTGGTAAACTAAGACTAATAAAATACTCTAGAAACAACATCCCAAAAGGGTATTCCTTCGTCGGTCTAACCCAAAACCTCGAAACCCCCCTCACAGACATCGCCTCAATCCCCACAACCTACAAATGGACACGCAGCAACAGCACCGCTTTCAAAGGAAACATCTGTTACGATTTCATGACCAACGACATCAAAGGTGATTCGACATCTAGTTCTTCCGAAGAACTGATGCTCTGGCTTCAATATGAAGGCGGTCAGTTACCGATTGGTTGGGTAGAGGGAAGCGTTGCTACGATTGATAATTTGTTCGGTACAAGCTGGGATTTGTATCAGGGTGTTAATGAGGGGACGGGTATTAGGGTTAGTAGTCTTTTGCCGAAGAAGCAGTTTGAGGGGAGTTTCGAAGGGGATTTGAGGGACTGGTTGGTGGCGCTTGTTGGGGAGGGTGTTTTTGGGGAGAGTACTTTCGTTAATGTCGGGAATGCTGGGTGAGTTTCTTTTAATTTTTTCTTTTTTGGTTTTTTGATATTTCCAACTCCCAAGTTCTTTTATATGTGTGTGCAGATGATGCACACATACATGATATATAAGATGGAAGACTTAATCATAATACTAACAAAAACAAAACAAAAGAACCGAATTCTTCTACGGAAATGCAATTATGAACGCTACTCTCGGTCTTCAAATTAATCTTGGTACTCCTTCGTAGATTTGGAGTTGTTTAGATTAGGTTTTGGGGTGGATGGCTTGTTGGCTTGTTGGTGCTGAGATGGGGGGATGGGGTTTGAGATCCTGGGTGTTTGTGTTTTGATTTGGGCTTTAAGGAAGGGGTGGGGGGTTAAGGAGAAGGGAAGGGGAGAAGAAAATAAGTGAAGGAGATGGGGAGAATGAAATAGATTAGATGAAGGGAGAGAGTGGTTGGGGTTTTTGTATATATTATTTATTATAAGACTTACTTTACATGTATAGTAATTTTATGTTATACAGCTGTACTCATCATTGTTATATAATATCTAGGTATTGTCTTGTAAATCTTATGTAAGAATTTTTGTATTGTGAGATCGTGAGATTATATGAATTGAGAATACTGAATATGTGGTATTCCTCTGAGCATTGGGAGTAAAGTGGATTATGTTTTTGATTTTATATTTTGGTGTTTATTAGTACTGGTGTTATTTGGATTTTGAGATTTTATTATGTTGGGTTTTCAGTTGCTTGGATGGATACAGATAGATCGATGGGTTTGAGTAGATGGATGTGGAAATGAAGAGGAGAAGGGAGGGGAGGGGATGGGATAGAATGTAGGAGAGACAGACGATGCAAGGTCACATGGATGGGTTGGAGGGTTTTATCATTCCTTTGACGTTTGTTGTATATATATATATGATATT